GTGGAAACATCAGATTAATTGTTTTAGTGACCAGAAAACAAATTTTGATATGCGTCGGCTTACCCAAAATGAAAGGTTACGTGCCCTTGGCATGCTACAGATCGGCACAACACAGGCGGTTGTGGCGCGGACGATGAATGTTTCTCAGTCTGTCATAAGCAGGCTATGGTCCAGATACCGTGATACACAATCTGTACAGGACAGACCACGCTCAGGTCGACCAAGGGCGACAACTCAAGCCCAGGATCGATTTATCCGTACCTTGGCCTTGAGAAATCGTGTCATCACAGCAAATCAGATCAGCGCTCGTCTTCAAACAGACACTGGTGTGAGAGTGAGTGGCCAGACGATTCGGAATCGACTGCATAGGGGTCACCTTCGCGCCCGACGTCCTCGCGTGATCCCTTGTTTGAGAGATCATCACATTCAGGCAAGACGTCGTTGGTGTAGGGATCGTCAACACTGGGATAATCGACGCTGGAGCAATGTGATGTTTTCAGATGAGTCAAGGTTCACTGTTGATTTTTTGGACAGACGTAGGAGGGTGTGGCGTCGTCGAAACGAGCGCTTCCAAGACGTTAACGTCATCAGACATGATCGATTTGGGGGTGGTTCTGTTATGGTGTGGGGAGGCATCACTGTTGCTGGAAGAACGGCTTTACATGTTGTTGCAGGGCGTGTTACAGGCCAGTACTACCGGGACAACATCTTGGCAGTCCATGTTGTGCCGTTCGCACGACGTCATGGCAGCCGTTTCATCATCAAGGATGACAACGCAAGATGTCACAGGGCCAGGATCGTTACAGGTTACCTCCAACAACAGAACATCACCACATTACCTTGGCCAGCACTGAGTCCCGACCTCTCCCCCATCGAGCATGTCTGGGACATGCTTGGACAGAGGTTACGTCAACGTCAACAACGTCCTGCCAATGTCCAAGAACTTGATGCTGCGTTGCAACAGGAATGGGACAATCTGGACCAAAATGACCTTAGACGTCTCATTAGGAGTATGCCACGTCGGATCAATGCTTGTTTGGCAAACAGAGGAGGATTTACCCGTTACTGACTTGGTTGTGATGCTGTGGTAATTTTGCTGTTTGACCCCGGGTATCATTTTACCCTTATAATGGTCAGTCTGTGCCTTACTTAGTCTAACGATCATTTGGAATAAATCGATGAATGTGAACTTCATTTCATTTTGTCATTTGTTTCTTCGTCAGTTTCATTAGGTGACTTTAATAACACTTAAAAATCAAATATCCCTTACTTTTTTTGAATAGTATATATCAATTTACAATGAATATAAATCATGAGAAAAAATCAATACACATATCCTTACAACTTAGCTAAATAATGTGGTTTATTCGTTTATGCACCTCACCTGAATTAAGAATTATTAAAGATACATTATTGGAGATTTTTATAGAGAGTTGTCCATTCTTGCTATAACAGTTCAAAAGTAGATGATGAAAGAAGAATATATTGAAAAATTCAGTCAAATTACTTTATTCTGAACATAGTTATCATCGTTGTAATATTTGCCTAGAAATGGTAGCGAAATGTGTCTTCACCTTCGCCGATCGTTTGATTGACAGGCGTTAACTCCACCTACATATCTCGATTATCAAGTAAAGTTTTCAATGGCATACGGAAACGCTTTACAGCGGCCTCGCTAAGTACACTCTATCATTTAGCCTCGATCTAACTGACGTATTTTCATCAGGTTACCCCTTATTTGATTTAATCAATTAGTGAAATCCTATTTAAATCCGTGGGTCTACAGAGTTGATTTTGGTCTTGTTGTTTAAATAAAGATCTAATTTATAATTTCTATAACATCTGAAGCCTAAATTAAGACTTGCAATAATCAGATTTAGCTCTTGCATAATGCATGTTTAATTAAGAAATTGTACTTGGTAATATTTTGGAACATTTACATGTCTTTAAGTGTATACACGCTAAAATAATCTATACTTTACTCGTTACGAGTAAACACTCTTAAATGAGTTATAGTTGTGTTACTTTTGCAATTGACGCCATATTTTACAAAAAAAAAAAAAAAAAAAAATCGAAAAACGCTAGCTGTAGTGTAAAGTTTACACTTAATTAACATTGCTTTATAGTTTTTAAATACACCAATTTTTAACAGCGTGTATTTAAACGGTTTATAAAATCTGATAAAAAATTGTGACCTCGTACAATCAGGGACCATAATCCAGGAAGTTATGGTCTGATATATCGAAAGGAACCGAGATCTTTGGTTTATAAACATATATTTTTATTTTCATCAAAATCAGATAAAAAAATGTAACAACCATGGTATTACTACACACTTTTACACTATTTGTGTTACAGCTGCGGCAGTTTCGGTCCGATTTTTACTAAATTCAAACTCAACCATCACCATGGTGTAATCATGTAATTTTTACATCTAGAATGTCCACAAGCTAAAATCGCTATTTTGTCGTACAGTCAGGGGCCATAATCCAGAAAGTTGCCGTCCGATATGCGCGAAAATCGAAAGGAACCGAGATCGTTGGGATATAAGAATATGTTTTAAATTTCATCCAATTGGATCAAAATTGTAACCTCTAGAGGGTTCACAACATTGATATTATATACTTTAACACTATTTGCGGGAATTTCGGTCAGATTTTCTCGAAATTCGAACTCAACCATCATTATATTCGAACGGTTTCTTAAATGGAATTTTTAAACGATTTTTAAATTCGGATAAAAATTGTGACCCCTAGAACGTCCATAAGCTAAAATCGCGATTTTGTCGTACAGTCATGGGCCATAAACCAGAAAGTTACCGTCCGATATGCGCGAAAATCGAAAGGAACCGAGATCGTTGGGATATAAGAATATGTTTGAAATTTCATCCAGTCGGATCAAAATTGTAACCTCTAAAGGGTTCACAACATTGATATTATATACTTTAACACTATTTGCGTAGAGGGAGCGGTCATTTTGTCCGGAAGTTTCGGTCAGATTTTTACGAAATTCGAACTCAACCATCATTATGGTGTAACGGTCGTATATATTCGGGCGGTTTCTTAAATCGGATAAAAATTGTGACCTCTAGAGGGACCACAACTAAAAACACGATTTTTCGTATAATCAAAGGTCATAATCCAGGAATTTACTGTCCGAATATCGAAAGGAACCGAGATCCTTGGGTTATAATCATTCATTCCAAGTTTCAACAAAATCGGTAAAAATGGCGACCTCTAGAGTGTCCACAAGCTAAAAACATGATTTTTCGTACTATCAGGGGCCATAATCCATGTCCGATACATGCCAATATTAAAAGGAACATGTAGAATGCCCATAAATAAACTGTCGACGGATGCCCGGACGGACAAGGGTGACGACAATTTCATGTGGACGTATATAAAAAAATAGTGAACTCCAATATTACTACAGGCCCGGACTGTACAGTACAGGGCAGTGGACGCTTACGGCCATTCACTTTATTTGATATAAAATGAAATGAAATGGGGTTAAACCTCCTACTGGACTAATGAAGACGGGCATATGCCATACAGTGTGCTATGATGAGAATTTTGCCCGGGCAGCGGCACTACGGCCTACTCTTATATCGAATTCTGTCAGGGGATCTTTTACGTGCACGCAAATGTATACACGGGTCCTCGGTTTTCCGTCACATCCGAACGACTAGACAACTGTTGCAATTTGCTCACTACATTTTATTTTTATTACTAAATTATTTATTTTAGCGTTTCCGAGATTCTATACCGATTACCGCCCTTGTTTGAAATGTCGGTGTACATTTTGTGTTGTGTCCGTGGGGTTGTCTTGTGTAATTGCTTATTTGTGGTGTGGTCCTTCTGCACTTACTAGTATGTATCGGGATTTAAAAAGATTAAAACTTACTACTTGTTTTTATTTCAGATGACGGTCATATTGGACTAACATTGTGTAAGAAATGCTGTACTGAGATTCATCAAATACATAAATCATCTCACAGCGACCATTTTTATTCTCTACCAGTTCTAACAAAAGAAACTTCTTCCTGAATATATTTTACTCGGGGCTTTAAGACGAATGAATGCCTGGCAATCTGGGTCATTTTAATAAAAATTTTTTACAAGGATTGTCAATGACCTCTCAAATGAAGTAAAGAAATAGTTAGAGAAACAATTGTGGTATTGGTCAAACCCTACACAGTTTTATAGTCCTTGTAACTGGTAAATATAACTGTTGTACTTTGTGTCCTTTTGAAGGTCTGGAAGGAGTCGGTTAGGGGGCTCTACATCTCCAGTTTGTCGTTCATTTCTAGAGTTTTACGTCCACTTCCAACTAGGGTGATACCACTTCCAACTAGGGTGATATCGTAGACAAGCTTTTCTTTTCTATGTTGTTGTTCTTTGTGTTTAACGTCCACTTCCAACAAAGTTTTTTTTATTTTCATTCACTTAGCGCAGACCTGCAGCCAATAGGCAGATTTAGCTCTTGCATAATGTATGTTTAAGCTAACAGAATTTATTCACGTTTTTGGGGGTTCAAACTGACACGCAATTCCATAGAAGTTCAGCTTTAACATGCCAATTTTCTAATATTTGTGTATAATGTCAACCTTCAATTTGGTATTAGTACCCAATTAACGAATTAAAGCCAAAATATGAAATTGTGCTAGAAGTAGAAGCTAGATGGCAAAGCCCATAGCCACAGCACAACGCGTAGTACTATAATCTGTCATTGTTCATCCAAATAAGCCTTCCACCCACATTTTCCTTGTAATGCCACAGGAACAAGTTTTAGTTGGATTGTCACTATACATTCGACTTTTATTGATTTTATCATCCTGCACTGTAACCTCTTTTTACACAGTTTACTGCCCTGTGAAACAAAGCAACAAGACAACTTGATTTGTGAAGTCCAAAAAGTTTTTTTCAGGAAGTTGTCAGTCCAATTTCGATTGGCATTTAAGGGTTTGATATTGTATATGAATGCTAACAGTAAAATTAAAATCACTATTTACATTATTTATTTACAAAATGTAAAATACAATGTTCTCAATACTTTGTTGTCCAAAACAATAAGAAAAAATCTTATTATAACATAAAGATGATAATTTTAGTTCAGATAACCCCTGAGGAAGGCAAGTTGAAATAATATTAATTCAGACTTCATTTCATACTAATTAAACTGAAAGTAGGAATGTACTGGTACCTATTTAATCACATAAAGAGGATTAATGAGTATCTTTCTCAGATTCTAATTTATTCAGTATATTTATTAACACATTTATTCAAAACTAGACATTGTGTTAATAAACTTAATAGAATTCAAAAGAACTACTACCACAACATAATTTAATCAAGAATATTTTTCTTATCTTTGCATCAGGATAATTCAGTCTTTTGATATAGGTTTAATAATCAACTGGTTAAAAAAAAAAAAAAAATCGTTTTACTGGCTCTATAATTGTCTATACAAATAGTGTAATAACTTATGTTAAAATATACATAAAATAATTCAGAACAAATTGACATAGTTAATAGATCTGGACCAATCTATAACATGTAAATAAATCAAACTTTCAGTGGCCTTTAATTCTCCTCTTATACCACTTTCATAATTCATGATTATGCCATGTTATGCTAATTTGCCTCACATAAAACAAATTATATTTGTTAAATATAAGGTTTTCTGATGATGATGAAATAATATGCTATATGTATGAATATATCGCTGGGCTATTTTTTTTATCACAGTCATTTTTTTTTTTAATAGTTCTGACATGATTTTGGACATGATTTTGCACCGTTACCCATTTCATATAAAATTATTATCTAGAATGAGCAAACATCATCGTCTATATTTGTCATATCTGTCTCTAGTAGGGCTCCGATGACCGTTTCGCTGTTTTCTAGAATATCTATCTGGACTGTAACCATATCGGGCTTTTTCTTTATGATATCTTTTTGCCTTATAACGATCTGGAGATGGGGAAAATGAGCGACTACGACTCCTTGAAACCACGTGTCGTTTCTTTTTATGTGTATGTTTGTCTTTATGATAATGATGACTAGGTGATCTTCTTTCTTTTTTCAGTTTTCTGGGAGACTTATTTTTACGTCTTGGACTTCGCGTAAAACTGTTACTAGATGAGCGGCTCCTGAAAAAGATAATTTTAAAGTATGATTAATGATATTGCAGATGACATGCAGATGAACTGTTGGATGAGATGAATATAAATTATATGAAAATGTGCAACAAACACATTACATAAATAACATTTTTCTTGGGAGGCTTGAGGAGGGTCCTCAGATTTCTTTGCAATATTTAATATCATCTCCCTAATGGCACACAATTCTAATGTGGTTGTTTTGCTTTGCTTCGTAGTTATATGATTTGTTTTATTGCTGTGTGTTGGGAGGAGATCTCACACTGTTTATTATTATTAATTGTAAATATATATATAGTAATATCTGTATTATAATTAAACAAACCTTGATCTACTTCTGTGTCTAGGGGAATCAGTTCCTTCACTATCTGATCGATGACGTTTTTTACCATTGCGATGATTTTTATCACTGAAAAATAGAAGAGGATTGTATTTAAATATCATTCAGTCTAAGCCATCAGATTTTTAAAGTTTTAGTCTATTTAGATAGCTTTTGATGACAATTTGGCCTGGACATTGGCCTTTCAACCTACTCATTGAATTCCAAACATCGGGGATTCTTCCTAAAAAGTCTCGGACAATCAACTACTGGGTCCCAAAATGGGTAATGGACTTTACCCATTTTACATGTAATATTGCCCCAGCTTTCTTTGAAAGGTGTGGGACACCAAAAAATTATTGGGAGTGTGTATCATAATTAGAGATAACAGACTGCAGTGGATATAAAAGAATAGTACCTGTCCGAATGTGGTTCATCCTCCATTCTTACACGTTTCATACCAGGTATAATATTTACAGATGGACTAACATTTTTAGGTGAATCTGAAAAATATAAAACAATATAAAAACAAGGGGCCAAATATCTAGATATTAATTAATTTTTTTGTTCTGTGTTTAAAACAAAGTTCCTTAAACTATCCATTAAATTGTATTAAATCATGTACTTACTTTGTCTAGACTGACTATTTGGTGTACCATAATCTGAGGTAAGACCTTTAGCTTTCAACTTCGCCTCCACTTGAAGTTTCTTAGCTTTATCAACTACTCTTTCTAATTCTTCATAATTTGGCTATAATGAGAAAAAGTATCAAAATGATCCACGTTTTTCTATTCAATCGAGGTTTACTGTCCATTCAACACAAAACAGGTCAATTCAGGACTATGTGGTCTTGAACAGTGGGAGGACACAGAAAATCCAATAAGTTGGGTAGGTTATCCTATTCCTTGTTACATATAAGTTTGGGATCGAAACCACATGACTCAACTCAATGACAGACCTTGTGATTGAAAGTGCACACCTATCCCCACCCCCACAAATCAGAAATGATAAAAGAACTCACCTTTTTTCTAGAATATAAGTATAATAATGTTAAACAGATCTGTTGTATTTCCTCTTCATCAACTTGGAATAATCCAAACCAAGATGGATTGATAGGCAAGGCAATCTGAAGTATACAAAAAAAAAAAGGTTCAATGGGTTCAAATAAATACAAGAAATAATTCAATGTGGCCTCAGAACACTATCATTGTAATTAAGACAGGACACCTAACTATATTTGTGTTGTGTTATAGAGAAAGAGAAATGGGTTTAAATGTCAACAACACAAACTAGGTCATTTTGGGACCAAGATGGTTTAATTTTACTTCAGCAATGTCTTTAGCAGTGGGAGGAAAGCTGAGGCCCCAGAGAAAATCTTTAGGTTGGACAGGAGATCCTACTTCTTGTTCCATACAAACTGGGTCTCAAAACTACATCACTTGATTAAATGATAGACCTTATGATCTAAAGTGTGCACTCGAATACCCCACCCACCGGTTATAGGCTATAATAAAGTTAACTTACCTGTAATTGTCTAGCAGCTAGATATATACAAGCACATGCGATTGTTTCAGGATGGTATCTTACAAATACATCTGTTCTAAAGCTATCATTCATATAATTCCTACAATAACAAAATATTACATCTCACCACATAAAATATGACAATACACATGACACAAATCAAATATAGACAATAGTACTTCGAACATGGCATCTCTCTAGCAAATTCAAAGGTTTCATTTTATTTTGAAGACCAATTTCTGGAATTCTTAGAATGGGTATCTCTGCCCATCTTACAAGAAACGAAAGAGAATAAAAGAATGGATGGAAAAGAGAATATTTCCAATATACGTTACCTTGTTGCTTGCATACTTTATATAAACAAGATCAAATACATTTATCTCTGGTGGTCAATTATCAAGCTACCTCTGGTACTCACTGACTGGTCAACAACAATCCTTCTTTTACCCACGACTCTGCAACTCACTTGATTAATAAACTGGAAAATTAGGCAACTAACTTATTAATTTTAACAGTTAATTTCCACCTTTATATCTTATATCAATTAGATTATCAGAAATTTACTTTGATATCTTTACCATTAATTTAAATTATTGTCACTATTTATCTTATAAATTTTTTGATTTGTCATTTTTATGAACCCGCACAATCTGATGTGCTTTACACTACACAACACTTTGTCTGTACTATCACCATTTTCACAGTAACGAACACATGATCTTGATGACATCTGATTGGATGATAAGACGTGCAGATATGGACCAGTCAGGTGAGCATGTCGGTGGCAGGTAACCAATTTCAGAGATTCACATTTTGAAGACATTATGGTTTCAAGGACTTTACCCTCCTAGGCTGGGGTAAGCAAAAAAGGAAAAATATGTTAATAATTACACATGACACAGTATAAAGTAAATTGTGATGTGAATTAGATTAGAACTATAAAATTGATCAAGACCATTATTAAGTCGGAATAAAGAGATGCCATGTTAGAAACCTACTACCTTTGTAATATCTTACCTATTTTTTGAAAATTAACCTTTCTAGATCAGAATGCTTGTTTGTTATTTACCCATAAAAGCAAATGTCTACAAAGCACAACAAAAGCTTATGTAGAAAATGACACATATCACTAAATATGCCTGGCAGTGTAAATTTTCTTATTATGATAAACTGCTGTAAAGCCCTGAACTCAGATTCGTTCGTCTCAGTTCTTTGCACATTTTTTTTAAGTCAATAAAACAGCAGGTAATGTTTACCCGTCACGTGAGTAAAAACACACGCTATGCAGCTTCAAATGAACACGGCCAATAATCTTTTCACACAAATGTGAACTTATCAACTTTTTATCAGCTAAAATTATTAATACAAATATTACTCACCAGGCACATTGGACTAATCGTTTATTTTGTTGACATTCTAACACTTGTAAAAACATGACAATTATCTGCAATATAGGAAGATATATATTGAAATACCATATTTATGCAGAGAGCCATTTATATTCATTTGTTTTATAAATATTTTCCTGGATCAAAAGCATATAATTACATGTAAATTAGAATGATAATTTACACTACTTAATATTAAGGACAAAAGTTGATCAAATACCTTATGTGGGTGTTTTACATGTACACAAAATCCCAATTCCTTTAAGATTCGTCTTTCTCCCTTTATAACTTGATTTTTTAGATTTATGTAGTTTTGGTCTAGAATTAATGGATGTATTGTCCTGAAATTAGTCAAAATGAAGATGTTACAGAAACCCACGGAGTCACAATATACAAAAGTCAATTGTAAGACCACACATACAATTGTAGATGCAGTTTGGTTATATTTATTAACAAGCCAGTACTGTTAGGAAGTGAAAAATAAAATGGTTGTTTATCTGTAAGTTAAACAATTTAGGTCAATTTTTTTTTCATATGGGAAGTGTATGAAATTACCGGGAAAGTTTCTTTTACACACGGTTTCCCAGTTCCTGTTGTATTGCAATGAACAATGCCACAAAAGCTTCAACATTGTGATATATTACAATTTGATTGATCCAGATCCATATCATGTAAAATACAGTGATTTTAACACATTTAGAATGGTTCTATTTATAGGACTGCTATATTGCTGTGGTCATGTTTTAGACTAAACCTTAGTCATTTATGTCTCATTTCATTAAATAAATCTTATGAAATATTTTGAAGACAAATTCATTGAAACTAATTATTTGAAAGGTTTTAAGATTTTGTTCTTTAATTCCAAGTTGGTTACTTTGCTACTCATGCCACAGATGTTTTTAACATTTGGAACACATGGTCAGAGGATTTTAAGTTAAAAATTCACCATTGTAATAGAAACATTTCATAGCTGGTTGTCTTACATTATGATCATACCACAGACCAGGAAATCTGTACGCAGTCATCACAGCCACCTTGGATTTGTGATGTCATACCAATCATCCTACTTGATTTGGCAGAGAATTGAACTTTTTTCGAAGAGCGTCACACCACAGCAATCAACAACAAGATTAACGCTTGGGTCCTAGTTCCTGGTCCAAAAACTATACAACTATGTGGTAACCATGTTCCAAGCTTGTAAAATTTACACCAACGAAACAGCTAGGGCCATTGTCAGTTTAATTATCATACCCGCAAGTAATTAAGTAACCCAGATTTCAAACTACTGTATTTAGTTATCAAAATGAATTAGTGAATATTGGTTAACATTTGAGAACTGTTTTAAATGGTATTTTTGAACTAACAAATGATTTTACTGAAGAAACCATGGGAATACAACAAACATGTGGTGACAAATTGTCTACCCAGATCCTGGCTACATGGAGTATGTTACTCTAAAGTAAACAAGAAAAATCCTTAATAAAACATAGTAACAGGGTTAGGATCATTATAAAACGACATGAATTAGACACAGAAATCAATGACTGAAATACTTTCCATTAATACAAGCCTTAAAATAAAGTAGTTAAAAGTTCTGAATCCATTCATGGGATAAATTTATCTATTTATTCCTACAGTATTCTTACTAATAATCAAATAATTGATTAGAACTAATATTGCTCAGATAAAAATTTTTATATTTAATTTGTATAATGCTTTTATACAGAATACTGTTTCTAAGAATTCAACATCAGAAAAAGCCTTTGCAAATATCATATTTCCCATTACGTTAATTTGTCAATCAAATTCCTATACCATGCTGTTCGGTCTGAATTGGACACTTTATCACATGACCGATCCTTTTCAACTTAGTCAATAAAAGTAAATAATCTGAACATACAGCTAGAAATATATTATATATTCAGGTTATATACATACAAAACAAATTACTGGGATTCAGAGTTCAGAGTATCTGTGACACTTTACCTAGATCATTCTTCACATTATGTTTATAAAAAATAAACTTTTATATAATATATAATTTCTAATATCATAATCTGTCTTATCAGCATGGTAATATTTGATTATCTTCATGAAATTGAATATGCCAGCAGTTTAAAGGTAGACAAAAGAGTAACTGACTCCCATCATGCATTTTCCATCTCTATCCAAAATCATCAATTCCCTCTTCTTCCAATATCTCTGGTATGTTAAGACTGGTTGCTCTTGATATTCTTTCGTTTTTTTTTTTTTTTTTCATTTTACCATTGCTTTATTTTCCAAAGCTGGTATATCTGTTTGATTCACAAGTCTTCATTTATACTTTTTCACATACTATGAGGCTAAAATATAAATCTATTCACAATAATTGAACAGGATATGATCAATTCGTCAAATTATGTGCTTAACCATGATTAAAACAAGTGAAAGTTAAGTATCACATTAATCTGTGCCATCAAGTTTGAGTATTGGATAAATATAAACCTATCCGTAATTCATACTTGCATGTCTCCTCGTGTATTCTGTACAGTTACTATACTGTGTATAAAGCGTTACATGTGACCATCTGTGCACAAATTGATTGGAAACATTTTTGGAAGACTAGGATAGAATTGTTGTACAAATTAATGACTCAAGGTACAAATCTACACCTTGAAGGATATAATCATTAAGTGGCATTTAGCGATCGGAAACACATTAATTGATAAGAGGATACTTGTTGAAACATCGTGCGTTTAGAATAAAACTAGTGATTGTATCCCATAAAAACTGTGTTCTGTTATTGAAGGATATAGTCATGTTCATATTAGGGGGTACAAGGGCATTATTTACCATTGTAAAACATAACCACACAACACAAACCATCTTTACACACCCATGAGTATTTCATAACACTGTAAACAACTGTGAGAACGTTATCACACTAATCACTGTAAACCCACCGACTACTTTATCAGACTACTCAATGTAAAATACTGGGTAATTCCTCATACTACTCTCACTGTAAACCACTGACTAGTCCTGGTAGTAGGGTAGGGCTTAATGTCATCTTCAACCTAGGGTGATATCACAGACAAACTGAGAAGTCACTGAGCAAATGAAAACATCAGCCACAGAATCAAATCATTGAATATTTACTTTATCATACAATGGTTTATAGTTACATACTAGTAATTAGGTGGTATGCCACATGTGTAAAAAGGGACACCTAGAACGATACACATCAGGATTGGTTGAGTTTCGTGTATTCAAAAGAGGGGTATTAGAATTAGTCAAGCTTTCAAACCAGAAGAACATGTTTACAGCCATACCCACCAGTTAATCAATGACTGCTGTTACAAACCACTTTTTAGACTGAATAGAAGTTTTGATAACAAATTATAGCATATATTTTCATCAGATGACTTCATGAGGATGAAATTATATTAGCTTTGGCTGGTTTTCAAATCCATTATATTTTGCACTCAAATTAAAATATTGTTTAAACCATTAAGCGAACAGCATCAGATTTAAAAGTCCCTTTCTCTAAATTGATTTCTCAGTGAAATTTTAAGTGGCTGGTTCAGAATAAAAGTTATATGCTTAAATTACTCCACCTCATTCTTCTTGTTGGTCAAGACTTCTCAAACATAAATAGATCAAAATAAAAGTTTTTCACAAATTAACATGTTGAAAATATTAACAGTTAATAATGTAACATTCTGACTAAAATTTACTGACTTTTATTTAGAAAATATTGGTTTAATTTAAAGTAATTATCATATGACATGCTGTATTTGATAATCTTCAACCACAATCACATCAATTGCTTATGTAAATTTTTAACAAAGCCATCAAATCTGTCAGCTGAGTTATCATTTTATTACAAAATTGAGACTATTAAAAATGAATACTGTCAACCATCACAGAGATTGATTTTTCATGAATCAGAACTAAATTAATACCAATTACACTAATAAATAATTTCAATTATATATATATATCAAACTTAGAGTAAGGCTGCAAATAAATTGTCACAGAAGTTAAAACAACAATATTTATTAAAGAAATACCTAACAGCACTGGCTTTTAAAATAACAGAACCAAACCAAACCTTTTAATACAAACCATAATATGTTGGTGACGTATGGAATGAAGGTGGGGTTTTAGATTTAGATTCTAACTTCCTTCACCTCACTATCCAATCATTAAGTCACAACTGTATGTGTGGTCCCCATCCAATAGCTGTGATTGTGAAAAAAAAAAAGAAAAAAATGTTAGGCCTGAACTATTATAAGATTTAAAAAACAACAAATAAAATTTGTATACATAACTGAACAATACTACAACAGATGTACAGTTTATCAAAGGAGTACATGTAATTTTGATTCATATCCTAGTGGATGAAAGTCATATCAATGACCGTTCTATGTTGGAGTGAAGAATGTTTTTTTTCATGTACAGGTCACTCTCAATCTTTGCCAAAAGAAGAGTTAGAGACTAAACATTCTAAGGACACTTTTAAATTAATCTATCACTTCAGCTTGCTAAAAAGAACAAGTGTATGCTCTTTAAGTCTATCTCAGTTTTTAATTCAACATAATCTTAAACCTATGAAGTTTGAAGAAAAAAAATATTAATCACAAATTTTATGAAAATAAATTACATTTCATTATCAGAATGAAAAAATTGAAAAACTGATTCTTACCTGCCACTTCTGACTTGTTTAACATGATGAAAAACATTTACAACATCTCGAATTCTACGTGGACATTCTTCAATTTTTGAGGCAAGGTTTGTACATGCCATTGCCACAACCTGGGAACATAACAAATTTTACAAATTATCCAGCTCTCAAACTATATCCAACAGGACCTGTATTATTATACTGTACCACAGGCATGTACCATTTACTTTTAAAATTGAAATAAAAAAACCCTAATAGTCTAGCCCAGTTCCAATCTGTTTTACAGAGAATTACGAGTCTAGTAAAAATATCTCTGTCAAAGATGACTGCCGTCACAGCACGCGGCGTCAATCATTGGCTGAACGGCATGTGCATTGTTTACAAAAGACATTACTGCTTCGGGCTGAATGCTGTCTTTTAGTCATTTTAATACCCATTTACACTAAATAGGAAATAATTTTTACCGACAAATACGTCAAACGCCTTTATTTATTTTTCTAATACATAAAAAAAATGTTATAGAATTTAATTTGTCGCAGGAAAAAAGTTAATATTTCTTGCTCATTAAGTCGCATCAATGTCATCCTTATCAGTGACTGTAGCGGCCATGCGAAAATTCACTGCTGATCAGTGTGGCCCAGTTCTGGCTCTGGGTTGACATAAAATATCCACACTCAAGCATCCAAATAGGTTGATTAATAATGTCAAAACTGTGGACCAATATAATTTTATGGGGAGATTGAGTTATGAATTTCCTTAATGATCTGGAAGGTATGTTTAGTTAAGTATGCAGAGGTATTAAGTGCAATCTGCTCAGTAGCCTTATCTGAATCGGATTTGCTTTTATTTATTTACATTCAAGAATTTTTAAAATCCTTGTACAGTATTTTTTTCAATTTGGCCTTCAACGTGGTACATTTATATTCATGTTAAATAATCTGGGATATGATTTGTTTAGGTTGCTTTAATTAAGCACACATTGGCTCATTGGGGGCATTTCAAATCAAAGCTTTGAGCTTAATCCTGTCTGGGGTATTGAAATTTCAGTTGAGGAAATAATTCAATCTAATGTGAATTGAACCCATTAAAGTCGGTAATCAAATTGACTTTGTTAAACCAATTAAACAGTGTCATTAGTGTTTCATGTTTACAAAAACATCATTGTTTCATAAACAGGAAGTCCTGATTATCACGATTATAAAACGTTCTTGTGACGTCATAAAAAGAGAACAAGGTTACTCACCTCCATGTTGTGTTTCACAAATGACTTTGAGTAATAAAACCTCTGAAAAATAACTTGACCTGTAGCCATTGCGACCTGCAAAACAGAACCAAATTATGGAATAATAAAATAGAATTAAAATTTTAAATATTCTGTCTTAAAAAAAAAACACGCTGGATAAATCTGAAAAAGATATCAATTGAGCATGTGATCACAAATAAAAATGGCGTCAGGGTTAGTTCCTACCTGAGGAAGTTTTAGGAGGATGCCTGCTGTCTGAATAAGTTCACACCCCAGAAATCGAAGATCTATTTCAGTATCTAAATCTAAACCATCTTGCATCGACGGTGTTGTTGATAACTTTTCTGGTGGAATAAGGACATTATCTAAGGTTAAAATAACCTTACTAAAATCCTTCACAGAAAGAGGATCCACCGGAGTCTCCGCCATTGCTTCTTCTCTGAAACTTAACTAGAATTGTATTGCTGCGCCTTATCTAGGTCAGGGTTTATTTTTGTACAAATACTGTTAATACCATGTTAAGGCATTGAACCTTAAATGTAGTTTAAGGTTTTCTAAAAAAATGTTGACTTTCTTATTAAAATATAGTTGTAAATGTTCACTTTACACGGCACTATTTGATCCTGCGGGTAGTTGTGAATAGTAATTTGGGAAATATTTCGACCTTCACCTAACTGAAACCGGTTGCAATGATATACGCATTCGAGTAATGGAAACTGATTTCAAACGGGATTCAGTTCACCACGTTGGAACAAAGAATGATAACTCTAATTTACTAAGTGTGCTAAAATCGACAAATTTATTGTTATGACACCTCATCAATATATATTTTTTTATCTATCACTAGATCAATAAGAGATAGATTTAATCGATATAGATCTACGCCACATAAGCAAATTCTCATTCAGGTGATCTTCTTTACTGTGAAACTGTACAAGAACTCATGAGGGCATAGTCTTGAGACCGAAGAGGAATTGACAGATGATTGAAGATTCTTCTACTTCTAGTTCTACCAAAATTTGTTTATAAAACTTTTACTTACAAACAACCGGTCTAGCAGTTTGTATGGTTGAATTACTAAATTTTATATTGATGCATCTCTCTGTCGTCCTGAGTAGACATGGGGAAAATTTAAACCCGGAATAGACAAGCAATGATCGTATCATAAGGAAAGAGGGATTGCAAGAGATAAGGTTTTATACAAGTTCAAACTGCAACCTGTATTCTGTATGGTTTGTCATGCAGAACTTGCAACAAAACAGAAAGGAATGTTACATTTAGAAGACAGTCCCATATTGCATTGAATAAGCGAAAGATCGTCTAAAAAGGAAAAGACAATCGCAATCTACTGTTACAAAATTTGGTTGTGAACTGTGTATAAAATTGAGTTTTATACCTTAGGAGAATGAAAATTCTTCTTCAAGAATCAATTTCCAAAATGCATAAAGTTCTAACATTCCATTACCTTTTTATTTCGGTTTGTGTTTTATTTATTATAAAATTAACATATTGTAAGCCACTGACATTTAAGAAAGACCTTGGAGATTCTCAGCTTACACTTGATAAATTAAAACCTCAGGATCACTTAGATGCCTTAAAAATGGAACATGATGGACACATTAACAGGGAGTATCATAAAGAGCTATTTTTAGGAAATCATGAAGATATAGAAAAAGATGCTCAAAATGCAGATTCAAAATTAAAAGACGTATTTTTCAGGTAAATCTCAATTTTTGTTAATATGTGTGGGTTCGATACAAAAAATGTTCTTGGTCCTAAAACGTCTTATTGATTATTCCATTAAAATAGTTTCATTTTCATTCAATACATACTTTTAGCTCTGGGTTAACATATGGTCCCAGTCATCCCACCTATCTCATTTATGTTTGTATTGTTTCTCACAGGGTTGATGGTGATAAAGATGAATTTTTAACAGAAGCAGAACTGGAAAGTTGGATCAAACTAAAAATGGAAGAACATTTCGATGAAGCTCTACAAGAAAATGATGAAATATTTGAACATTTAGATCCAGACAAAAATGGTGAAATATTTTTTCTGTCACTGTAGCCTGTACATTTATAGAAATGTATACTAAAAATAAATGAAATGGAGTTTACTGTTCTACCTTTCTACATTGACTTAGCTACTAAAGACAAGCATACATGTACATGTATAACACATAGTGTGGTACATGTATGACGAAAACTTTGCCCTGACAGTTATTTTGAATTCCAACTGTCAAGTGTTCTTTTACATGCACGCCAATATGTACATAGGGCCTGGGTTTTCCTTACTATCCTAAAAACTAGACACCGTTCCTTGTCAGGCCCTCTATTCTGCTCCACTTACATGTACTAGGGGGAACCAAACAGGAAATTCCTAAGGAAATTTCTCAGCCAACATGAGGAAAAACCCCGATTCATCCAGGTTAGCTTTGTTTATTATCGTAACAGTGGTACTTGACAATCGATACTATATTTTCAAAACTTCAAAAACATCAATATATTCATTTTTGATTTTCTTTTTTTGAACTATTATTATTAAGAACAGCAAGCTCTTTATCTTAATTTTACAGAAAGTGAAAAACTGAGTATGATGTAATGATTGCTGTATTTATAAGTATGTCAATTTGATTTTATACGCTCACATTGAAAGATGGTTGTATATTGTCGTCACCCCGTCTGTCTGTCAGTCCATCGTCCACACCACAGTTGAGGCTAAAGTTAATATCCGATTGACTTCAAATTTATTGATTTTCATTGATTTCCAATAATTATTCCAAGAGTCATTGCCCTTTCCTCTTTCAAAAATCTTGTTGAAAATCTGGGGACTGAAGTTATCCAATTGACTTTAAATTTATACACATGGTTAAGGTCATGAGACAAAAAAATCTTTTGTGTTTCGATAATTACTGTCAGAGTTATGGTCCTTGATCATTTTGAAAAATCTTGTGGACACCCTAGAAACCAAAGTTATCATCCGATTGACTTTAAATTTATACACAGTGAGAAGGTGTATTGATTTTCAACCATTTCTGATGAACAGCTAAATTCATGATGTCTGATAATTACTCAACAGGTTGTAACTCGTAATCAGATTTTAGTGTGTTGTAAATGTTTGCATATTACCGACAACAAAAAATATGCAACAACCCTTGTTAGCTGCTCTGAGTGTATGTTTTGTTGCCTGGCAACCCTATCTTAATAATGTATAAATTATTTTTATTTTAGGAAAAATCCATTGGAAAGAATATTATGTTCATTTTCTATTAGCAATGAATATAGCTGAAGATATAGCCAGAAAACATGTAAATGATTATGATCAAATTGAACTTGATTCAAATGGTTAGTATACAGTATGTCCCCCATCTGGACTTGCACCTGTATGATCATTCTGAATATCAGTAAATACCAAAATCAGTGTATTCCTTGGGTTGCTCAAAATTTATATTTTTGTATCTTTCATTCAGTAGTACTAGTTAGTAGTACATCGCTCTCAAGTGATGGCTTTAGTCTGTTGGAGGGATGCCATGGCTAGGCCATATAAATGGTGCTCTTTAAATTATAATACGGTCTGTCATCAAATCGTTGATGCAAGTGTTGTGATTTAGATGCTTGTTTTTCCTAAAGCTAAACAGCTCTGTGTGCAAGTGTTAGTCCCGAATAGCGATAGTGGTTGCATAGAATGCTGATTTTACTATTCAGATATTGTACATGTACATGCTGTTCTAATATTTGATCCAATTTAAATGATCAATCTTTGGATTGTTTTGGTGTATTTTCAGATTTCTAGACCTTGTAAACCAATATATTTTCCTACAGATCTGTCTGTTTATTTTAGAATTTTTGTTAAAGTCGCTGATCATCATTCCGATAATTGACTAAATTGTTTATTTAACATTTAATTAAGAAAAACAAATAAAAATATCAATGGTAGATAATGTTGACTTGTGATGACTGTATTCTATATATCGTCTGGAGTGGATGACAAATCTTTGCAAATTTTCAATTTATCATATCGTTGTAAATACTGAATGGAACTGAACCCTTTTTGGACTGATATTCCTATTAGATATTCACCTTTCTCAATATTGTAGTTTGCATCCCTCAAATCACATTCAGAGACTATGATTAATATATCATAATTCATGGGATTTAAGAATAATTATCAAACTCTATTGATTGAAACCTAATAATGAATACTACAAAAATTTAAACAAATTGTCTTGGAAAACTATTTCAGTTCAAATATTTGTTAAACATCATTACCCCACCCCCTTCTTTTCCAATCTAACAACTTATTGTTTCATATTACAGCAAAAGAAGATTTGATTCGCTATAAATTCAGATGGACAGATGCTGATGAAGATCCTGCTGATAATGAACTAACAAAACTGGAATTTCTGGCGTTCCGTCATCCTGAACAGGCTCCTAAAACATTAAATAATATGGTGTCTAGTATTATTAGTACTTTAGGTATATATTATTTTCTGTTATGTACATGTATAATTTATTATAATTGTAAACTTGATGGTTTTCATCTCTATAAAAGGAAAATATGTTTTTAGAAACATATTAAACAGTGTCTCGTTAACTCATCACCATTATAACAACTGCCACCATAACATACTGTTTTATGTGCTGAGTATCAAATAACTACACAGCAGGCGAGTTACGTATACCTTAAACAAATTGGTATACATACATGTATATTTTAAAAGTAATTGGTTAGGGCAGGTGTATAGTTCAGTCGCTAAACGTGTATAGTTCAGTCGCCAAACGCAATATTTCGAGTGAACCTGGAAATTGTATACAAAGATTTTTTTATGATTGATTTTAGTAGCCTAGTGTGTCCTGATAGGCATGTATGTGGTGTTATCATATCACTCATATGCTCCTATTTCCAGAAATATATAGTTTGTCTCTAGATATAGTATAGTTAATTTTACTATCATCTAATCACCCTACAACATAATGAACGATTTCAGTCTACCCCTTGACCCCAAAAACATACATTCAGATAGCAAAATTATCATTCTAGACTAAATACTATGGACGTTATAGGAGATTATTTGAAATGGGGGCCATCTTGGATGTCATCTTGACTTTCTCCAAACGCTCAAGGGTGACTGAGGTTTACCCGGCAGATTCTGAAAGAGGTCAACCTAGGCTACTAAAATCAATTGTAAAAAAAAACTTTGTACAGTATACAATTTCCAGATTCAGCCATAGTTCTGTCGGACTAGTATAATAATATTTGAAGATGATACTTTTGTACACTGAGTTATGTACGATCTTGTCAATTGTGCTGTTACATGATACATTTGTTTATCTTCTAGATCTTAATGATGATCATATATTAACTGAAGAAGAGTTTACAGCTTTACCACCAGGGGAAGTAGAAGAACAGGATCAACGTGATTTAGATCAACAATGGCAGGCTGAACGAAAGAAAGAATTTCAACTTGGTGTAGATACAAATCATGATGGAAAAGCCACAGAGGAAGAACTCAAGGTCAGAAATGTATTTTATTTTTACAAAAGAAAATGACATGGAATAAGGTTTAAAGTCCTACTTTTCTGCTCCATCCTTGTTAATAAAGATGGGCATATGTCATGCATGCTATGAGGGAAATTTTACCCAGACAGCCTCACTACTGCCTACTCTTATTTCTAACTGTTCTTTACATGTTCGACTAGATGTTGTTCCTTGCCAGGCCCTCTATTCTGCATCATAGATAATTATGAGGAATCCACATTGGAAAATCTTTAGGGAATTTCTCAAGCCAATACCAGGATCGAACCTGGGACCTTTAAGAAAGAATTCACTACGCACAAACATTAAACATCACAATTGAATGGTTTTGTAAAAACTCTACTACATTTTTGATTAGAATAAGTGCCTTTTGAAACAAGAATCCTAAAATGGTTTATTTGTTTTTTTTTCAGAGATATCTTGACCCTAAAAATCCATTTCAAGCAGTTATGGAAGCAAGGAATCTGATAAATTTAATTGATGTGGATAAAGATAAGAAATTATCATTAACAGAAATCATGAATAGAAAAGACATCTTTTTATCTAGTAAAATTTGTGATTTTGCTCGAAACTTACATGATGAATTTTAGGTCATTTATTTTTTTTCTTTACCATGAGAAAGTATTGTAAAATTTATAATAATGATGTTAACTTGTTTAACAGTCTATTTTTGTAAATACTGAATATATAAAGAAAATCATTTATAAAAGAGGTTTTGTATAAATTGAATGACTTATTCTAAAGGTTTGGAATTTGGTGTATTTTTGAGAAAAACATCTTTAGAAATTCATCTGAAATTAAACTTCAGTTGAATGTAAAATATTTGTTAATAGATTTGGTATGCAATTTAATAGTAGCCTAGATCAAAAGTGTGCCATAGATATGCATGTTTTTTTTTTAAATGCCTACATTGAAATGTCGTCGCCCCCCCCCCCGGCTTCCAGAATTGCTTGTGGACACTCTGCTCTAGAGGCTAAAGTTAATAGCCGATTGACTTTAAGGTCACGATACAAAGAAGCCCCTTGATTTTCACCGATTTCCGATAATTACTGCCACAGTTATGGCCTTTGATCACTTTGAAAAATCTTGTAGACGCTCTAGAGGTTAAAGTTATTACCTGATTGACTTTAAATTTATACACAGTGTTTAAGGTCATGAGACGATGAAGCCTATTGATTTTCAACGATTTCTGATAATTACTGCCAGAGTTATGACCCTTGATCCCTTTGAAAAATCCTGTAGACGGTCTAGAGGCTATCCAATTGACTTTAAATTTATACATAGTGTTTAAGGTCATGAAACGAAGAAGCCCCTTGATTTTCACCGATTTCCGATAATTAATGCCAGAGTTATGGCCCTTGATCTTGTGGATGCTTTAGAGACCATAGTTATCATCTGATTGATTTTATATTTATACAGTTTAAGGTCTTGAGACGAACAATTGATTTTCAATGATTTTTGATAACTTGAACAACTAAATCCATGACATTAAATGTTTTGCAAAGTAAACATTAGCATGGCCCAAACAAATTCTAATGATTTTCTGATAATTACTTAATGTGTTGTTACTCTTAATCAGATTTTAATGTATTATAAATGTTTCATTACCGACAAAAGTAAAAAATATGCGACAACTCTTGTTGACTGCCCAGATGATTTAGCTGCTGTGGGCGTATATTTCGTTGTCTGGCAACCTATCTTAACAACATATTGTATGTATTATTAAACATTTATGTGCAAGTAAGACTAACTGAAATCAACATGCTAAAAGCATTTACAATAGCATAGTATTGCCAAGTTGGTGCATTTTCATATTGCCTGCATGGTTGTGGAAATTATGTACTGTAAGAATATACATAGTTTACTGTCTCATTCCATATTTATTTCTGAAACTATAGCTTTTGATAATGTAACATTTTCATGTCAGCCAAACCATTCTAATTTTTAGTTTTTTGGGAGTTATGATACATAAATAGGCACTGGAGTCTTGTAAACAATGTTTCTTTGATATTTCAAAACTGAAAAATTTGGCACCAAAGGCTTTTCAGAAAAGTAACCAAGTAGATTTTTTATTCAAGAATGAAATTTTTAGTCGATGTGCCCAAAGTACGAATATTTAAATTGGTGTTGACTTATTTTATAAATAACAAGGAGATCTGAGTTTTATAATTACTTCCATAATCCTTGTATTATATGCACCAGATAGTTTTACACTAAAATAAAATTTCGGGAATGTTTTTATATATGTAGTAGGTTTTATAATGTTTGTATGTATTAATGTTATGTTATGTTATTTATAAAAAGTTTGCTTTTTGTTAGATTTTGGTTACAATATAATATGGTTTCTGTGAGAAAGGGTTTGATTTTTTTTAAAAATGAAATACACATCATCGGTCCACGGACAAAATACTTTGTACTTTTTTTTGGAAATCCATGATTGTAAAGAAATTTATGTTTTTACAAGATGTTGATTGTGATCCTGATATTTGGTGAAATTGTATATACAATTCATTCAATACACGCCTCACACTCTCAGAAATCCATGCACACCTCACCATAACGGACCATATCATTAGCTAATCTCCCACATCTAGCAGAACATGGTTTATTTGATTTTATTGGAGTAAAGACAGTGTGATAGGAGGGAGATTTTGTCTGGACTGCAGCACAATAGTCTACTCTTATTTCAAATTCCAACTGTCAAGGGTTATTTCAAAACGCCGACGCATACACAGGACCTCATTTTTTTTGTCTCATCCAAGTTGTCCTTGCCAGACCCTCCATCCTGCAACATAAAACATAATTTGAACTACAATGTATAATAAACGAATGCTAAAGGATCTGTTTTATTAATATTGGTCATTAAACAAAGAATGTCTGAAAATTACAGGGATATTAATGGAAGAATAAAAGTTTATAGAACATATGAAATGAATGAAATGAAATGGGGTTTAACGTCCTACTGTTCTGCTCCTAACCTGGGCTAATGAAGACGGGCATACGCCATACAGTGTGCTATGAGGGAAATTTTGCCCGGACAGCGGCACTACGGCCTACTCTTATATCGAATTCCAACTGCCAAGGGATCTTTTACGTGCACGCCAATGTGAGAACATATGAAAGTTATGGTATCTGTGCGACTGATTAAATTGTATTAAAGTCACATGTATTTATTTCTGTGTTCTTAAAATTTTAAAAATATTTATTATAACTACCAACAATTCACAATTTTATTATTATTAATGTTCAGGTTTTAATTTTAAAGTCACAAGTCAGAGGTTATATTTTAATGTAAAGATCGTTGTAATTAGAAAAATCTGAGTATAAAAAGATGTTCATTAAAATTGTACACAAGAAATCAACACGTTTTTCTAAGAGATAAAGATGACGAATCAATGAAAACCAATGTAAAATGATTGTAACTTAGTTAGAATATTCAGATTTATGTACCAGAATGTTTTCTAATAAAGAGATTATGCATGATCTTACATGTAAATTCTATATTTAATCTTTATTCTGTTGTGGCTTTAACGTTTCACCAGAAGATGTTTATTGTATATCCTTAACCAATATACCATTTATATTAATTTTAACAATACAGATAAACTTTATACGTTAAATATTATTTTTTTATCATAAGTTCATGTTATAGTGTTTTTAATTGAGCTGTATATAAGGCACATCAGAGTGTGTTTGTGATGTTTTTCACAGGGTATAATACAAACTCGGTTCATTTACATGGTATTTAAAAATAAATATGGTTATATATATATATATATATATATATACACACTTGTTTGTTGTTTTATCAAATTGATTATATGGGATGAAGATGAACAGATCATGTATCAGTAAATAAAATAGAAGTCACTTGACTCAGTTGGGCGAAATAGGTTTCCCACCCACTCTTATCGCAGCATTAGCTGGGGTCCTTGATAAAATCCAAGGAAAAGGGGGTCCACGAAAAAAAAGATAGCCAAGTAAAATTCAGTATGAAATTGTTAGTATTTGGTCAGTTGAATGCTTGTAGTTGATTTCATAGGCCTGAGACTGACTAAAATCGACTGCGTTGTCAATATGTATATGACCATTTACTGGTCATTGGGCATGCCACAGCTGTTAATGTGATTCTTGGGGTGTAAGAAGCCTTTGTTATTGTGGTTTCAGCAGTTCTACGCGCTAAAGGGACAAGCAAATGTGTTGAATTATGGTATATGTTTGACTTGTGAAGTGTTTATATTTTCAGACCTGAAAGGAACTAGCAAGTGAATTAATACATTCTTAATATTGCGATGAATTGATTTTGCTGGAAGATATAATTTATATACCTGCAAGTTCTTGAGACTGTGATAAATAGTTTGACTTTACAAGAAACAGTGCCATGAACAGAGTGACCAAGTAGACAATTGGTAAACATTTACACAGGAATCTCACTGAAATGTGGTTTACAATAAGTTGAAAACAAAATTGTTTCTAGAGAGTTTTATGAGGTGAACAAGTACCATAACTCTTGAAATAATTAATAGAAATTGTTTGAGATTCAATGAACTTCATTTCACTAATCTGAATAATACATATAAATTTCAGACTAATCACTAGATAAATTTTGTCATAGAGTGTTCACAAGATCGATGGCAATGACTCTTGAAGTTATTATAAGATATTGAAATTCAATAGTCTTTTTCATCTCACTAATGTAAATAAAGTTTTTAAAAGATCAGATGATAAATGTAGTTTGTAGAGTGTTCACAAGACATTTTGGATGACAGGCAGGGGCAACAGCAATATATATCTCCATGTCGGTGTATAAAAGTATGTAGTGATTAGTAAAAACTAAGCTCAAAAATTAGAAATAACCTGATGTTCAAATCTGTTTAATGAGATATTTGTCAAGAACATCACAGTCTATAAAGTTGACAATGAATATATTACAATAGTTAATATAAACAGTTCATTTTATAAAAATCAGATCTACATGAATTCATATACTTTGAAATTTAATGGCCAGTTTACAGTAATCAGATGTTTAATGTACAAATAGAACAAGTATATATTGGAAAGTCTGCTGGCAATTTATATTGTTAACATCATAATATCAAAACATATAAATAAGTATTTACAAATTAAATCAGCATATATCAAGTCTTTCGCTAGAAAATTGACCCCTAGCTCCAGAAAGCCTGTGAGGATTATGGGATCACAACTTTTTTTTTTTTACTTAAAAAATGTTATAACTTATTAAGTAATATTAAGCCATCTGAAGGGCTGTGGTCCAACACTCAAACAAATTAAGTGGCTTCTGGTGTCAATAGTGTTTAATATAATTTAATTTACAATTATAATGAACCTAATTACTGCATGAATAAAGTAATGAGAAACATGTAATATATATATATAATGATAACAGTTATAATGTTATTCTGTAGCCATAGATCGAGATGAATTACGTGTTCCTAGTGATGTTCTACCATTTCGTGTTTTTCGAGTTGAACTGGGTTTGGGTGAAAAAATTTCATCAATATTTTCATCTCCTGATCCTGCAAATCAAATAAAAGTTGATATAAAATAGTGTATCATTCCAGCATGCAACTATTTAATCTAGTTGCTTATTAAATGATCTTTTAACAATGCTGTACAGCCATCCTTGATCTTTTTGTACAGACATGTTCTTTGATATCTAGAAATGAAATGACTGAGCTAATGAAGACGGGTATATGCCATGTAGTTTGCTATAAGGGAAATACTCCACAGATAGCAGTGCTACAGCCTACTCTTATATTAAACTCAAACTGGCATGCCAATGTGTACATGTGACCCCGGTTTTTCATCCCATCTGAATGACTAGACAGCTGTAAAGGGGACAGACCCTGGAAAAGCCAGAGGAACTTTCCCGGCCAACACCGTGAGTGTATCCAGGACCTCCAGACTAGTAAGCTAGCGTCGTTTCACGGAGTCATCAAACTCCCATTTGATATCTAGAACACACTAAAACCATTTATTTTGAATATTCTATCTTCAAATATTCGAATAATGGGATTACTGTATCAAATTATAGAAGTTAACATTACCTTTATTATCAACATCAAATAATTCCACATCGCTCTCTTCGTCCGAACTAAAAGATACTTTAGGTTTGGGTTTTCTACCCTTTGTTCTAGTTTTTCTACCATCTATAGGGCTATCTATATCATCTTTATTTTCTTTACCACCTCTACGTCGACCTGTCAAATACATCAAAATTGTAATCAAATCAAAAACATATGAATTAATCAGGTTAGTCGACACATGTCACTGTATAGAAATAGACATGACTAACTTTAGATCACCTTTAGAACAACAATATTTGGGTAGGACTAGGAGGAGTAAGGTGAAAGTACATGTTGGTTTCATAGGCATTCATTTCTGGCAAACAAATTTAACTATAAAGACCAGTAAATCCAGCTTGTTAAAACAGGTTAATCAAAAAAGTATTTTTATCACATTATTAGCACCAGAATAAATGTTAAATATAGTATTGATGTCCATACATAATTAAAGGTACTTTTATTAGATCACATTCTGGTTCAAAAAGTATTCAAATCGATCAATTGTACATTAAGTTATGGCCATTTAAAGCTTTCATTAGTTTCTATTAAATTCACAACACCATCTTTATATATCCATACAATTCAAGGAATATTCCTTTATCCTTTTAGTACAAACCACTGATAGTAAATAGTAAAGGAATGACCCTAAATAGAGACTATTTTATTCAAATCATTAAAGAAATTACTGAGTCTTTAGGTTTCCCGTCAGATGGTTGTAATGGCCATTGTTTCAGAATAGGAGCAGCTACTACTGCTGCAAAGGTTACTGTACCAGACTACTTGACCAAAACTATGGGATGTTGGTCATCTGACTGTTACCAAAGATATATCAGAACAGATCCTAAGACTGTTACTATTGCTCAACAAAAATTGTGTCATTTGTAATTAAGTTCACTAACGTAATTTGTAAATAAGTGTTTTTAATGTAACAGAAGTATGACTAATACATGTATCACAAACCAAGATTTCTAACAAATGTCCTTGGATTATTATATTCTATGTAAGATTTTTGTGCTCAATTCTGAATTCACTTTGGTCAATTGAATTAGTATTTTGCAGTGCAATTCTATAATAATGGGCATTTTATGTAATGGTTTATGTTCTGCTTTTAATTTTTATAGTGTTTTCAACACTCCTAACATTTTTTGGAGGGCTTTCATTTTAGGTTTATGTCCACTCATGTTACCGTATAAACCTTCATTCCATTTGGCATCCTATTAAGCTCCTGCTTAATTTTATCCCCTCAAAAAATTTGGTTCAGCAATTTTAGACCATATTCGATAAACAAGAATTTATAAGTTAGTAACTAAGGCAACCATGGCATCAAATTCTGTGATTCTGTATTTCGGTTCCTTTGGGAGCTGCCTTCGGTTCCTTCGGGAACTGCCTTCGGTTCCTTCGGGAGCTACCTTCGGTTCCTTTTGGAGCTGCCTTCTTACTCTTACCTGTCTCTAATTCCGGTAGACCTAGATGTACCACCTAGCCATGGCTTGCCTGCCTCATTGTGTAATTATATGCTGAACATGATTGGATTCCCACAGTAGCTAAGTCGTCCGGGCAATCAACAAGAGTTGTCGGTAATAAAACATTTATAATATACTTAAATCTGATTAAGAGTAACAACTCATGATTAAGTAATCATCAGAAAATCATTAGAATTTGTTTGGCTTTTAGTTCTGCCCCATGCTAATGTGAGTATACAAAACATTTAATACAGCTGTGTATAACTTTAAAGTCAATCAGACATTATTATTATTATTATTATTATTGTTCGATTTATATAGCGCTTCATTACACGTGAAGTGTTTCTAAGCGCATATCACAAACATATACTTCAAACACACAAAAACAATCAAAATCAGGAGAACATAATTAAACACAGCTGCCTGTTAGGCGCTATTATTCAAAGGTCATTCAAGAAAATCATTTAGTAAATCTTTACCAGGACAGTAGGTTTCATTTAAGAATAAACTATAGGCCAATGCCATTCTAGTAAAGATGTTACCAGGGCAATGTGATTCCAAAGAAAACTTGACCAGAAAGTTGTTATACTAGTAAATAAACTATTTATATATATTTATATATCAATAATAGTAAGTATACATTACCTATAGAAAGTTAAATACTTACTAACATTAACACAAGATTTATATAGTATTTTAGCTTTAATTGATGCTTGATTATCGTCAATACTAGGTGGTTCCTCTAACTGACCTTTTAATTAACTTTAGCTAGAGCGCCCACATGTTATTTCAAAGTGATCAAGGGCCATAACTCTGGCAGTAATTATCAGAAATTGTTGAACATCAATAGGCTTCTTCGTCTCATGAACTTAAAACACAGTGTATAACTTTAAAGTCAATCAGGTATTAACTTTAGCCTCTAAAGCATCCACAAGATATTTCAAAGTGATCAAGGGTCATAACTCTGGCAGTAATTATTCTTTGTCTGATGACATTAAAACACTGTGTATAAATTTAAATAAAAGTCATTCGGATATTAACTTTAGCCTCTAGAGCACCCACAAGCAATTGTTGACGCTACACCACAGAACAGGGGCGATGTGGGCGTATAAAAAGCAGAAAAAAAAAAAGTTTACATACCAGGTGTTGTTGTACCACGACCAGGTGTTCTATGTTTATTTTTATGTTTTGTGGCAGCATCTGAAGCAGAACTGGCTTTTTGTGATATTTCTTCATCTTCTAAACCCTTTTTATGACATTTTTCAAATTTTTCTTCTAATTCATCAATCATCATCTGAAATAAAAACAAGTGGATGAACACAATGCCACTCGTATTCAATTTAAGGCGGAAATGTGTAAGATTTATATCGAATTCCAACTGTCAAGGGATCTTTTATGTGCACGGCAATGTGTACACAGGACCTCGTTTTTTTGTCCCATCCGAATGACTAGACAGTTGTCCTTGACAGGCCCTCCCGTCCTGCATCACTGACAAGGGAGAACTACACCGGAAAATCTGAATGAACTTTCTTGGCCAATGCAGGGATCGAACACCCGACATCCAGGCTAGCGAGTCAGCGCCTTACCCACGCCACCGTGATCCCCATTTAGATAAAGAGCTGGCTGTTCTCGCTATATTAATATTTCAAAGATAGGTTGCCAGGCAACAAAACATACTCCCACAGCAGCTAAATTGTCCGGGCAGTCAACAAGAGCTGTCGCATATTTTTACTTTTTACGGTAATAAATTATTTATAATACACTAAAATCTGATTAAGAGCAACAACTCATGAAGTAATTATCAGAAAACCATTAGAATTTGTTTGGTTTTTATAAAGTTCTGCCCCATGCTAATGTTTAGTATACAAAACTTTTAATATCATGGATTTAGCTGTTCAAGTCATAAAGATTCATCGAAAATCAATATACTTGTTCGTCTCAAGACCTTAAACTTGGATATTAAATTTAGCCTCTAGAGCTTCCACAAGATTTTTCAAAGTGATCAAGGGCCATAACTCTGGCAGTAAATATCGAAAATCACTGAAAATGAATAGACTTCATCTCATGACCTTAAACACTGTGTAGAAATTTAAAGTCAATCGGATATTAACTTTAGCCTCTAGATAAAGTGTCCACAAGATTTTTCAAAGTGATCAAGGGCCATAACTCTGGCAGTAATTATCGTAAATCGCTGAAAATCAATAGGCTTCTTCGTCTCATGACCTTAAGCACTGTGTATAAATTTAAAGTCAATCGTATATTAACTTTGGCCTCTACAGCTTCTTCGTCTCATGACCTTAAACACTGTATATAAATTTAAAGTCAATCGGATATTAACTTTAGCCTCTAGAGCGTCCACAAGCAATTGTGGATGCCGGACCGACGGACGGGGGCGACGACAATATACGACCACATTTCAATGTGGGCGTATAAAAATAGATAATGCAAAATGAATGTATTGAAAATTTAATTCAAATTACTTGATTTTGAGCAAAGTTATCACTGTTTGAAGTTTTGACAAAATGTGTGCATTGATCGAAAACACTGTACTGGTCATTTGCGTCTTAGCCTCACTTCTCCATTTTAAAATTAAATCATTAAATGATCGAACCATTCTAATCTACTTAAAACTAAAGCATAAAATGCTGCTTGAACTTGACTTTGAACTTGTGCATCAACCAACAATTATTACAAAACAATTAGCAGACATGTTGCTCTCTTTCTTGTTAAAGGTTTTTATGTCCATTTGGTACAAACTAGGTAATTTCAGGACTAACATATGGTTTAACTTCATTTCAATAATTTACTTGCACATAGGGGTCTTTAGTAGTTGGAGGAAACCAGAGAAAACACGTGAGATTGGACAGGTGACCCTACTCCTGGTCAAGTACAAGTGGGGAATTGAAACCCTGCCTTATTGACTCCATGCCAGACCTTATGATCTAAAGCACACATGTTAGACCATTAAGCCACCCCCTCGGCCCACCCGTTCTTATTAATTTCTTCTATATGAAAAGAATTACTGATCAGAATATACCATACCTTTGCCTCTGGTTTAACAAAACTACGAGATTTATTGATAATTGAACAGAAACAACTGTAGACTTCATCATCCACCAACTTATCTGCAAAACACTGGAGATTTTCTTGTAACTTTCTGAGACTCTTCTCATTATACGATAACAGAGATAAACAGTATGACAGATCTCGCCACTGACGATCAACTCTGTATTGAAAAAAAAGAAAGTAGAATTTATTGATATAAATAAAAAAACTTAAGGTTGAATAAGAGATACTTGTACCTTAGCTCTGTTCACAATCTAATAATATTTTGGAGGCATTTAGTAACTGGATAGAGTAACACATACCTATGGAAAACAACTACTAATTAGAAGCTATTTTCCATGTGTTATAATTTATTTCACAATCTAATCTTGAGCCAAAATAAATCAGATCTACTTACCTTGTGGCTCTGTATCGGTGACAGATTTTTTCAACTAAACTTTCACAATGTTTATCTTTCTGTACAAACCCAAACAAATATCTGTTGATGAATAAAAATAAGATACGTCAATAAGCATTTAAATATATCATATCGAATTTCAGGGTACAACTACATGTTGAATTAGATGATGGGTGGTTCTTGACATCTCATTTTTTAATTTTTTTTTAAAGAAATGTATAAATTTGATTATAATGCTAAATAAGATAATGACTTACTTCATTATAGTTCTAAAACAATCTTCATCAACACCTATATCAGGATCTGATAGTCTACTGATAACATCTGGCATTACATTATAAACAGCATTACCCTGTAATTATTACAATTATTACATACATTCAACATAATATAACAGTATAAACAGCATTACCCTGCAATTAGTATATATACATTCACCATAAAATAAGTATATAATTAAAGTGGCTTAGTTTCTGCATTATAATAGACCGATTTCGGCCATGCCTCTTTTGTCTACATGAAGAATAAGGTCTTCAGCTTCTCTATCGATTTAGTTTGTGAAACCCTGATTCAGAGAAAAGAATTATGGAATGCTTAATAGCTAAGTGTTAAGAACTAAAGTTATGGAAGCTTTTTTCTGTTAGCCACACTTTTATAATGTAATCTCCATGTTATGATAATGTCTTACCATTTAAATTAAGTGTAAAGTTGCAAAACCTCTCTATAATCTTTGATTGGCACAAAGTTATTGTAATCTGGGTTATTAGAACAAAATATATACCATAGTTTAATATCCACAACAATTTATACATGTTCAATGAAATACAAACCTTTTTAGATAATTCTAGCCAGAACAGTTTGGCAAGATTTGCAATTCTTTCATCATGATCTATAATACATGTTCCTAATTCACTGATTTGACCTTTAACCTTTACCATGTCATTAAGGATGAGATGTGTTAAAACTTGTAGAGTGTTCTTTCTAACTTGTGGTGACTGATCTCGCAGTCTGAAAGATAAATGAACCATATTAATAGTTGTGGAAATTATAAGTGTTCCAACAATATCTTACAATCTACCTCTCATTGAATTTATATCTTAAAAGAATTCTGGATCAATCTGATTTCACATATATAGAATACCTTTACTGATGGTATATAATATCTATTAGAACATACAGGAGGACCACACCACACAAAAACAATTATATGTGCTGGAGGACCGCACAACACAAACAATTACATGAGACAAACCCACAGACAGGACATAATATACAAAGATATTTCAAACAATAAAACAACAAACATATCAGATCAAGTCAATGGATCCAGGGGTTAACTGCGTCCACTGTACTGTACTGTTCTGGGCCTGTTGATGGTATATAATATTATTTTACTAATACCAACCTTCCATACAGATGTGGTGTCCAAGGTTCTATAAGATTAGGAAATCTAAAGCTAAGATCACCTAAAGCTATAATAGTATTAGCTCTAATAGCTGGATTGGGTGATTTCTCTAGTATAGTAAATAACAGCTGAAGATGGGCATCACAAAATTCTGAACTATAAAAAAAGAAAAAGAAAAGAATACAAATCAATCATTATTATTTATACATCTATAGTTTATATTTTTAAAAATGTATGAAATGTGAGGGGCTAAGAAAGATATTTTTTTTAAGAAATCAAAAAACATTTCAAAATTTATTCTGTGTTTTTATTTGTTAAATAGAAAAGAGATATACCTGACCATAGTAAATTTAGCTAGAGCTAGAGTAGCTGCTGTACGTAGTTCTGTATCAGGATATTTAGTAGAATTTGTACAAACAACCACAATCAGCTGATGTAAAGCACTCAGTAAATTCTCTCCTATAATATAAATAATTTTAACAGTAACAGCCTTGATACCATACATTATAACAATTATATATAACAAACTAAAAACAAAATTTAAGGCAACAACCTTCTTTTGTGGATTGTTTTAAGGGAATGTCATTTTAATCTTAAAAAGTTTCATAACAGACCTTTGGATGTGTTTCACTTCTATTTCTAATATTGAATTGAAATATTTACCAGTAACAACATCTGTTTCACAGATTTTACGAATATATTCAGCTTCTGCATCTTCTGCTGCTGCTCCAGCCAAACCTAGTTCATCTTCTATACCTTCTCCTGTGTCTTCTTCCTATATCAATAATAGAAATTTCAAAATAGATATCTAAGTCTCAAATATAAAAATAATCTCCCACACATTATGTTACTAATATTATTTTATCCCAAAAAAAACTGACTTTGCCATGATATCTTGTCATTCAATGTACAGATTTCAAAAGTGAATATAACAAAAAAATCATTCTATACCTTTATTTTGGACATAGTGCTGGCAACACTTGATGATCTAGGCTTAGTTTTATTTTGTTCTTTTTCTTTTTTATCTTCTTGTATAGCTCTTCTTCTCTTCATTTCACCAAAAACAGAGTTATCAAGGTGTACTAATTGGCGTAAAGCTACATGGCCGCTTATGGACAGTAATCTTGTCAATGTTACATTAGATAGTGATGCTGACTTTTCCTGTGAACCTTCTGAGTAAAAAAACATATAAAGATGATTCCTTACACACGTAAATCTGAACAAAAAAAACCCTTTACAACTTGGGATTGCTCTCGTGTAGGGCTACTGTCAAGTCACATGAATACCTGCCCCTCCCCCAACACCCAAACAAGTATATTGTCCAACAATACAGAAAACTATTCATATGACTCAAGTGGTATGGGGTCTAGGGAATAATACAGAGTTCTGGGTTCTGGACACTTTCGGGCAGTCCAGGGATATACTGGTATGATATTATATCCCTTTTTTCTAATTTTTTTTTTAAGATACTGGAGCAGAAATTATTTACATATACCAAGGGTAAAATTGATTCTTGTCAGTTGTAGTACTGGTATTTTATTTACTGTTTATAGATTTTAAATTATTCTGTATTGAGAAAACTACCATCTACTATTTCATACCATTTAAAATTAACTGGGGTTGAGTGGTGACACATTAAAGATGTAATATTAATATTTGTTTTTTTCAAACAATAACTCACCTATATGAGATTCACCTGGAGACTGTCCTATTTGACATGCTTTACCAACTTCTTGGGCTAATTTTTTGATAATTTCCCCTGATATGGTATCTGGTTGTTCACTTAGTTTATAGATAACATTTATAGCCTGTTCACCAAAAGGTACCCATACTCTAGTTTCAGTATTAGTTACGGCTGAAAACACATATAAATTATAGAAAATACTTTATTGGAATGAGAAATAAATTTACTCTTTCATTGTAAAATGTCCCAATACTTACAGCAGCTTGGTATTCAGTAGAATGTTTTCTTTGCAACATTTGTCTTGGCAAGATACTTTGTTAAATATTGGTTTATGAAGACAAATGGTAGATAACCTTAAGCTAAGTTTGCATCTGCTGAACTCGTTACAATGGAAACAATGATATTTTGGCTATAAAAAATTAGGGGTGACTTTCCAATCTTCATTTTTAATATTGAAAGGATCAGACATTAAATAGGTTGCTAGAAAACAGTAGAACAAGAGGGCAGACTTGAGCAACTAAAATCTTCATAAAGAGAGAAATGGGGTATAACGTCCACTCGACACAGACTAGGTCATTTCAGGACTAACATATGGTTTTAATTTTATTTCAATAATTTGCTTGCGTGTAGGGGTCTTTAGCAGTGGGAGGAAACCGGAGGACCCGGAGAAAACCCACAAGGTTTGACAGACAACCCTACTCCTCGTCACATACAACTGGGGATTCGAAACCATGCCAGTTGACTCAATAACAGGCCTTATGATACAGCGCACGCACTTGCTAACCATTTGGCCATCCAACCCCCCAAAATCTTAATAAGAACACTCAGCTATCTAAAAATAATCAACCCGGGTCAATCTTAAAATTTAATTCACAAAGGATACTTTAGTCTATATATATAATTTATGCAGGGGAGAAAGTATTTTTTATCAAACGAAACCTGACAACTGTTTTTTATTCTAATCATTCTTACCATTAACTAGTAAATAGGACAATCTTGTAAACATTTCATGGTTTTCAGAAAACTTATATGGTTCTGCTGCTACTTCTCCTTTTGTCTAAAATGAGAATATACATGTAAATATTAATGGATATAAATAAAATATGATTAATGAAGAATTTCTTTTTGGAGCAATACAGGTCATGTGTTATTGTATTGGATTGTATTGTGTTATTGTATTGGATTGTAAATGAAATGAAATGGGGTTTAACACTCTACTGTTCTGCACTGACTGGGCTAATGTAGACGGGCATATGTCATGCAGTGTGCTACGAGTATAAGGGAATTTTGCCTGGAAAGCGGCGCTACGGCCTAAACTTATATCAAATTCCAACTGGCAAGGGTTCTTTTACATGCACACTGGGGACCTTGTTCATTTGTCCCAACCGAATGACTATACATTGTCCTTTGGACAGTAGAGTTGTACTTTTAATTAAAGATTGTACTGTTACCTTTTTACTAGCAGCAAGTTTAAGTAATGTTCTACAAGTTATCTGTGCTAGTAATAAATCTGTTTCAGCTCTTTTACCTAATCCTTCACTAACTAATACATCTATATTACTCTTTATAATCTCGGGTTTAGCTCTACAAATATAAACATACCAATCAAACATTGTTGAGACATGATCTATATAATAAAAATACATCTTTTTCTCATGATGAAATGGAGTTTAACTTCCTACTTTTCTAGACCAATGGGCTAATAAAGATGAACATATGCCATGCAGTGTGCAATAAAGGACATTTTGCTTCGAGAGTTCTGTTTCAGCCTACTCTTCAGTGAATTTAAATTGCCGTAAATTCTTTTCAGGATTTCGGTTTGAATGACTGAATGTTATTTCCTTCCCAGATCTCTATCTTGCATCATTGACCAAAGGGAAAGCCGGTTGGAAAATTTTGAGGAACTTTCTCAGCAAACACCAGGATCTAACCAGGAACCTCCTGGGTAATAAGACATTGTGAATTATTTTTCTCCAGATACTTTAGTGCCGAAATATCATAATTGACGGAGTAGCTAATGTCACTGACACACCAATTTCTAGAAAAGTACCCACCCTCCAATCATAGATAACAATAATAAGGCTGCTCTACTATCTTCTATAGAAGTGTTGGGTATTTTAGGTATAAATTTCTCCCATAATATCTGTACTACATTCTGTCCAATATCATCACCATTTACGAACTGCTGAATCTATAAGATGAAATTGATATACGGTTGTTAGATGTATAATGTTAACCTATGTCATTAGTTCAAAGAATGACTTTCATCAGTTAATAAATAGTAGACATTTGATATTTTAATAAAGAGAGTATACACATGTTGTAAATCAGTCCATTATGAAGCAGAAAGGGTCTTGTTCTATTCTAGCTATGATTTATCACTATTGTAGAACTAGATATTAAATAAATTAATAAAACCTACCAAAGCTTCAAATGATGTAATATCTCCAAGACTAGCACCATATAGTAGAGCCGTTAGGTTCTTTACTATAGCTAATGCAACAGTCCTGAAAAAGATCAATTAAATGATGTAATTTACATATATGACAGGCATCTAACAACATATTTTAATTGGAATCCTAAACTTAAAGTCCTTACTTACTTGTCAAAAGATAATAATAAACATTTATTTTTATATCAAATATTTAGGGCAATAGATATGACCCTGCATTTAACCTGGGATAATTGTCTGCAATAAGTCATATACCTTGGTGGAAGGGAACGTTAAATAAACCTATGGCACACCTAACTTGGGATATGGAAATTGTTTAAATGAACCAATCTGTATCTCTACAGACTTTAAAAGTGGTGCAGTTATAAACAATTTCATATTGTTTATGATCTGTAAACAACACAAACAGTAAAGAAAACCCCTTGGCTAAAAAAAAAGGGTGAATCTTTCAAGTTTATTAAATGTAACATACCTCTGATTACCACCTGCTTGTGGATTAAGATATAATCGTTTATATGCTCCAACAACAGCATCTTTAATAGTCTGTTCACTAGACCATATTAATACTAGCATTCTACGTATACCCATCATAGTAGCAGCTACACCAAACTCAAAACCTGTCACAAAAAACTCTATAGCTTCAAATACATCACTAGTAGTTTTAGATCCTAGTAACTGACATATAATAGGTACACCTTGTTGTATCTGATTAGCAAATGTTGTAGAATCCTGAAAAATTACAATTAATATAATATTATATCCTGATTTTTTTTAACTTTAAGGGGTTTAATGAGTAAATTCTAGCTCACTAAGCAGGATGTCCCGAGTTTTATCCTGGTGTTGACCAAAAAGTTTCGCTGAGTTTTCTAGCCTGGTTTTCCCTTGTCAGTGGTGTAGTATGGACGGCCATTTTTAAGAATCCTTGGCCATTGAAATTTAAAGAAAAGTAGGCAGAACTGCCGATGTCTGGTAAAATGGAAGAAACTGTACCGATTATTATCAACATCACTGATAAAAACATTCGTTGTAAAGGACAATCTATACACTGTGTACACTGTGTTTTATACTGCTAATTCAAAACACAACTGTTTTGATTGATTAAAAACAATGTCTCCATCGTTTGGGTCGACAGTTGCCTCTCATGTATTACATACTATCCAATATATTTTAAATGGCACAATGTAATAATGTTACAATACAATTTTTTTGTAAAGTATTTTATAGACAGAATATAAAATACCTTTAGATATTGTACAAGAACTTGCTGTTTAGCTACTTCATTAACCAGTGAGGTATTCTGTTGACTAGCAGGATCAGATGTTGATACAGCAGCTCTCTTCTGTACTGCAATTAAAAAGAAAAGACATTCAAAATCAAATTCATCAAAGTTTCAAAAACTTGACATATGTAGACTTAATCCTTTTAGGGGTCAATTCTCTCCAACTGCTGAACCACTGTGGGGAATTAATTTGAAGCCGAGATCAAATCTAAAATCTCTATATCTTTACAACTATGCTATCAAAAATCATGAAACTTGGTGAGACACAACACCGCAATACATGTACCTGCAAATGCAAAAACTTTGTAACTGGAACCATTTTACCCAGGTAAATACAGGTGTGGCTCAGGTAAAAATTACAAACCAAGATAAAAACAATGTGTTTTCTGAAATTTTATTAATTGATTGAGTATTGCAGGTGGAATGCAGGTAAACTGAGGTGTACTGAGAAATGTGCAAATACTTGACAGGTTCGTAGCCATTCTCAGGAGTCCATACAGGACCTGATTCAGCAGTAAAATTGGGGGCCTGTTATTCAGCATCCTCGGTATCCCCAGTGTACTCAATCCGTCCTACTCCACTATACCCTGGGTTAATCCATAGGGTTTACATGACTTCCAATTATCTGCCCTGGCCTTGATTGTAGCTATGGTCTACGAACCAATCAAAGAACAGTTCACAAACCTGTCGTTTCGCCTTCGTTTTTATAAGGGTAGATAACCATATTCATGTCCGTTTAATGAATGATTTATGTAAATAATGTATATATTTCTAATTCATTTATATTTAATTGTATATTATATTATATTTATTTATATTATATCAAAATCTGTAGTATGTTTCGCTGATTTCAAATATGTATAGCATCTATATGTTTGACTTTTGTTATTATTATGACTATTCGTTCTTTGTCAGAAATGTTTCATTCTGTTATGTTTATTATTATTGAACTTATACTTGGTAATTTGATTCACAATACTACACTACACAAAGCAAGTTATTTCAACTTTGGAATTTATATACCAGTCAGGAAATAAGCACCAACCAGCTACTAAAAAGATGTGGGGGGATATATGGACCGAACTGAAGGACAGACTTACGTAATAAATGACTGACTGAACGACAAACTGACAGACTAAATTACTAAATGACTGGCCTAATAAAATGTATTAGTTGATGATATTGTTGAGGTTATAATAAAATGTATTATTTAATAAATTGTTGATGTAATAAATTCATACATAAATGTATTATTTAATAAATTGTTGATGTGATAAATTCATACATAAATGTATAATTTAATAAATTGTCGATGTAATAAATTCATACATAAATGTATAATTTAATAAATTGTTGATGTAATAAATTCATATATTAGTGATTATTTGTGGTATTTATTTGTAACTTGGAATGAGTCGGGTGTTTTAAAAGTTGGGATGAATTGTCTTTTGACTTGGGATGAGTTGTCTTTTGACTTGGGATGAGTTGTCTTTAAAAGTGGGATGAGTTGTCTTTTATTGGGATGAGTTGTCTGGGATGAGTTGTCTTTGGGATGAGTTGTCAGGGAATCATTGTTTACAATATCACGTGGACATTAAACTCCGCGAACGTACATCGATTCGCAATAAAACTCTTGAACCTACATAAACGTCTGGCCTTCATTAATATAATATTATACATATATAATTTGTTGTTAATAAATATGCATTTAGCATAATTTTGACTTCTCTCATTTAGGCTAACTCCTAACCTTGTCCGATGAGAGTTACTTCCCTTTGCCAACTTCCTTTGCAATTAACGATTTATGGGATTTGTCGATAAAAATAGCACAATTATCAAGGGTGGATAACTTGAAAACGTTCCCCCCGTCCCCCATAGATTAACCCAGGGGTTAGTAGAGTAGAATGGAATAAAACCACTGGGGATACCGAGGATGTTCATTCAGACTATCCAAGTTTATTAATATCAATGTCACTGCCACTATCAGATGAACAATTGTCTTCAACAGAAATATCTAACAAGTCAAAAACATCATTAAAGTCAACGCATTTCAGCGACGATGCTTACGGGGGGTTGTGGCAGACACTATGTTGTAGTAAGTAACGGTAATATCCGGCTTCAAATCAAAACAATATATAAGTATAAGAGTTACCGTTCTTATAAATTAGATTTCTTTCACCCATTTGTCGATAAAAATAAGATTATCTCATACAGCCAATAGTGTACATTGATACTTTGGCAGCTTATGGTAAGATGACATCAATGTCGTTATCCCTGTAAAAGTGTTAAGTTCATAAGACTTGTTTTGTAAAATGTTTGATTTAGATTTGCTATGTGAAACAGGATCCTGGACTATAAAAATTAAACATAAATTAAAAATGTCTTACCCAAATAAATATCTTTAAGACAATTAATGATACCATCTAACACAGTTTTATTTTCATCTTTCTCTTCATTCATTTTTTCGTCTTCTTCACCTTCTTCACCATCTTTCTCTCTGTAAAAATGATTACCGTCTTTGCAAAAAGCTATACATGTACTGTCAAAATGCATTAAATTATCCACGATAATTTGTCACAGTGAGTTATGTATGTCAAATTCATCTATTATGCATTTGGCAGCATTTCACACACAATAGAATGTCTTATCTAGCAGCAGTACCTAGCAACATAACTTCCATTATTAATTTTTTGATTCAAATAATAAAGTGTCATATAAAATAAATAAATTATAGACTTACGTTTCTTCACTCTCACCAAGGTATTGGAAAACAACTTCGTCTGGCCATTTTGTATTAGCTGTTTTGATCATATCATAACATGATGAATATCTCTCTTCTACAAGTTCTTTATAAATATTCTCTAACATTCTGTGAAAGCAAAAAATAAACTTTTCTCAATATTTATCAATAAATTCTGTTCTAAACCATTGGTCAAATGGAAACCGATAAGACTCAACAAACAGTGAGCAATTGTTACAGAAGCCACGGTGGCTCAAGGAGTATGGCGTTGGCTTGCTAACAAGGTCTCATGTGTTGACCGACAAAGTTCCTCAGGATTTTCCAGAATGATTTCCACATGTAAGTAGGGTAGGACGGACGGCCTGGCAAGGAACAGTGTAAGTCATTCGAATGGGGTGAAAAACTGTGGTCTGGTGTAGGGGCCAAATTTCCCTCATACAACACCAAATAAATGGCTTATGCCCGTCTTCATTAATCCATTTGGATCAAAAAAGTAAGACATTAAACCCCATTTTATTTCATTTCAGTAATTGTAAAATCTATTCTGGATTTACTGATCAATCCATTTCACAACAATCCATGTTATTTAGTTTGATATAAAACCATAAAAAAACCTACTGATCAAGACTTATTTCATCTTCTGCATTTGTTTCATCTGATTCATCGTCATTTTCTTTGTCTTTTAATTCTGCTCGTATTTTTTTCTCTACAGCTGTCCAACAGGCTTCTAATTCTATCATTATAGCTAAAATATAGCAAAGATATGTTTTCAGTGAAAAGCATATATTATTCATAATTTTTAAACAAACCTGATGCTCATAAACATACAAGATAATTTTATGCATAATTCAATAACTGTTGGAGTGGTTTGTTGATATTAGTAAAATTTGATTAACTGAATTATTGGAACAAAATACATCTAATGGCTAATTAAGAATTTATTTACTGTTAATATCAGGTTCTTCAGGTGTCATATCTTTCAGTTTTTCTTTTTCTTTCTCATAACTAGCTTGTAATTCTTCCACAGGTAACTACAACATATAATCAGATTTTATCCAAATTATCTTATCATAAAATAAAGGATGTCAGTTGTTAATCCTGATGAACAGGTAAAGAAAGGAAAGAAATGTGAGTTTTTTTCGTCTCATCAACAGAATAATTTAATTAATTGAGACTATCCAAATGCATCTTCCTCATTCAATACACCAATAAGTGTAGGCTAGATAATTCTATTTAAACATAAGGTAAGCCCCCTCCTGTCACCCCATGTAATTATTGTAGAATATAAACAAACCTTAGAAGCAAATGGATTGTTTTTCATTAAAGCTATCATAAGTTGTATAGCATATTTTCTAACTGATGAAGATTTATCTTGTAATCGACCCAGTATTAGATTAACTAAGTTCTCTTGTCTTGGTAATGGTAAACACTAAAATAAATACAAAATATATAGACTACAAATCGTACAGGTAATAGCACTGTAACGTGGGTGTCATTTAATCTTATGAATTTAGCATAGATTTCTTTCACATTCATTAAATATCAAAACTTTGTTTGAAAATATGTAAAAATCATCTAATATCACTTAAGATCATCTAATTTGTACTTGTGTCCAGCTGACCGATTAATTTTGATAATGAGTGTCTGATTAACAAGCATTTAATTTCCCGACCACTGTTCAGTAATCAATTGAGTTTTTGAACAGTGATGCTTATTATCAAAATTGAACGGTCAGCCTTCAACTGGACACATGTACAAATTAGATGATTTGGGGGGATTTTAAATGATTTTTTAAACAAAGATTTGATACTGAATAAATGTGAAAGAAATTTACTCTAAATCTAAAAGATTAAATGATACAGTGTAAGGAGAAACAAATATTATTCACGAGAGTTTCTCAGGTAATGTATTACTTGTACCTGTATTATATTCTAAAGTATTCTTGTCCAGTCAAAGAAAAAAAAATCATTTTTTAAATAATGTCTACACTATAATAAAACAAAATTCTCAAATACCTTTTCATTGACAATATTTAACCAGATCTGCAAAACTCGACTTCTCACAAAAGCATTGACATCATGAATATGGTCCTGATAAAAACAAATGATTTATCATATAAAATAAAACAAATAAAACATAAAATTGTTCTTTTTTTAAAAAAAAACCCCAAAACCTGACTTATCTATTTCTACTTTTTTAATCATCCACATTATATGGAACCCAGCTACCAACAGGAAACACATTAAAGTCTTAACTTGTGGAATTCAACTCAATTCTTTGAGATACTGGCCCTAGAACCATACACAAGGTATGTTGCAATAGAAAATATATACTGCACCTCTAACTTATCCAAGAAACTTTCCCTAGTTGGTTTTAATTTATCTTCTAAATCTTCTTGACTTAAAACTTTAATTAACATCTCACCCATCACTCCAAGTACTCCATTTCGTAATGTATAAGACTATAAAACAATACACATACGAGTGAGAAACTATAGGTTATCAGTTTTAGTGATAGAGTTACAATTACTGGTACCGCTTTACTGTGAATTGGGAAAAATTGACCCATTTGCATCTAAAATTATAAAACTTTATTATACTTTATTCTCAGTGCAGTATCACTGTAATCCGGATATCACTGTTAAAAAATAAACAACCCATTGATTATTTATGTACATTACATTCTTTTGAACAGTGGAAGGGAAATTAAATGCTTGTAAATTGAATACTCATTATCAAAATTAAACGATCTGCTTTAAACTGGACACAAGTACAAATTAGATGATTCTGGGTGATATGAGAGGATTTTTACGAATTTTTAAGCAAAGATTTGATATTTGAACGAATGTGAAAGAAATTAGAGCAAAATACGCAAGATTAACTGATACCCAGGTTACAGTGTATACTGATTATCTGTTTACAAAATATACAATACTGTACAAGGTAAATCCATGGATTTAGTAAAAAAAAAAGAATTAATAAATGTTACCTCTCCGTCTAAATGACAAACAAGTACACTGATACTAGGGAGCATAACAGCTGGTAACTGTTGAGCTAATTCAACTAAAAATTGAGCTAAAACTCGGGTTCCACTAGAATCTTTAACAACATCTCTAGTATCCATTCTACCAATTTCTCTAAAATACAATAAAAGATGGCATAGATATCATATTGAATGTACAACATTCCAGAATAGACAACAAATATTGAACATTTTGCGGATATCACTCACAAGAGAGACACACCGGTAGCCTCTCACTTCAACATAAGTCGAAATCTCACCTCCCAAATTATTAAACAAACCGGTAGTAACCCTGACCTCCTGACCTGTCACATTCTACTACCAATAGACGTATAATATAGAGCTGCATTGGATTATTACAGTAAAATCTTTTCTACTGTACAGGATCAATGACAAAATCTGAACATGGGTAACTTTCATTTTTACCCTTTTGTTATACAACAAATATGGAGTTTAAGGTCATATACAATAATGGTTACTCTTACCAATGAATTATTTTAAAAGTTATGACCATGTGTGTTATGTCTATTAATATTAACTTATATTGATAGCAGGTGGTAATTATGGCCACAGTGGACTGGATATATCAAAACAAGAAGATCTGGATTATAAAAGTAATGATAGACTGACTGAAGCTAGAAATAAGAGACTGAAAACAAGACTATTTTCCTTAGCAATGGAGGCTTGCATTCTGTCAAAAATACAAAATCAACCAATGGCATAATTTCACCCAAATCTCGAAGGTAAACCCCACCAGTCCTTAAAATGGCAGCTTAAAAACCAAACGAAAATAAAATGGAACAAAGTATTAATAAAATACAAAAGGGCTGCAATCAGCCTGGGGTAATGGCTTCAATAATTCAAGCTTTAAAGATACAATATTGAGACAAAATCATCAAGGCAATAATCTGGACCTATTTAAAGTTCTAACCAAAATATTAAAGATGTTATATAATAAACTTACCTCATCATTTCACTAACAATTGTTTTATCTTGATACTGATTCACAAATATCTCTAATGTCTGAACTAATGGTACCACTAAATGTTCAAAATGTTGTAATAACTGCATTATCTTTAAACTGGCACCTGAATACAATATAAAACTAGATATGATTAAATACTACAATGCTGATTCTATATGAAGAGCCCCGGGGAAGAACAATCTAAGTCACTTTTTCGACGGACCCCAGTTAATTGCGCCATCTGGTAGCAAATTGTATAAGCTTTCTGTAGAACAATCAATTTCAGGTAAAAACAATCTGAGTCACATCGAACCAAGGCCTTTCTGAAATGGCCTCTCGAACAAATACAAGTCCATCATACCCGTTATTTAAGCTTAATTTGCCTGAAAAGTTGAAGTCAGGTGTACTGGTAATTATATTTCGTGATAAACATCATTTTGAACTTGTAATTAAACCCACTTGTTCTGTTCGCGTCAAGCATTCTCGTCCAAAAGTGAAAAGACAAAAATGTGACTTCGATCATTCTTCCCCTGGACTCTTCAGATGAGATGAGAGATGTGCAAATTTGTAATACAGTGTTGAGATCATTCATATATTTTCAAGAATGTTCATGACTGTTTTATGCACATTTTGTTGTCCAGTAAATTTGAAAATCTACTGGATGAATAAAATGAGGTTTAATGTCCTAGTTTTCTGCTCCATTTGGGATAATGAAGATGGGATATGAAAATTTGAAAATCTACTGGATGAATAAAATGAGGTTTAATGTCCTAGTTTTCTGCTCCATTTGGGATAATGAAGATGGGATATGCCATTCAGTATACTATGAGGGAAATATTTTGAGAATATACTGACCTAAGAACAAACCCTTTTAAGTATTATTTTCCCAAAAGGCTAGAGCTGACCCTGTGTTTCAGAAGGCAATAGGACATAAATCAACTCCTGTGTTGGAATATAAGATATAAATTACCTAGACCATGATTATATTTCTTAACAAGAACACCAAGTAGATTAGATATAACATCTCTAGTTTCTTTAGTTTTAGCAATACCAGGATTCTCTAACAAACGGTAACAACAGTTACTAACAAGGCTGAAAATATATACATATTTTAGTGATATATATTATTTATTACTTTAAAATCAAATCATAAAATATCATCAGTGGAAATGGTTTTTTGATTGAAAGAAAAGTCATCTGACAAAACGAAATGAAATGAAATGGGGTTTAATGATACATTAGCTCTAACATTTTAGATAAATCATATGAAATCACAATAATGTATTAATATACATAAATAAACACAAGTATCACAGTTAACATAATTAAAATTAAATAACACAGTTTATGTATACCAATATTTAAAATATAAAACATAACAAAACAAGTATATACAAATTAAAATTTTCTATAAAAATTTGTCTCTTTTAAAAGGTCTTAACGTTTTACAATATAGTCCCGGTTGGGCAAATAAATTCTGTAGTGACGAAAGTATTTGGATCTAATATCTTTGAGATGCTTGCACTCAATCAAAATATTCTTAACTGTCAAAGGAACATGACAGTGTTCACATTCTGGTTGAGGCTCTTGCTTCAAGATGAAAATGTGAGTAAAAATATATGACCAATGCAAGAGAGACACAAAACAAATTCATCCCTCCTGTTGGTTCTATAGGAGCTGGGCCAGTCTCCTAAGAGAGGCTTAATGTGATGAAGTTTATTTGCACCTGCAAGATCCCAAGACCTTTGTCAGCGGCTATATATACAAGAATTAATCTATGATCTAAAATCATAATATGGTAATAAAAACTGAGATATGGAAAGATCTAAAGCAGAGTTGGCAGCCAAGTATGACTGGGGAGCCGGCAAAGGACAATGTCCTTGCTGCTCAAACTAATTCATACCCTTTGAATAACAGGTATCAGCCTATTCTTTCTATGGAATTCATCCATGTTATTATCTAGTGATCTTTGGAAAACCACAAAGTATGTTTTTATATCCGTAAAAAGCTAATGTTGTTAGTTTTTATTCAAATTCATGTAAAAACAAATGGCTGTCCCTGGTGAAAAAATGAAAGAGTGTATCTTGAAAGCAATGTAATGAATGTTCTAAAGATTATGATTTTACTTTATAAATTCTTCCTCCGCTACAGGTGGATCCCACAGTCTGTTAAGATTACGTTGTAAAAGATTTAATAATGTTTGTATTCCTCTACGTTTCTCCATCTCCCAATCTCTTCCAGATTTACTAATAGTTGCCTTTCTTTGTTTCCCTCGACCCTGTAATATAAAAGTACAAAAAATTTGTAATTACAAGGGACAACAGTTGATCTAGAAATAGTAACTGTAAGCCTTATGTACGATACCAATTATTGCCAATATATGTATTTCAAAGTTGAGAGAGAATGATTCGAACTTGTCTATATATGCAGGTTGCAACCATTTGTCTTATAATTTAAACATTTACCCATATCTTTCTCAAGCCCAGTTTCAAACATAGCTATGAACTTCTATTACAAAATCTGAAGAGGTTGGGTAGTACACAACAAAACAAGTCAATCAAAATTTCATTCACATATAAGGGCAAAAGAATTATTAATATTACAAAGCAATGAACCTTAGAATATCTCTAGACATCAGGGTGAGAGAAAAAATATATAAATGACATGAAATGAAATGGGATTTGATGTCCTACTCCAACGGGAAATGGGGTTTAACGTCCTACTGTTCTGCTCCTACTGGGCTAATGAATGCGGCCATACGCCATGTAGTGTGCTATGAGGGATATTTTGCCCAGACAGTGGCAGCCTACTCCCATTTAGAATTCCAAATGTCAAGGGTTCTTTTACGTGCACGCCAATGTGTACAGTCCCATCGGAACAAATATACGTTGTGAAATGTGAATAAATTTTTTCTGCCAAAGCAGAGATCAAACAGGTTAGCGAGCCAACTTCCTACTCACTGAGCCACTGTAGCTACCTGAGGCTAAATATAATGACATGAAACCGGTATTTAACTACTTAATCTGTCTCGTCTCTGTGGATAGATATTTATGTAATTAGGTAGAATACAGCATTATTTGAAGTGGTTTCAGAACAAGATCAGAACTTTGTTGGGTCAAATTTATGGATCAGAACTTTTGTACAGATTTTTGCATATGATGATATTGTTGAACAGGACTTTTTTTTACCTTTCCTACATTAAGTTGTATTACTGGTTTAGTATCTTCAGCTTCAAACATGTCAATAAACTGACAAATCATATAACAGGTCATTTTAAGAGCGTTTAAATTCTGTAATCTGTCATCATGCGTAAGATCTGGATCTTCTAGAGCATTAGATACCTGATTAGTAACACTCTGACCAACTGTAGAAAACAAAAGCAAACAATAAACAGAAATACTAAAGCCAAAGCTTCACTTAAAGATGCCTTCTTGTGTACAACAAACAGTGTGATTTCATGACATATTTGGACAAAGAACATACTGATTTATCAATCAAAAGTTTGCTTCAAATCCATCTCAAAATTACCCAATGCCGCAAGGATTTATTGCCTCCTTTCTTGTCATGTTACTTGATTGAGGGAGAATCCATTTCCAGCTTGTATTTGTCATTAGTTGCTGTCCAGTTACAATAAATATCATAGCCTCAGTAAATTCTTTGATTATCGTCTGCCAACTTCTTTTACCGCAGTTTAATCGCAGAGCCTCTTGATGTTCTCACAACCGTTAGAACATTTGATCAACACATAAGAAGTGTTCCTTTCGTCACTTCGTTAATTAATTCATAGCCTTTACAAGAAATTTAATGATGTTATTTTTTATTTGGTGCAGTATCTAAATATGAAATTGACAATAACTGATTATTGCACTATTAGTATTATGGATGTTTACCTTAGAAAAATGGAGATAAATTATACAGATTTTATTTACTGCTAATTATAGTTTCAGTATTAAAAGGCTGACTAATATAAAGAGTAAAGGAATAGATAAATAGATGTATGTCACAAATCAGCGGGCTATATCAACAAAATTATATTTCATACAATAACTTCTGATAAGTAAGTACATATCGTGAAAACTACATAAAAATTGTTGCCATTACTGGCACGCAAGACATATGAGCAAACTTTCTTGAAGTCCCAAATGTTGTTTCTGTGTCCAGCACTGCATGTTTCTATTTGTTGACAGTGTGTGTTCTACAAAATGTAATAGCTCTGATGGGCAGTACATCATGTTGGATTCTGGTGCTCTGCATTATGTGTACATTTTATAGATGTTTATAATATACCTCTAATAAGTAAATCCCATACTTCATCTTTTATTGAACTGTCTACATCCCTCTGTAAACTAAAGGAAATAAGAAAAAAAGGCCTAAAGTTCCATTTTTCGAACAATATCTAATTTTTCATGGTTTTATCTACGCTAAAAAAATACTCAAATCAACCATTTAACATTGAATTGAAAACGAGAACTAAAACAGTAAGTAATCTCCCGGTCTAGTTTTAATTGGATTAAAAACAAATCCATCTAAAGATTTTATTCAATGCTTATAGGTGGCACTGGTTTGTTTAGACTATTTGTTTAGACAAGTTTTGCAAAATTTTCAATTCATAATATCTTTAGACTTAAGCAGTATTGTAGTTTGCAAGTGATTCAATATCCTCAAATAACAATCAGTGTTTTATTAAATATTCTGGGGTAATGAAAAAATAACTGGTAAAATAAAACTTACCAAAGAACGCTGAATGCTGTATCAAAATGTGCTAAAATAGCAAAGTGATCACTTCTGACAGCAAATTTAAAATCTAAAAAACATCCAAACAATAAAAGTGTGTATGGTTGCATGTTCAGCTTACAGTAGTATAATATTTACATCTTCTGAAGTTGTTTGTGTTACAGAAAATATCAATTGCAACAAAAAATGGCAAATTAAAGAATAGAAAATAGAAAATCCTTTAATTGAAATGACATAGTTTAACCATCTTGTTTGATGACATGAAAATGAAAAGAGTTTAACATTATAATTTTCTGCCTCAACCAGACTCATGGAGAGGGGCTTATTTAATAAGTGTGCTGTGACTGTGAGGGAAATGCTGGTTTAAAGTATTGAGTGAGCAAGCGCTATATCCACCAAGCCACCAATAATCATGCACAGGAATGGCCAGGGTAAAACAGCGACAAACTTATAAAAATTTGACAGCAATCGTCCTTGTACATGTAGTATTCTCTAATAGAATATTAGCACATGCTGTCAACTGACAGTACTAGCTTGCAAGGTCAATTTTGGTCAACACAAAGAATGCACAAGTTGTTTTCAAAATGATTGTTAAAGTAGCTAAGTCTCTAACTCAATATCATCCAAAGTCTTACACGTTGAAAATACGAATTATTTGTCAATTCAAATCAACATTGATGTTGTGATCTTACCAGGAAAAGGCAGGCTTCTGATATCCAATATTTAAGACAGAATAAACATTTTACCATTGGTACACGAATCGTGTACCATAGTGCGTTTTAGCGTCATTTACAACAAGTGACCAGAAAGAACGAGGCTAGACATATTCAACTGGAGAGCCTGCTTAATAGACTGGAATAACCAGACGCTAGAAATTGCTATAGGGTTGAGACACATGCTGTATTTTGCTGGACATAACTGATTTGAAACTAGAGTCAAAAAGGAAACAATTGAATGTAAATCAGTTTATATACAATCAGATTACATTATTATATGCGTTTCGACCCATTTGGGTCAATTTCTAGGTCCTAGATATTAGCGATTTAGCTCCTTTAAATCTCCAGAAGTTGGTTTCGAACAACAGATGGCGTCAATATTGAAACAACACTCAGGCATAACCTGTGTACAGTATCAATATATTACTTAATGTCTCGCTCTGGACCATTAAACCACACATACATACAGTGGCAGTGCTGGTACCTGAAAGCACCACTGATTAACAAAGAATTGGCTATGGTATTTTTGCCATCTAAATTACCTTGTACAGCTCCTGGTATAAGACGCAGTGGAAGAACTTCTTCTACAACATACTGATTGACATTAGTTTTTGTCAACAAACCATCATGGTTCATCGGAATAAAAAATTCAAAAGTCATCTTGTCTTCTTGATAATATCTGTAATGGATAGAATGGGGTTAATGTCTCATGATCAATAAAACCTTATTATCTTTAAGGTTAGCAATTTGATGGTCAGGGAGGATTCAAGGAACCTGACATGAACAAATTCCATGTTAAACTACGAATTCTCAGTTGTTGGAGGACTTGTTGAAAATGTTTGTTATTGTTATCTGTATCTCCTGCCAGTCTGGGTTAGAAATCCTCAGGGTTACAACTCAGAATAGGTTCAGATTATATTAGGATTGCGTGCAATATCTATCGGTAATCTTTCTAAACTAGTGCTGAAATGCATCCACTGCCCAGGTACTACTAGTACTAGTGACTTCAAATGTTATAAACCTTATAAATTTTTATTTAGGCATTTATTCACATGACAAGTCTATAGTAGTATTTTAAAACTAAGTTAATTTTATACTATTAGAATTTATCAAACATACACAGCACAATCTAGTGAAACGACTTTCGTTTATCAGCAAATATTGTCAATCAAGTAAATCAAGCGTTGTTTTTATCAAATGTGAACTGTGCCAGTCTGTGGGCTGAGTTATCTGCCAATTTACGGTTATTTCTTTCAAAACATTCATAACTTAGCTCTGAATAAAGTAATTTGACTGAAATTTTCAATATATAAATTGCAAATCATAACAGACCAAATTTCAAATAGGGTTAATTGTTTATTTTTTTGTTATATTCAATTGATAGAGTATACATGTAGTTCAAAGTGTCAGTTCTGAATAAATTTAGAACATTTTTAAAGAAATTAAATTTTTTGTCAGATTTTAACGGTGACCAGTTAAAAATATTAAATTTCCCATAACGATCATTAATTTTGTAGAAAAATTGTGAATATTACATAAAACCAATTTTATAAAGCATATTATTTCAAGTGACTTATCATTCAAGCACACTAAAACATGTTTTCCTCAATTTTGCTACTTTTTTTTAAAAAGAAGGTACATGTACATGTGTAGTACATATATATTATATATTATGCATTAGTTTCTAATTTAAGTCTGTATGTGTAAGGCTGACCTTAAAAATATCTTTGTTTCGCCAAACCCGACCCACAATCGAGGAGAAGGGTCGGTAGGTCGGGGTTTTTTTCAGATTTTTTTTTAAAGAGCTAATTTGACAGCTTGATAATTTTCTGGGGGGAAACATTCGTCTCTTTTTATTGTCAAACAAATCAATGAGTATGACATCGGGATTTTTCGTGATGCACGACTCCGAGACTCGCACACGATTTGCCACGAACTCTAAGTGTGAAACCCATTCAACACGTTTTTAACGATCGTGCCTTCATTTTTCTCGAAAACGGATATTGAAAATATCTTCGTCATGTTTAAAACGACGCCACACAGACATAGAGGCAGAATCATTTCGTGGGAATGGACGTGCTTTCGTCTGCAACCATTTTGTTGAGAAGCGACACCTATGACGCTTTCGTCTTGATCAACCAGTTTCAATAATGAATCAAACCATAGCCATAATAAAGGGAAATAACTCTCGTGATATATTTCAGGTTGACACACAAAATAAAATAAAAAGATCGCGGAAAAGTGCAATAAAATAATTTAAGTCGGGGGTGGTTTTAGTTAGTCGGTCGCATTAGGCGAAACAAAGATATTTTTAAGGTCAGCCTAATCAGACAATAATATTGTCATGCTCTGTAGCAAGGCAACAATGAATCCATGACGATAATTAAAAAGATAGGTTGCCAGGCAACAAATCATGCACTCACAAGCTAAAAAGTCTAGGCAGTCGAAGGGTTGTCGCATATTTATTCTTTTGTAGATAATTGGGGGCAATTATTTACAAGACAATTTCATACAGATCAGATTAAGATTTTCATGTTTGAGGGTTCACAAAGTTCTACAAACTGAAGCAAGGGCCTTAACTCTGGAAGTAATTTACAGAAAATGTTGAAATTCGACCGGCTTTTTCGTTTTACTAATTCAAATAATGCATAATTCTAATTTCTATACAGATCGGATTATAGCTTTTGTCATTTGAACATTCACAAGTTCAACAAGGGCCATAAATTCTGAAGCAATTGACAGAAATTGCTGAAATTCCATAGGATTCTTCGTTTCACTAATTTAAATCATAAATTTCACAAAGATCGGATGATAACTCTTGGCATTAGAGCGTTCACAAAGTTCAACAAAGTGAAACAAGGGCCATAACTCTAGACATACTAAACGGAGGCAGACCACCATTAAATTTCATCATCTCGGTACCCACGAATTGTAGTTCGTCTATTTATAGCAATTCTCTCTCTCTCTCTTTTCTCCCCTTTTGCATGCCCATTTGTGTTGATTTTTTGGTTTAGAATGGACGAAGAGGGTTTGAATTAACATTTTCTGCCAGGTTTTGGTAAATATTCATGATTTTGAGGCGGAAGGATAAGAGGGTTATCAGGTTAGCTACGGCGATATGTACGGCAACTAGTTACATGTTTTTAGTATGCTTCTTCAAGTTTGTGTATCTCAAAATTTTGGTGGTCAACCTCATACAAATTTTAGTGCAAAGACATGACCATTTGTTCCTCTGTCTGTAGTGAAAAGCATTCAGCCCAACGAAAATTTGGGGAAAAGTTGGAGGTGGGCAAAGAGGCCAGAATTAACATTGAAGTCAATGGGGAAATTAATGGTGGTCTGCCTCCTATATGAAAACAACCTGACAGTGGATGAAAGGCCTAAATTTGATGATATGATCTCCAAATTGTCAGAAAATGTGATATATGGCATTTTGATGGTAAAAAATGTGAAATGGTAAAATTTCAAAAATATTTGACAAATTTGGGAGGGGAAATTTTGATTTTAGTCAAAATTTTGTGATTTTCAGTGTTTATTTACTTTTCAAAATTAGTGGAAAATATTTTAATGTATGATTTTTACTTTTTCTGCATTATAATTGTTAGACGGGAAGAAAGTATCATAATTTCACTCAATTTTGCCTAAAAATCATGATAAATTGTCTGAAATTCTTCAGATTACCCCCAATATTACTGTCAAAATTTTAATTATTCATCTGTTGTAAAATGAACCAAAATGTCTTGCATGTCTTTATTTTCATTGTTAAATAACTTGGCAAGGATCCATGTGTTTGTCAGATATTGAAAAAGTATTCATGTGTTTGTCAAAAATTTAAAAATTAAGAAATTTAGTCTAATTATGTTCTGCTTAGGTGTGTAAGAATTTTCAAAACATGAGTGAACTGCATTTTGCTGCTGTTTTCCTCAGGCTTAACACAATTTTAATCTTTCAAAACCTGAAATTGTTGCATTTCCCTTCTCGAGAAAGTAAAATCTATGTGTTTGCAGGGAAATTTATCTGTCTTCATTTCATTTAGACTGGCTCACCCTCCCCACCCCACCCCTTTTCTTGAAGATGATATTTGGATATTCAATTGAACATTTGTTGACTCCAAATTAGCAGTAATCTGATTTTGTGCTTGAATTGTAACCGAGCATTTTATTTGACACAAACAAATAGTTACATATAAGATTTCAAGGATTTCTAAGACTTTTTGTTTATGGTCAAACATGTAATCCTATGACATTTCTTCCAAATGAGTCCACACCCCAAAATGGATATGTTGTAGATGTGTTTTTTGCAGCTTAATGTTTTACATTTTGAATGTAAATCTATTATTTGTGGTGATCTTTGAAAATGTGGCACTTACAGGGCAATAAAATATTAATTAATAGCCTTTTCATACCCCTTTTATGCTTTGAATTATGTCAGAACTCCCTTTTTCCATCTCATTTTGTCAGGACATTGATGTAAAGATTAAAACAACTTGCTTCCACATAATATTTACACTATGTAATTTCAAGGATACCTCTGATTGTTAAAGTATTTTAAAAACTGAAATATTCCCATTTTTAAAAAAAAAATAGTGCTTTGCGACCCTTTTATTAGAGTGGCTGGTTGTCACCTAAATACAGCATTTATTTTACATTTATCAATCCATATTTTAATAAATAATTCATACTTCGTACAACAAACTGTGTTTGTATGTATGTATATAAGCCAGGGATAGAAGAACATGGCTTTTAGCCATATTCCATCAACAGTATTACTTATGTGGACACAAGTGGGATTTGTTACCACACCAACATTTTTAGGGGGTGGGCTTACAGGTTTCACTATAGTTCCTTACAGTTACCTTCAATGCAACAAATTTGCAGCTTGTCTTCCTGTATACCGGCCAAGGTTTCTAGAAATAAATGCTTTTCATCTCAGACTTTCCCAGAAATAGGGAAATATTAGCATTTTGAGGCATACAAAGTGTCAAAAATGGACCATTTTGTAGAAAAAGGTAAAAGAAAGTCAATTTTTGAAAAATATTCCAATATTTTGAATATTTTTGATGTGACTTGTCTGAAACTCTTTAAATCTTTTCGCAGAACTCACATTTCGACAAAATTAAGAAAGAATCTTCAATTCTAGAACAAAAGGCCCATGGACCTGAGCTGCAATCCGGTATACAAAACACTACATAACTTTAAAGGGTCACCATTTCTGCAGTAATTATTTTTTTCTGATTCTGTATTATAATAATTTTGCAAAAATAAATGTGAAGCTATAAAGAAAAGAATTTTGATGATATATGAACTTATAAAACCATATAGGAGGCAGACCACCATTAAATTTCATCATCTCGGTACCCACGAATTGTAGTTCGTCTATTTATAGCAATTCTCTCTCTCTCTCTTTTCTCCCCTTTTGCATGCCCATTTGTGTTGATTTTTTGGTTTAGAATGGACGAAGAGGGTTTGAATTAACATTTTCTGCCAGGTTTTGGTAAATATTCATGATTTTGAGGCGGAAGGATAAGAGGGTTATCAGGTTAGCTACGGCGATATGTACGGCAACTAGTTACATGTTTTTAGTATGCTTCTTCAAGTTTGTGTATCTCAAAATTTTGGTGGTCAACCTCATACAAATTTTAGTGCAAAGACATGACCATTTGTTTCTCTGTCTGTAGTGAAAAGCATTCAGCCCAACGAAAATTTGGGGAAAAGTTGGAGGTGGGCAAAGAGGCCAGAATTAACATTGAAGTCAATGGGGAAATTAATGGTGGTCTGCCTCCAAACGGAAATTGTTGAATTCAGTAGGACTAGGATTCTTCCTTTTACTAATTTAAATTATGCATATAAATTTCATACAGATTGGCAGAGAACTTTATATGTTAGAGAGTTATTTCAATTTCTTTCAACTGATTTCAACAACATAGGGAAAGGTACGAATCAATTTGAGGTACGAATCAATTTGAGGTACGAAGTGAAGTACTAAACGGCTCATGTGAGGTACGACTGAACTAAGTACGAAACAGCTTGCATTCATTGTGGTGAGCATGTTTAGATCTAGCCTAAAGGGGCCTATAGACCATTTATAAAGCTTTAAAGTAGCTAAGTCTCGAACTCAATATCGTCCAAAGTCTTCGACATTAAAAAAAACCTGACAAATTGTTTTACAATTTAAATCAACATTGGTATTGTTATCTTACCGAGAATAGACATTTTACCATTGGTACACGAATTGTGTACTATCATAATGCTTTTCAGCGCCATTTGACATTCAAGGAACTTGAAGAAGGAGGCTAGACATATTCCACAAGTCATGTCATACGGTGACTTCATATTCTTATCTGGAAAGCATGCATGCACAATAATAAATACTTCGGTGTATACTGGAATAACCAGACGCTAGAGATTACCGTTCGATCGAGACTTCTGGCGTATTACGCCCAACATAACTGATTTAAAATTAGAGTAAAAACAGAAACGATTGAATGTAAATCAGTTTATGTAGATCTACGTTCATATTACATTATTATTAATAATTATATGCGTTGAGACCCATGTATGTGTGTCAATTTCTACATCCCAAATATTAGCGATTTAGCCCCTTTAATTTTCTATTTTACGCATTTAGGCTATACTAATTGTATCCATTGCATCTCAGTTAATTACCCTCTATCAAAACTGTCACGTAACTTACACAAAAATGCTAACATTTGGCACAATTCTTGGAGTTTGTTTACCTTTTTTTTGTCTTCGAAAAAGGCGCCCACTGTTTGAAGTCTCGACGAACCAATGAGAAGTGTTCATTTACGGAGCTGCAACATAGGAAAATATATACCAAAATTGAAACTTACTTATTTTGAGCTAAAACTGACTTATTTTTTAACACAAACGAAATTATGTTGTAAACAATATTTTACAAAGTATTTTTCACATCTTTATATTCATTCTCTATTGAAAATTTATCCAATGAAAATGATCGTATCTTCCATTTTCTGTACTTCTGTGGCCATTTTTATGAACAGACGATTTATTTTAGAAATGCTTTTTAACAAAGAATGTTGTTTAAATTTTACATTTATTTGATTATATTATTTACGTTTTTATTCAGTTGGATATGTATCAGTTTTTACACTGCTATTCTCTTAACAATCACATTTTTAACGACGCTGGAAATCCATGATCGGTTCGTACCGGTAGACGGAGTGCGTGCTGCGCATTATGGGAATGACTGGGGCGCTCTGTTCAAGTCGTTCGTAAAACCCAACAGATCAAAGAAGAGCAACAAAAAAGCCAAAATGTTTAAAAATTGGAATCCATTCCGCAAGAAATCAGAGAAAGATGGAACCAGTGTTAAACTACAGTCCTTCAAACAAGAACCATCAACATTTAATAAAGAAAACTCAGTGAATTTGAACCAATTTTCATCACAATTTTCCAGCATCAAATCAGAAAATAAACCAAGCCCCCGACCGATAACTTTGGCAAGAAGAGGGTCTTTAAAAATAACAAGATTAAGACCAGTCTCAGAAAATCCTAATCAGCATGATAATCGTTTAAATAAATCATCTTTTAACTCAAGTTTTAAAAGTGACCGAAGTAATGATGTCTCCATTTTTAATGCATCTGGACCTTTACTTTCATCACCATTTATTCCACAAGTTAAACAAGCATTGGGTTTTAATGATACCATGAGGTATAATAAATATATTAATAAACTAAGAAGAATCTTTAAAAAAAACGTGTTAAAAAAAAGCATTAAAGATGCATTATGATGTATGAGCTAAGCTAAATCTCCCTATTGCAGGTCTTTTTTTTTTTTGGGCTTCAAATGTTATATTAATATAAATTATTAATTATTTATTCACATGCCAATTGCAAACCCATGATAACAGTCTCTCTAGACTTTTGGTGTTGCATGTTATTGAAACGATTAGAACACCGTCATCATTTAAAATGGAAACTAAGACTTTGTTTATATTACCATAGCAATGGTACTTGGCAACCGAGACCTATTGTCAAAACTTCAAACACTCAGAATAGTGTAATTTGACTGACAATTTTAATATGTTTATTTATCATGATCTATTTGCAAAATGTTAAGTGTTATAACACTCAAATCAGAGGTTATCCTATTCCTTTCTCACCACACTGGAACAATCAAATGATAATTGAGTAAGCTTATTATTCACTAGACAAATTCTAAAGATTAACCAAATGTTGTTTTATTTTCCTACCATTATCTTTTCATTGTTCTATATTACAGTCCCTTTGGAAGTCCAAATACCAGTCATTCTAGAGTAAAAAGATCTAACACTTTTCATTATGCACCAAGTCATCCTACAACTACAACACCAGGATCTTTACCAGTAGTACGTTTAGGTAGAAAAGACAGACATTCTTTTAGAGATCAAGGTATCAATAGTCCTAACACTGTGAAAATAGCTCCTCCAGATGTACAAAGATTTCCTACCTGTAGATTAACATCTATCAGAGAACGTAATTCATCAACTAGTTCCCAGACTCCAGATACACAGGCGGTTGTAACTGCATTACGAGAAAGAAGGTGTGTAAGACAAAGTTTACAGGAGCTAGATCTCTTTAATTTACCTAGGTGGGGATCACGGGGCTAAGTGGGTAAGACGCTAGCTCACTAGCCTGGAGGTCGGGTGTTCGATCCCTGCATTGGCCGAGAAAGTTCATCCAGATTTTCCGGCGTGGTTCCCCCTTGTCAGTGATGCAGGACGGAGGGCATGACAAGGACAGCTGACTAGTCCTTTGGATGAGACGAAAAACCAAGGTCCCGTGTATACATTGGAATGCACGTAAAAGATCCCTTGGCAGTTGGAATTCGATATAAGAGTAGGCGATAGTGCCGCTGCCCGGGCAAAATTTCCCTCATCATAGCACACAGTATGGCGTAGGCCCGTCTTCATTAGCCCAGCATAGAAGCAGAACAGTAGGACGTTAAACCCCATTTCATTTTTAATTTAGGTCAAATATAAAGTGTTGAATTAAGTTGATCTGATGTGTTATTTTGATAGGTGATGAGGCAAGAGCATTTCAATCAAATTATTCAGATTAGTGGATTTATCAACAATTTCCATTTATTACATCTACATTTGGGCCTCCTTGTAAAATTTGCATAATCTTGTAAAAAATAACAACAGAAGTTATCATCCAACTGCTTGCATTGATATTTTTTGTCCAGTTTATAGTGAAATGAAGAAGCCTCTCAGATTTCATCAATTTGTGTTGCGTGCTTCTAGAACTTTTCCTCTCTCAATATATACTGTCATGTGGACACTTTTAACAAGAAAGATTATCATCTAACTTGCATTGTGAGTGTATGTAATATATTAGGTCTCTATACTACATGTAGCTCAGAAATCTGACTCGTAATAAAATTGAAAAGGTGAAACGGAGTAGAACCGCATTACAAAATAGTATACTTGTTTTTGGGTATGGCAGCCATTCAGGGCAGAGATCTATTCTCAAAGTAGATAGTTCTCTGTATGCAATATGGTTCCTTAGTACTAGATTACCTTTAATCATTCTGTCTTCTGTCACATTTACAAATAGTGTTAATTAGTTAGATAGTCATGTCGTTGATGGCAATGTTTGAAAGATTTTAAATGATATTACTATTACGCCATAGCTGTAAACGTGTCATTTCAAAAGCACCACATAAGGGCTATATATATATCTAAACTATTCATAACTTTTTATTTTAGAAAAAGATCTTATGTCCAAAATGAAGATGCAATCATGGAAGATATTGAGTCTACACAACAATCAAAGAGAAGGTAATAAATGTCTTTTGCTTACTTACTTCTACTGTTTTACTGATAATGTAATAAATTATAATAATAAGTAGTGATGGTCCGATAATCTGTTTGAACATCGATAATGGGCCGATAAGTGACCTATCGGGAGAAATCGATATCGACCGATACATGACCATTTTGCCGATACTTGAGTTGCTGATATCTGTTCAAAACGACTCGGTGATTACCTTTAAAATATTATCCGAGTTGTGAACAAATCATTATTTTGTTTGACACACACGGAGCATCTAAATAGCCACGCACACGTGCATGTTGCTATTTAGACGTACCGGTAATACAAGACTCTCATAGGGGACGTAAAAAGGAAAGAATAAACAGTAAAAAATCCTTACCGGTCTCCGTTATTTTTTCAATCCTTATTCACACACTGTTTGAGAGTTTGGTTCTCTCAATCCGATTTTTGAGAATGCCATTTCTGCGCATGTGCAGACAGCCATTAACGTACAACAGTCCACCCGATTAACCTTTTGATTGGAATAGGGAATAAGCCAATTGCATGATGATTAAAAGAATAGAATCGTAGAGCACAGTCACTCAGTCCACCCGATAAACCTTTTGATTGGAATAGGGAATAAGCCAATTGCATAATGATCAAAATCATAGAATCAGAGAACACAGTCACTCAGTCAGTATATTGCGGAGACCCCCTCTTCGATCTGTTTTCAATGTGTGCTGATCACAAACTAGAAGAACAATCCTTAGGCTTTTGAATTTTTTATTTAACAAATTTATTAACTTTTCGAAATGAACAATGGTCCTCACAATAGTTATTTGTCTATCACGATTCTCGATAATAAAACCAAAGAAGATGTCAAAAATGGCTCTTCATTGCATACCGGGCTGGTATGAAATGTCTTGTGCTGTTATGTCGCTTATCGTGAAATAGTTCCAAATCTTACTACTTCTGGCATGCATTTTTATGCTGCGTTTTATCTAGTTCACTGCTGGACATGCTGGTATTGTCTGGACACTATCATAATGAGTAGAAGTTTTGGAAAAGGCGGGAAAATATCACATGGCTTACGCTTGATTGGAATGAAAGATGAAAGGGGTATATCCCTTTGATGTCACATGATTACTGTCAGACATTCCGACTTCTAGAGTAGATGCCGATAAAAGTTTAGAAATAATTTAGTGATTTGTATTGTTATGCTAGGCTACTTAAAAATTTAGACATAATTTGTATCAATAAATAATAACTTCTGATATAGATCATACTACCAAAAAATTAGTTTCCATTAGATGGTTTTATTTTTAACTATAGTTCTAGAAATGGCAGGAGAATGTCACATGATTGCCACTCTTGACAGACAGTTCAGGAAGCTATCGCTTTGATGGTTCATTAATTACCGCATGAACCATTCCATTTCCAACATCTATTACTGCCATACAGGTGCCGATCACTCTAGGGAATTATATCGTAATCAACACTTAAAATATGATAATCTCAACTTTATTCATTAATGATACAGCAAATAATTAAGTTCATAATAGATGTACTGTATTTGTGATTGTGTAGGATGCATGACCCAATTTTATTACTTAAAAAATACACCGTTTGTGTATGATTGCCGAGGTAAAATAGTACCATGCGTTTCTCGACTAACAATGACATATACCGGTACATGTATCTACAAGATTATCATGTCAATCGAGGCATTTTAATGTGTAATAGTTTTATGTCCACCACTATCGGTAATTGTATCTGTATCGGCCAATATATTTCGCAGTCAATATCTGATATCGGTAAAACCGATAGGTGCCATATCTTACCAATGACCATCACTAATAATGAGTTATGTCAAATTAACTGAAAGCTGTCTAGTAATATGTATAGGAGAACAGCACCACACATAAAACCAAAAGACAAATCTATGGACATGATAGTAAGTAACCAACGATAAAATACTAACAAATCAAGTGAATGGTGAATGTAACATTGTTCTGCCAGGAAGAGTTTTGATTATATCAGATACTTGTATTCCAAAAAACCAAAAGTCATACCCATGTACACTTTCCAACAATTCAATACATACCTGTGTTGTGTACCAATAACAGTTTACAGTTCATTATTAATGTAATGTCAAATGTGTACTGTACGGTCCTGACTGTTTTTTCTTCCATCCAGATTACAGGTTTATGGATTGCTTTGACCAGTATTTTTCAATTTAAATATTCTGCACTGGAGTTAACTTTTGTCCATTGCAATGTATAAATCTATCCGAGACATTTTCTTATTTCAATATGTTTATCAGGCGCCAGGAAAGTACTCAGTCGACAGCATCATCAGCTTCTCTTCCTGCAATGCCAGACCATCTTCCAGATCTCTCAGAATCAGGGTATACCTTAATGCCTATTGAAAGTGTAGGTGTTAAGCGACCAGCAGCACCAAGTCGAGAATCATTTGATGAACGTGATGTTGAAGGTTCTGTAGCCAAGAGACCTAAGAAAGAAAATCGTAACGATCCCATCAAAAGCTCTCTTAGATCAAGTCAGCTTACAACAAATGTATGTATTTTTAAAAGGCAATTGGTCTGATCTTTTTTTGATATTTGCATTGTGACTGCCATATAAAATTACTGATGAGCGTGAACTGATAGATTGATGGAGAAGGGCTGATTATTAAGAGAATAGTTCTATCGAACCCAAAAAATATTTAGATGTCCTTTTTATGGTAGGGTGCCCTGTGCAGCGAAAATTTTCCCTACAGAAAGTTGAACTCAACACGGCGAATGTGCACGCTTCAGTGGCTCGTCTCAAAGTGATTTCTGGCTAATCACACAGTGATAATATTCAGTGCTAGAGTCTGTGAGTCTACAAATAGCCGTCGCACGTGAAATTCTCTACACATCTATAAAACTATTACAGCCGTAAAAAATCTATTGTTGACGATTATGAATAGCAGTAATATTTAGCTATTTGGTTATTACAGCATCTTTAGAAATTACATTTGTTTCATTTTTATCCCGCGCCGAACGAACTTAGGGAGGGATATTGAAATGGGGTTCATCCGTCCGTCCGTTTTCGTTTCCGAAGCATATCTCATAAACCGTTCAAGATATCTTTCTGAAACTTTGCACACACATCAACCTGTTACAGTAGTTGTGCCTTTTGCTATTTAGGAATTTCTGAGATTTATATTTTTTGTGTTTCCATGGAAACAAATTTGACTTAGTTTTTGGTGTATAATTTTGTTTCCGGAGCATATCTCATAAACCGTTCAAGATATCTTTCTGAAACTTTGCACACACATCAACCTATTACAGTAGTTGTGCCTTTTGCTATTTGGGAATTTCTGCGATTTATATTTTTTGTGTTTCCATGGAAATACATTTGACTTAGTTTTTGGTGTACAATTTGGTTTCCGAAGCATATCTCATAAACCGTTCAAGATATCTTTCTGAAACTTTGCACACACATCAACCTGTTACAGTAGTTGTGCCTTTTGCTATTTAGGAATTTCTGAGATTTATATTTTTTGTGTTTCCATGGAAACAAATTTGACTTAGTTTTTGGTGTATAATTTTGTTTCCGGAGCATATCTCATAAACCGTTCAAGATATCTTTCTGAAACTTTGCACACACATCAACCTATTACAGTAGTTGTGCCTTTTGCTATTTGGGAATTTCTGCGATTTATATTTTTTGTGTTTCCATGGAAATACATTTGACTTAGTTTTTGGTGTACAATTTGGTTTCAGGAGCATATCTCATAAACCGTTCAAGATATCTTTCTGAAACTTTGCACACACATCAACCTATTACAGTAGTTGTGCCTTTTGCTATTTGGGAATTTCTGGGATTTATATTTTTTGTGTTTCCATGGAAATACATTTGACTTAGTTTTTGGTGTACAATTTGGTTTCCGGAGCATATCTCATAAACTGTTCAAGATATCTTTCTGAAACTTTGCACACACATCAACCCGTTACAGTAGTTGTGCCTTTTGCTATTTAGGAATTTCTGGGATTGATATTTTGTGTGTTTCCATGGAAACAAATTTTACTTAGTTTTTGGTGTAGGCTACAATTTTGTTTCTGGAGCATATCTCATAAATCGTTCAAGATATCTTCATGGCACTTATTTTGAATTTCTCAGATTTGATAATTTTATGTGTTTCCATGGAAACACATTTGACTGTTCAAGATACCTTTAAAATAATTTTACCCATTATTTTATTTTCTGAAATCCAGCCTTCCATCCTGATTTTGTTTTTGGAGCATATTTTATTATCTGTTCAAGAAATCTTTTTGAAACTTTGTACAAACATTAACCTATTATAGTATTTTATTTTCTGGTGTATAAGTTTATTGTTTAACATACAGCAGCTAATTGAGGTAGGCAAAGGTTGTTGTGCAAACCTTACAGGGAGTAGCGACCCTGCCTTGCCGAGCTACTGTGATCACAATATTAGGACCAGTGACACTGTTTGCGAAATCTGATACATTTTTATATTGATTACCAATAGCATAAACAAGTTATTTTTCCTTATTTCTTCGAAACAAATGCAAGGGCGCGGGATGTTGATGACTAGTCATCTTGTTTAAATTGCTTTATCTTTAACTATACCATTAGGATTAGGAGCGGCATCTTTTGGTTTAGTACAAATAATATCTCTGAAACAATCGGGTTAGTCAAGAACATGATACTAGCAATAGTTTCATTTTACTTTTACAAGGTTCTTAAAACAGCTGTTGAGTTGCCTAATGTGCGTGTTTCTAAATTCAATGTCTTGTTCCAGCTTTCTTTTATGTTTCGTAAAAAAGTAGTCTTGATTATCCCAGCCTGTCAATCAGATGTAGAATAGTCGGTAGACTGGTTAAGCGAGACTAATTTCAAAACAAGGGCACGTAACCAATTAACCAGTTTTCAGTCTATTATTTATGGAAGATTAAATGGTCACAGCTTATTTAGTGACTATAAATGTGTGAAACTGATTTAAGGCTTGGTATATATATATATAAATATCGTGGTGTAATTGTCGAGATATTTATTTATGGTTGGGCACCCTATTTATGGTATTAAACAATACCAAAAGTAATAACAAAAAGAAAGTTTAAGACAATATACGATTAAAAGTTATCTTTCTAAAAACATATTATTGGTATAACATCTTCACTCAACTAATTGATTATTTCCAGTTTAAGTTTACATTGTTTTTTTCTTTTAGAACAAAACTTTTTATTTTTTTTATTTCATATATATCTCCCTTATACTACACCTTTTGTGATACTCGAGAATGAAAAACTGCTTTGAAGTCTTTGTTTATGATACTGCACTGTTGATTTGTTTGTAGTCCATTGAACACCTATATTCTTGTCTATTATGTAGATAGAGGTAAACAAAAGAAGAACTATTCCCAAGAGAAGACACAGTATCAATGTTTCTACTCGATCTGATTTCTCAAGAGCTGAAAAGAGTCTCAAAATTAGTCCAGCTCCATTAGATACAAGTATGATTTCATTAAGAAATCAACCTACTGTTATATTACCAAGGTAATTTAATACTCTCCAGTTAGTATTTAAGGCCAATTTATACTCTGCTAAGCGTAGCTAAGAATTGTCTTCACATTGTCTTCGCCTAGCTTTACGGTGAAGTTTTAGCATTTCTCGAGTGCAGCAAAGGAGTTGAAATTTGTTCAACTTCTTCGCTTCACTCAAAACATTGCACACAAACAGCCAATCAGCAACACGACATTGCTGTTGCGATCACGTGATCCATCTAATAACAAGAAAAGACAAGCTTCGCTTAATTGTTTTATCTTCATGATCAAGTACTTTTTCATATTTTAGCATTGATAAGTTTAACAAAATGGTGAAAATTCATTAATAGATTGGTAGACAGACAAAGCTGATTGCATGTAATTGTGATTGTTGCAAGGCTTTGATTTGAAAAATTTTCCAGCCAGTCAGTTTTTGATATATATTCAATGAATATATTTTATAACCATTGTCTCAATTTTTTATTTTCAAGTGTTTTTACACATAAGTTATAAATAAACTTTATTTTTTACACTCAAAATGTTAAATTCAAGACTGGCAAATATGACTGTAGTGAAAGCCCTGGATTGTTGCCTTAAGGGCCGGTCTTCTTCTACTCTTTCTTAGTTAATGAGGTCAAGATGGTTAATAATGTGTCTGTTAGTGTGCTGTTCGAGTCACTTGATTTTGTGCATATTATTTTTGGTATTTATAATTTCATTGTATAGTGAACAGATTGATCTACCAGAAACATTAAGAAAGAATAATGATGATTTATTTAATGGATCAGAAAATACAAGTATAAATAGTAGTCAAAATGACACTGCTAACACATCTGTAAGTAGGACTTTTTGTTTTTTACATTCACACAAGGTAGTTGGTATAGATTAGTGGGGAACCAGGTATACTGGCATTGGTCCCAGTGGTTCCCAACGTAGAATATGATCCATTTTGGTTGACTTTCGGTATTATTTCATGGAAATAACATAAATTTGACCCTTTATTTAAAAATGTGAACAGCTTTTTGAATAGGCCTGGGTTACTGAACATAAAATGATGGCATGCAGGTAACAAAGTATCTGATCACTTTGATCTGCAAAGATTTCATCAAGCTATAAAAGGTTTCACTGTGTGTGTTTTATGTATAAATAATGAAGGGACAGCAATTTGATTTTATATTGTACTGATCTTAGGTATTATGATCTATTTTAGTTGCCGATTGCATACACTTTTTTTTTTATGAAATATAGCTGTAGTTATTATTAATCATAAATTAAGTTTTAAATCCTGTCTTTCTTTAGTTATCAACAGCACAGAGTAAAAGATTATTATTTGATGGTGTAAAACAGTCCACAAAGAAAAGACAACTCTCACTTTATCCAAGTCTTAATACAAGTTTTAAAAAGGTAAAATTAATTCCATTTCTTTTATGGTTTATAGGCCTTCGCATAAAAGGAGCGCGATCACCATCGCTCTCCTGGTCGCGCCTGGATGTCAGTTGAGGTGCATTTTTTATAGCTCGCCTCAATGTCTAAATTAACTCCCCTCATAGAAAATAATAAGGAAAAATATACTGGTAACGAAAAATTCTGTCAATATTGACAGTCAGCTTGCTTGTCGGCTACAATAACAGTCATACCTTAGTGAGAATTGGCCATCTGGTTCATAATCCGAGTAATTAGCACATTTAACAGTAATTTTGATAATTTGGTATAAAAAAAACTGAAAAAAAAACTTGTTGGTTATTCATAACAGGTCCAGTAAGTTTCCTTTGTAATAATAAGCCACGTGGCGAATCAAGACATCTCGCGTGTCATGGATTGTGAATCTTGGGGTTCGCACTGTCTTCGGCGCTCGATCCAGGTAGATATTAAAATGATAATTGGATAATAAATTTTATGGTTTCACTGATCTGTTGTTAGCTAAATTTAAATAGTCATTGATTATTCCCTGATAGAATACCGGATATCCCGAGAAACAGACATTAATAATATATTTTTCCGTCAGGATCTCCAATGCTTTCCGATTCCCGATAAAACGTGATATCCATCGGCGGAAATTAGGTCAATAAACCAGCATTGCTAGATTTAGTTTTAAATAGCGTTTTAGTCTTTATTTAAAAATATTGCCCTTATATGGCATTGTGGTACAGAATTTTATTTTATTTAAAGCAATTTCAATTATGGTTGTCATATCATCCAGGAATGAATAAAAACTTAGTAAGTTACATGATAGACAAAAACAATAATTTGTGTTTTAAATATAAAGAAATGCCATGGTTTCGAATCAACTTATTTTGGCTACTGTATTTTCTGATACTGGCCGTAGTAGAAAAATCTTAATTTTGATCAACTGATGATATCTGTGTATCCATCAAATAAACGAAGACCGTAATTTATTCAGGAATATTACTGACTTGAATTTTAAGTCATATATTAGCCTATTCAGAATACAGCATTCTCCATAAGAAATTACCAAAAATTGTTTTTGTTAAAGTCTGGTTATATTAAAGTTAACGGGAGCTTCTAATTACCCTATTTCCTACCGGGACCTCATTTGACCCAATTCTGGTCGGTTGGTTTCAAAATGGATTAAAATCTATGGTCTTATCAAGAGATTCAGGAGAGGTTTTTCAGGAGAGTGGTTTACCCTTTTTCCAATTTCAGGAGAGCTTTTTGTGACTCTCCAGGAATTTATTCACATGAAGGCCTGGGTTTATATGTGATACAATTTGCTAAAAGTAGATACATGTAACTGTCAACAAAATAGTTGGTAGTTATGAGAAGTAAACATCATTATTATTAACATTAAAGCAGGGATTGGTTTTAACGGATGCAGACATGGAAAATGTGTGTTAATTTTATACCCTGGATGTTACCAAATATGTAACAATAAAAAAAAATGCATCTTACATTCTTACACTTATTTTCGTCAAAGGTTTCTTCTTTTAGGTAAAATTGAGTTCCTAATAATGAACAAAAACCAGAATGTCTTTTTTTGTCCCCCGCCTTTCGAAGAAAGCAGGGGACTATTAAAATGGATTTGTCCGTCCGTCTGTCTGTCTGTCTGTCCGTCACACACTTTTTGGGACACGTTAACTCTCTTTCTAATTGAGCTAGAATGTTTAAACTTGGTGTATGTGTTTATTAATATTAGGTCAATACCTTGATGGAGTTCGAAGATGAGCATTTTTCGCTTAGGGTAAGCGGAGGTAAGCAATTTGATTGGTTGATGCTTTGGGACCCGATAACTTTAGTTCTAATTAAGTGAGGGTGATGAAACTTGGTGTATAGTTTCATTACATAATTACCTTGACTAAGTTCGATAATGAGCATTTTCTGCTCAGGGTAAGCATACATGCCAACTATTCCGATTTTGTCGAAATCATTCCGATTTTCTGAGTCTAATTCTGAATTCCGATTTTACTCTTTATAATTCCGTTTTTTAAAATTTATTGGAAGAAATTTATTATATTTCATTCCTGACCTTTTTGATTGATAAAATCCCTCTCGTTTTATTTTTACATTGACGACTGTCTCGGCATTCTCGCTGTTTGTTGTGAATCTGATGGCGATACTGTTTATCGTAGTATTATGAGTCGGTAAAACAACGAAAATAGTCCAGAACATGTGTCATGTTTTCCTTATTATGATTAATATAAAATGGAATAAGCTATTATGTCTGGACTAATCAAGATCAAAATGTCATGTGGTTATTTCCGTCATTTGCCGTGTCTAATTTGACTAATTTGCGGTAAAACGACGGAAATAGCCGAAAACATGTCTACAGTTTTCCCGATTATTATTAATATAAAATGGAATAAGCTTATATGTCTGGACTAATCGAGATTAAAATGTCATGTGGTTATTTTGTCATTGGCCGTGCCTAATTTGCATACTTCGCGGATATTATTTGCTACGTGGAGCCATTCTCGCATACACTCGTACATTACACGGCTGGTTTACCGTTAGTTGCCAGTAACGTTGTTAGCCATATTTCCTTCTGACTTGATAAAAAATGTTTTCAAGCTGTTTTCCATGTGTGAAAAAAACAAATTACAATTATAAATAAAACCCAGTATAAATAATTTACGACTTCTACTTCCGTGTCGGTCGTCAATACAAACAAAATGGCTTCCAAAACAAATGTCAGACAAAAATACCGGGATTACTTGATTTTGTATCTAGTCATAACTTCATAAGTGTTTTAAAAAGACACATTGTTGAAGAAATGTGAGATTTATAATTTATTTTAAGGTTAAATAATATGAATATTATTACATTAAACTATTTTAAACAGTACAAGTCTTATGCAGTAATTATGTTTTAAGTAGCCTCTTACAATTCACAAGACAATTTGAGAACATTTTTGTGTACATCAAGGTCGATATTAACTGGGATTTTTTTCTTTCTAAACCCTTCCTGAGCTAACCACCTCATACCCATAGAGGGCTATGCAAATATTGAGTAAAAATCAAGCATACCTTGAATATGAATGCGACTACAACTGTAAAATTGCAAATGTATATCCATTATATATGACTTGGGATTTTTGCATTTGTTTAGTTTAGATTTTATGGTTACTGCAGTGTGTTTCAAAATGGCTGCCATATTATTGTCATAAATGAAATATTGGATATTTTCTTGTCATTAAAAAATTCAAGATGGTCAGGAATAAAGCTATATGGATTATTAACATGATAGATATCCCTTTTGTAAGAATAGTATAGGTTTTTGGGGAAAAGTCACTAAATTGTGATAATAATGTTTTTTTCTAAAAATAATAAAATGTAAACGAGCAGTATTGACAATTTTGCGGTATAAAAATCATCAGTAACAAGTTTTTATTAACAATAAAATAAAAATAAATTAAATATTTGGAAAATAACAATAATATATACCAAAATATTCACATTAGGGTTGCCATGGTAACCAATTTGACCATATCGTATACGTCTATATTGGTAGCGATCTACGTGCGCGACTGTATAAAAGCAGATGAATAATTTCCTCCGGAGAAGTCTCCCTTTTTTGTGTCTTTACTTTGTGACAAACATCTGAATTTTCATCACAAGAAGAATCCCCACTAATAGTATAGTCACTACCCGAATCCAATATAGGCGTGACGTCATCGACATCGGTACTCACGGCTAAATTCAGCCGAAGTCTTTTTGTTGTGAAGGACGCCATTCCTCGGCTGTTCTGACTATTGATGGTTGTTCCGTCAATAGAGGAAACCCCCTCGTAATAAAAACTCGTGTTATACACCATCTAAGGTTAAAACCATGCTTTTACAGGGGAGTAAACCAAGTTAAATAAACTTCCCGACTATTGTCGGGTGCCGCTCTGACAGACTATAAAATTATCCCGACAATCGTCGGGATTAGCTCAGGAAGGGTTAACTCGAGGCCTGGATTATTTAGGACTACCCCTTTAACTAACATAGTTTATATACTTTCGTATATAAATAGGTAAAAAAAACCTCAGATGCATGGACCTAAATCACCAGCTGTTTTTATCCAATAATACAAGGTACTGCTTTAAATAGGTGCTAATTTCTCAAAATTTTCTTGGGGCCCTTAGCCGGGCCCTTCAAGCCACCGGCGCCTGCGGAGCCTCCAGCGTCATGGTGCTTCGCACAGATCAAATTTGGATCTGTGGTCCTCGCTCTACCCTCAATACAAGACATTCTGATTTTCAATCTCCTCAGGTTGGCATGTATGGGTAAGCAGAGCCATAAGCAATTTGATTGGCCGAGACTTTGGAACACAATAACTCTCCTTCTAATTGAGCTAAAATGTTCAAACTTGGTGTAGGTGTTTATTAGGTCAATGCCTTGATGGAGTGTGAAGATGAGCATTTTCTGCTTAGGGTAAGTAGAGATAAGCAATTTGATTGATTGATGCTTTGGGACACAATAACTTTAGTTCCAATTAAGTGAGAGTGATGAAACTTGGTGGATAGTTTCATTACATCAATACCTTGACTAAGTTCGATATTGAGCATTTTCTGCCCAGGGTAAGTAGAGCGATAAGCAATTTGATTGGTCGAGACTTTGGAACACAATTACTCTCCTTCTAATTGAGCTAGAATGTCCAAACTTGGTGTAGGTGTTTATGAGGTCAATGCCTTGATAGAGTGCGAAGATGAGCATTTTCTGCTTATGGTAAGTAGAGATAAGCAATTTGATTGGTTGATGCTTTGGGACACGATAACTTTAGTTCTAATTAAGTGATAGTGATGAAACTTGGTGTATAGTTTCATTACATCAATACCTTTACTAAGTTCGATGATGAGAATTGTCTGCTTAGGCTAAGGAGCAATAAGTATTTTGATTGGTCAAAACTTTGGAACATAACAACTCTGCTTCTAATTGAGGTAGAATGTTTAAACTTGATGTAGATGTTCGTCTTGACTGAGTTCAATGATTAACATATCGAGCTAAAGCTAAGCAGAGATAAGCAATTTCCTTGGTCGATGCTTTGGGACAAAAAACTTTGACTATCTGATAGAGAGTGATGAAACTTAGTGTATAGTTGATAATCAGTTTGATTGCTCGATACTTTTGAAAAAAATAGATGTGCGATTAATTAATATGTGTCATCTATTTATTTGGGCATTTCAGCGGGGGATATCAGCCTCACTGTTGGCTTGTTTATTTAACAAAACTCCTGCATACTGCCTTTAAATTATCAATTTTTCCTGAATTGATAACTAAAGAATAATGAAAAACAATTGTGAATTTATTTGATTTCTGAGAAAATGGATATTAGATTAGAAGTCTTTCAATATACTCTGATCTGATGGGCAGTTATACCCCCTGGGGTTCTTGTTTATATTATTGGTTCCTGTACCTAATGGTCTATTCTTTTTTTATATTAAAGGTTCCCCTAGCTAATGTTGTAGCAAGTGCTGAGGATTATGAAAAAGACAGAGAAGAAGAACAAAAACGTGTAACAGATATGTTGAAAGAAATAACCGAGGAACAGGAAAATAAAGATAAAAAAGGTACAGATATTTCTAAGAAGTCATAACTTATTCTGATGCATTTTGTGCACCATATATCTGGACATAATATCTCCACTACATGTGCTGAGTGTAGAGAGGATGCCATGTTGTAGATGTAGTAAGCATACAAAGCATCATATACTTGACTTGTCACAAGTTTTTATTAATATTTTCTTTATATTATCACATGGATGCCTGTCCATTTCTTGTTAGGAAGAAATCTTGTAAACTTTATAAGTTTATAAACTAAAATTATCTTATTGAAAGGAAAAACTCTATTGATTTTCATTGATTTACCGTAATAACTTAAGAGTTATTTTTGCCGTCTTCATTAGCCCAGTTGGAGTAGGACGTTAAACCCCATTTCATTTCAAGAGTTATTCACCTTTAATACAATTAAATCTTATTATTCTTACAGGACTATTTGTGCTCCATTGTAAGGAAATTTTGTTAGTACTATAGAGGCCCCAATTATAATTCGTTTCTTTTGCTTGATTGTCAATCCAGAGCATGTTAAATTGAATTGAGTTCTGTTGCAGTTCTCCCAATCTTCATAGTTTAATGTGAACATATAGTGTTTGGTTATTACTCCAATGGCACTTTCTGAGGAATTAAGGAAATCCCACTTTGCATCTAGGTTATTCAAACAGTAAAGCCTATTGATTTCAAATGATATTGGATAGCAATTTCCCGTAGCCAGGATTAAGTTAAAGTACCATTACTGATTAATCCTAAATGGGAATCAAAATCAATGTAATAGTGTGTGTACTTCTGTCACTGGAACCTGTCAAATAGGTCACAGTTAATATTTGGGTTTTTTTGGTATCTCTTAATAAAAGTAATAACTTTGTACTAGAGTTCCTTAAGCCCCTTTGTTAATAAAAATCATATTAGCATTTTAGGAATCATTTTAAAAAAAATTCTAGTTTATAGCTTAGTAAAGAAATGCAACTTTTTTTTTTGCAAAAAGAAGTGATGTTACTTAAAAGTTTCCTCCAGCTTCATTAAGAACTGCACAACATTGTAGGCTACATTTATTGCACAATATAATTGGACAAATTATGCAATAGTGATCTGATCTGCTTTAATATTATATATAATGAGGGGATCACAGAGCAACTTCTGTTTTTATTTTTCAGAAGAGAAACCGGTTTTATCAGAAACAGTAGTGGTATCTAGTACTACAACAATGCCAGCATCAACTGGTGTCACTACAACATCATCTGCATTATCTTTCCAGTCTGCCGGACAACCTAATCCTTCCATACAAACATCAAAGCCTACCTCAGTGTCAACGCCTTTTAATTTAGGTACACCCATAGCTACAGAAGTAAAAGCTCCAACATCAACCCCTGCACCAAACCCAACAACAACAGTATCCAGTGTAATAGTTTCATCTGTAGCTGCCTCTACTGCATCCTCTAATTCATCTACCGTTTCTTCAAGTCTCAGTACAAATTTCAAACCAGTCTTTAGTGTACCATTAACCACAGTTAGTACCAATAAGTCAGTTTCAACTTTATCCCAAGGTTCATCTCTTGGTGGCACAGGCATATCAAAACCTGGTCCTTTACTTGGAAATGTTCCAACTGCAACTGTGTTTGGAGCGTCTTTACCCTCAGGCCCACAATTGAATACCTCAACAGTTGGTTTGGGTGCACCAGTGTCACAAAATTTGTCTTTCAATTTAGGTGGTGCTACAACTACTAGTAATTCTTTATTGTCTACTAAACCTGCAGCAGATACAAATCCAGCGAAGGGTGGTTTTACTTTTGGACAAATGGCAACAAGTCAACCTACGGCAATGTCATCAGGATTTGGTCTTGCGCCGCAAGCAGCTTCAAACCCAGCTTCAGCTACTAATTCCAACAACACTAGTACTCAGAGCAGTTTTACATTTGGTTTGACTGATGCAAGTAATGTTAAGGCCCCACCAATACAGCCACAAGTTACACAGCCTAGTTTTCAACAGGCAGATTTTAGTTTTGGTCAGGGTACTACTGTTTCATCAGCAGGAGGATTTGGATTTGGTGGAGCAACAGCTTTTTCAGCACTGTCATCTCTGGCTGGTATTTCAGCAGCTGAAACCCCTAAAACTGATCCACCAGCATACTCACAACACCAAAATCTGACAGTTAGCAACACATCTAGTGGTTTACCTAAACCAACTTTTAATTTTAGCGCAACTCCAAGTACATCAACAGTTGGATTTGGATTTGGTGGAGCAGCGGCTTTATCGGCACTGTCATCTCTGACAGGGATTTCAGCCACTGAACCACCTAAAACTGATCCACCAGCCTATTCACTAAGTCAGAATCAGACAATTACCAGTACATCTGGTGGTTTACCTAAGCCAACGTTTAATTTTAGCGCAGCTCCAACTACATCAAATACAGGAGGATCCATTTTTGGAACTTCTGCATCAACTACATCAGGCGCAAAGTCAACAAGTAACACCTTATTTGGTGGAAGTCAGGGGGCACAGGGATCAGCTGTAAATAGTTTTCAGTTTGGAATGGCAACTGCATCAAATCCTGCACCAACAGCATTTGGACAAACATCTGCTGCTACAGGTTTAAATTTTGGTCAGGGTAATCCAAAGACAACTAGTGCAGCTCAAAATACACCCAGTTTTTCATTTGGGGTCGCAAGTGGGGCTTCAGGGCCAAGTTCAGCAGCATTTGGATCAATAACTGCTCCAGGAAAACCCTTTGCCTTTGGTACTTCACAGACCGGTCCTGTTGGTGGTTTTAGTACCACAACACCTCAACCGTCTTTTGGTGTTGCACAGCCCAATACTGGACAGTCCACATTTGGAAATAAATCTAGGACACAGTTAAATGCATTTGGTACTTCCGCTGGAGCACCTTCGGGTACGCCATTTGGTACCCAAGCGTCTAATAGCACAGCATCAGTTTTTGGGACAGCATCTTTTGGAAACCAATCACAGTCAGCTACACAATCTGGATCTGGTTTTGGTCAAAGTGGTTCAGTATTTGGAACACAGAGTCAAAATCCGTCCTCATTTGGACAGTCTAGTTCTGCTAACTCCAGCTTCCAATTTGGACAGACATCCAACACACCTTCGACAGGTGCATTTCAGTTTCAAACAACTCCAGCTAAACCCTCCAACCCAACTCCAACTTTTGGTCAATCCTCAACTAATCAAAATGCAGGTTTTAACTTTGCTGCACCTGGAAGTACACCATCTTTTAATTTTGGTAAGATATTTTTAAATTTAAGAAACAACAAATTTTATACTTCTCATAAGCTTGACAAGATTGAAGAAAATGTTTAGTAATATGAATTATAGGTCATGCTTGTGTAAATCAATTAAAATTGAAGAAAGTCATGGGTAAAGTAAATCTCAGGAAGGATTAACAACAAACTTTTAAAATATTTATTTCAGGTAGTCCAACTTCTCAAGGACCAGCACCTTCAGGCTCTTTTGGCACTCCGAGTACACCAAGTAATAATCCATTTACTCCAGGTTCAACTTCCAAATCACGGGTTGTTGCCAGAGCCTCTTCAAGACGACGAAATCGACGCTAAAATAAAATGTTTATATTTTAAAATAAAACTGTATTCGTTTTTATACTTACTTTATCTACAACAAGTACATCTGCTTCGGAGGTAGAATGTTGAAACTGTGTAGATATGCTCATTAGATGAATGTCTTGCCTACGATCTATAAGCAATTTTCTGATTAAACTAGAAGAGATAAACAATTTGATTTGTTGATGCGTTTGGACAGAATAAATTTGCTTTTAATTGAGATTGATGAAACTTGGTGTATAGTTTCATTACATGACTAATAGAATTTTTTCTCACGTTAAGCAGAGATATAAGCAATTTAATTGCTCAAAGCTTTACAAAGAAATAAACAGGCAAGTAATTAATGGATGTCATCTGTTTACTTTCAAATTGACATATGCCTGGCTTGTTAGCACTGCCATCCTTTGTAAGAAAATAAATTGATATAATTTATTAAGAAAATATATAAATTGTGGATGAATTATATTAGTGTATCGAATTGAACATTAATGCATTTGTTTAAAATTGTATATTACCATGTAAATTGTAATTGTAGAAATTATTATTTTGTGTATGAATTGATTGCATTTATATTTAAAAAGCTCTATGCACTTGAAGTGAGCATAAGAAAGAACTAAAATCTGATTTCTTGTTGCGTATTTCGTTATAATAGTTTTGGAACGTTTGTCCATGTTTCTTTTCAGTGGGGATAATGGCATACAAGATTGTAAACTGCCAAAATGTACATAGCTTTATTAATACTAACACTAAAGAAACATCCTTCTGTATTTTGCAGTTGAAGTGGTCTGTCCCTACAAGTCCTATTATGAAAAATAGGATTACTTTATTTAAAACTGTTGTTATGTTATTTAAGGAATATAATACTAAATGTTTGGCACAAAATGACCCATTTGGTGTTGTAAGTGCTAAGATGCCTCAAACATTTTCCTATATATATTTTATAAATTTGTTTTAATATCTTTTTATTTGTCTTTGTAAGTTACTGGTAGTGCTATGTTGTTGATTGTGAAAAATACAAAATTATTATACTAACATTGAACATTTGAATTTTTTGTCAAGGTAAATTTTGAATTGTTCAAAATTTAATTTACTGTAGATAATTTTATGCACTTGTAAATAATGTCTGACTGAACTACAGACAGTTAACTTGGTAATCTTGAAGTGGGAGTATGCCAATATATTGTTTCACATTTAATTTATCAGTTAAACTGGCTGTGTTATGTGGCATTGCACAGGTCTAGTTTCTCTCCATCTTTGTCACATTCACAAAAAAGCAATAATCATTGTTAATTTAATCATAAAATACTGCACCAAATAGAAAATAAATTTTACTTAAAAGTTGATTTAAAAAAAAAAAAAATTTCTGGTGATCTATTTGTCAGTGATGAAAGTAAAGTATCTAGATGAAAATTATATTCATTTATTATAGGCCTGCATTGAATTATAGTTTTTTTTTTAATATAGATGTTGCCTTTGTCTTCCACACTACATTATTTGTCATCCAATCTTTTAAAAATATAGATGATTTTTACATTACTGAGCCCAAGACGCTTAATTTCGTCTGATCTGCTTTAAATTTACATGCAATGGGGTGCAGAATCTTATTGAATTCCTACTATTTCTGTTCATTACTTCTCGAGTTAGGGCACTTGCTGTGTGGAAACTTGTGAGCCCTCTAGCAAAAGATGATCTGCCTTAAACATACATTTGCAAGAGCTAAAACTGCCTATTTCAGGTCTTTCTTTAGGCCTGAAATGATATCTAAGTATCCAGACCATAATCAACTCTCGATTTCATCGCTAGACTGCGATATTTACTGGATTAAGATGTGATTTCCATCTCAACTTTCATTCATGAAACGGATAATCGAGACTGTTTATCATGCCAACTTTAGTAATGATGATTGAGGCTAGGCCGAAATTCAGATAGTAATGATGATCTAGGCTAGGCCGAAATTCAGTCGCTAAATTCTCAGTTCAGCGTGGATAAATTTGACTGAAATTTTCAGCAAATTCCCTTTACATTATCTAGTTTAACTATTATAGTGAGAACTGCCAGCTCTTTATCTAATCTCCCATAATTTATCTTCAAACAAAAATTAAATTTATGGTCTTGGTTTCGATTATTGAAATGGATACCAATTAATGAGAGTTATTGCCCTTTAAGTCATATCTTGTGAACATGCTTTACAACCAATCTCATATTTTATGTAAATGGAAATACTCCCACTTCAATATTTCAAATTGTAGTCTAAATACTGATTTTAGTTCCCCTGTTTTACTTTTGCAACACAAGGGACTCGGATATATTTAATCTTATGTCTTCATGTATAGCTGATATTTTTTGCTTTTAATAATGGATCATTAAAATATTGTACAAAGATTTAATTATGTAAAACAATAATTTTTTTTAAAATGTTTTGATTTCTAATCATAGTTCAAAAATTATTATGTATCAATATTTCATCTATTTTTGAATTTATGAATCATAAAATTTATTGTACAATAAATATGGAACTTAAGTATTTTTATGTTAACTATTGTAATTTAGATTATATTTTTCCACAAGGTCACAAAGAAGACTTTATAACCCCCCTGTCACTAAAGCTAAATGGGACAAAAATCTGAAGTTGGGTTTCAGAAGACAAGGATACAAGGTCGAGTATGTCTTTACAACAACAGAATGAAATGGGGTTTAACGTCGTATGGTTCTGCTGTAATCTGCCCCGAACTGAACATCAGTAGGAATACCGGGATTAAAGCCGTTTACAATATTATCGCCACCCCTTTATCAATTCGGTATTAAATATTGCAACATTGGGTTCTCGTAATACTACACTTTTTAGGGTTCTGTAATATCGCCCTTACCAGACTATTCTTGATTAGGATTGTTTTTCGTTGGTGCTTGAAGATTTTATTAAAATTCTAAAAAGACCCCGGTTGATTATCTGGTTGACTTAAATGTGATAATTGTAAAATCAGTTCAAAACACGTTTCTGCTATCGCGTTTGCGGGAAATTGCTGAACCTTCAAGTGGGTTCATGCCCCTCATTGCTTTATCCCAAATATTAAGACAGCCACACAAATTGTCTCCAGTAGATTTTATTTTACTGACCGGAATATTAAAAAAAAAACCACATTAGATGGCGTTACAGCTTTTTCATATCATTGAAATACTGGGCAATGAAATGTGGTTTTTAAACATTTCGGATTTCTGCTCTATATCCCGTGTGTAAAGACTGTGCGGTGACCGTTTCCACCTGCTCTTCCGAATTGAAACGAGACCTCGAGTTTCCGTCTAACAAGAGGCCGTTTCTTGCCAGGCTCACCGGCAGTGCACCACTGACAAGGAACGGGGATCGATATCTGGAGTCAGTGCCTTTAGAGATACGGTGCCTTGTCTATAACTACACCGATGAATTATGTGGAATCAGGATCCCTCGCACTTAAATCAAATGAAGCCTTTTTGCTAAATGGAGTGGGTGGGAGGGGGTGCTTCTACTGGTATGAATGAATGACCTAGTTCTCACCCACCGGCTAATAAACGACATGCGCCACGCAGTGTGCCTTAAAGGGCCAATCTCGATGATATTTTGGAGAATAAAACTGCTTAAAGATACATTATAGGAGATTTTTATAAGGAGTTTGCCATTCTTGCTATAACAGTTCAAAAATAGATGATGAAAGAAGAATATGTTGAAAATTTCAGTCAAATTACTTTATTCTGAACATAGTTATCACCAGTGTAATTTTTTTACTAGAAATGGGATTGAATTCCATCTTCACCGATTCTTAGTATGGCCGATCCTTTGATTGATAGGCGTTAACTCCACCTACATAATCTCTGCTGTCTTTTGTCTGCTGTCATCATATCCGAATTTGTTTACCTTTTTGGATTTTTATAACAATTGGACAAAATGATTGAGTAAATTTTCATTCTTACTTGTATTTTGGGCATGCATTACATCAATTGAATATAGGACATAATATTTTAATACAATTATGATAAATCTATAGGTATACACCAGTGGCGTCGTCCCTATTGGGGAAATAAAAATATATTTATTGATATTATTAAGACAGAAGACCTGTCCGTCTGTATTAGTCATCACACGGTCTCCAGGAATTGTATAATTTGTCATTATCTGTGTTTAGTTTATTGCACTTTAAATAGTTTAGATGTCATTTGTTAAGGCATCGCTAAACAGCGACCTCGCTTCGTACACTGTCATTTAGCCTCGATCCGGGAGTATGACGTCAACGTAATGGTTAATCTCCGCTCACAATTAAATCAGTCAACGAAATCCCGTTTAAATCCAAGCTGAATCCAAGCCATCCATGGGTCTACAGAGTTGATTTTGTGCTTGTGTAAATAAAGATCTAATTTATAATTTCTATGACATCTGAAGCCTAAAAAAAGACTTGCAATAACCAGATTTAGCTCTTGCATAATGTATGTTTAATTTTATGTTAAAATCCTCTACTTTGGGCCGAGCAACTAACTCAATATACGCGATACATTTTCAACAACTTAAACCTGTCCGTCTTTATCTGGAAATGGAGACCGGTGACTTATTTTATAAAAATAACGTGTAGTTGAAATTTATCATTCATAACCAAGTACAGGCCACCCAATAAAAAAAAAATTGACCCGAAATCTTAAAAGGGTTACTTGTCCAGATAAGCAGAATTTTGAGAAACGCTAAATACACCATTCCTCTATATTTTGACGTTTAAATTTCATACGTACACGGACTTATTCCTGAGCCTTAAAATCGGGATGGTCCCTTTAAGGGAAATCTTGCCAGGACAGCAAGTGTCAAGGCGGTTACAGGGACAATAACACTCTTGCTGGCTTGAAAGCTCCAGAAAATAAATAATATCTCTATCTAAGTACTAGATGTTTAAGTGTCCTACCTGTTGTGTAAATTATCCATTACATCCTATTTTACTTGTCCAGAGGGTTCGAAAATATTTTTAAATTGAAGTTTCATTTGAAAAGTTTTACGTTAGACGTTTCAAACCATTATGTTGAATTTTTCAAAATTTTTAAATAAGGTGTATTAAGATGAAATTTGTATCATCAATTAATTGAAATATTCTAAAATAGTACAATTTGTTGACCAGAATAAAGATTGGGACATATTATTCAGTTACAAGAGTGGTATTGAGCCTTTAACAATGAAATTTTGTTTGAAGTGTTTGCCAGGGGAGTAAATCTATATATATATATGTGACTGTCGTTTGTCTGTCTGTCTGTTCGGGGTTGGCTACACTAGGTCTGCCCCGAGTCTGAAATTTGGGGTATAGGGGTAGCTCGGACCGGGGAGTAACATAGGCCAGTTGGCGTTAGTCTACCACTTCCGGTTTCGGAGTTATGACCCCTCGAGCGAAGCCGGTCTGTTCGGGGTTGGCGGCTACACTAGGTCTGCCCCGTGTCTGAAATTTGGAGTATAGGGGTAGCTCGGACCGATGAGTGACATAGGCCAGGTGGCGTTAGTCTACCACTTCCGGTTTCGGAGTTATGACCCCCCGAGCGAAGTCTGTTCGGGGTTGGCGGCTACATCTGCCCCGAGTATAAAAATAAAATAAAACCAAGTACGAACAATCCAAACCATAAAACAGAATTCGAAGTCCTAAAAAACGTTATAGGCAAAATAGTGTATTCAAGCAAAATAGTGTAATCAGCAAATGGACTGCTCCTCGTGTACAAAATACACGACAAACAGTGGTAACAGGTGTCAATTGTTAATTGTTTTTCAAAAATTAAAATAACTGGAATTTAGCATTGTCACGTTAAATATAGCAGTCACTAAAGTCAAATTTATTATGCCCGAAAGTACATGGGTGGCTACTGGTGTATGAAAGGTGTTTTCAGTTGTGCATGATTTACCGAAACCTCGACCATACGGTCTGCTTTTTTGGTCCGTGTTGTCCAGAATACATGCATTTTGTCGGTGGTCTTGCCCTTACAGTTCTGCTAATTGTACAATGAAAGAAATCGGGAAAATATCTAAAAGCTGCTGCCCAAAATTTAAGTTCTTTCTTCTATCTCGGACAGAGTTTGACAGTGGGGATTCAGACATTAATGACAACCGTTGCGTAAATGCCGCTGCCAAACACAAAACATCACAGCTTTGGTATCGACATTGATAGAAGGCGATGGTATCAGCGTAAGAAGTCTAATTTTCATACAAAATCAAACCATTTGGGATTAATTCCAATTTTATTAAGACGCCATTTTACATTTAAGTATCAGGTTATGAGTCTGGTGGATTTTAGACAAAATAAATGTCGTCAGAATTATTGTTGACACGAGAACAATGCTTGAGGCAATAAAGATGGCGGAAAAAAAAGTTGCTTTATGGGAATCATAATACAACGTTGACCTTTCCTTAATGGGCGATTCCACGTCAAATACAATCGATTTTTTCAAAGCAACAGACTCATCGGATTGAATCTTTTCTGAAGATGTACTTTTATTTCCTACAAAAAAGAAAAATATGATTAAAATTTGCGAGAAACCCAACCAGCCACATTTTTGTATTTCAATCATTTCTTGGCTTGAAATGGGTATTCACAGTGAGTAATATAACGTAACCCCCAACAATTCCATTTGAGCAAAAACTTCTATTGCAGCTTAATAATATACCAAACAGTCGGGTGTTCAGACCCCCGCCACCCCAAAACAGTCACAAGTTTGTTTCTGGCCGCGACAAATAAAGCGCAACATTAACAGTTAAAGAGACATTAGTGCTTTGGAGATTTTATCTTAGACTGGCTGTGACTAGACTTTGTCGTAACATAGGGGGTATCCTAATTAGATTGTATGCAAGAGTTGTCCGTCACTGAGATATATAAACGCAGTTACCCCTATTGTGAAGAAAGATATTTACCAGGAGAAATAAGTAAATCTAGAGTTCCACTGAGATATGACGGCACCGCATCAGGGTTCCTAATACTTCTTTTGTTCTTTATAACAGTTTTCCTTGCAGCAGCACATGAATTCTGAAGTTCAGAATATACTGTTATTACATTCAATGACCGGTTGATCATGCAGTACCTGTGCAACAGTTGATGATCATGCCCAAACAGTTGTTGATCATGCCCAGACAACAGTTGTTGATCATGCCCAGACAACAGTTGTTGATCATGCCCAGACAACAGTTGTTGATCATGCCCAGACAACAGTTGTTGATCATGCCCATGCTACAGTTGTTGATCATGCCCATGCTACAGTTGTTGATCATGCCCATGCTACAGTTGTTGATCATGCCCATGCTACAGTTGTTGATCATGCCCATGCAACAGTCGAGTATGCCCTGCCCATGCAACAGTCGAGTATGCCCTGCCCATGCAACAGTCGAGTATGCCCTGCCCATGCAACAGTCGAGTATGCCCTGCCCATGCAACAGTCGGGTATGCCCTGCCCATGCAACAGTCGGGTATGCCCTGCCCATGCAACAGTCGGGTATGCCCTGCCCATGCAACAGTCGAGTATGCCCTGCCCATGCAACAGTCGAGTATGCCCTGCCCATGCAACAGTCGAGTATGCCCTGCAACAGTGGAGTATGCCCTGCAACGGTTGAGTATGCACTACAACAGTTGTTTCACTACCTATGCAACAGTTTATTGACCACCTATGCAACAGTTATTTATTGACCACCTATGCAACAGTTGTTTATTGACCACCTATGCAACAGTTGTTTATTGACCACCTATGCAACAGTCGTTGATTATGCACTACCTATATAACAGAAGAACCAACCTGCTGTTCACTGAAAAACCAACAGTTGTTTATTGACCACCTATGCAACAGTCGTTGATTATGCACTACCTATATAACAGAAGAACCAACCTGCTGTTCACTGAAAAACCAATAGCACCCTGGAGCCAGTTTACAGAGACATGTGACGTCTCCGCCCAATCTATTTCAAACTTCCACCATCAAGGTTGTTAGTATTTCGTTTGATCCGAATGACTTGGAACGCATTGGCCTCACGGGTGGAATATGGGCAATTGTAAAATTCATAGTATCAGCTATTTGCTTCTTTAATATACTATTCAAAAAAAGTAGGGGGATATTTGATTTTTAAGTGTTATTAAAGTCACCTAATGAAACTGACGAAGAAACAAATGACAAAATGAAATGAAGTTCACATTCATCGATTTATTCCAAATGATCGTTAGACTAAGTAAGGTACAGACTGACCATTATAAGGGTAAAATGATACCCGGGGTCAAACAGCAAAGTTACCACAGCATCACAACCAAGTCAGTAACGGGTAAATCCTCCTCTGTTTGCCAAACAAGCATTGATCCGACGTGGCATACTCCTAATGAGACGTCTAAGGTCATTTTGGTCCAGATTGTCCCATTCCTGTTGCAACGCAGCAGCAAGTTCTTGGACATTGGCAGGACGTTGTTGACGTTGACGTAACCTCTGTCCAAGCATGTCCCAGACATGCTCGATGGGGGAGAGGTCGGGACTCAGTGCTGGCCAAGGTAATGTGGTGATGTTCTGTTGTTGGAGGTAACCTGTAACGATCCTGGCCCTGTGACATCTTGCGTTGTCATCCTGGAAGATGAAACGGCACAACATGGACTGCCAAGATGTTGTCCCGGTAGTACTGGCCTGTAACACGCCCTGCAACAACATGTAAAGCCGTTCTTCCAGCAACAGTGATGCCTCCCCACACCATAACAGAACCACCCCCAAATCGATCATGTCTGATGACGTTAACGTCTTGGAAGCGCTCGTTTCGACGACGCCACACCCTCCTACGTCTGTCCAAAAAATCAACAGTGAACCTTGACTCATCTGAAAACATCACATTGCTCCAGCGTCGATTATCCCAGTGTTGACGATCCCTACACCAACGACGTCTTGCCTGAATGTGATGATCTCTCAAACAAGGGATCACGCGAGGACGTCGGGCGCGAAGGTGACCCCTATGCAGTCGATTCCGAATCGTCTGGCCACTCACTCTCACACCAGTGTCTGTTTGAAGACGAGCGCTGATCTGATTTGCTGTGATGACACGATTTCTCAAGGCCAAGGTACGGATAAATCGATCCTGGGCTTGAGTTGTCGCCCTTGGTCGACCTGAGCGTGGTCTGTCCTGTACAGATTGTGTATCACGGTATCTGGACCATAGCCTGCTTATGACAGACTGAGAAACATTCATCGTCCGCGCCACAACCGCCTGTGTTGTGCCGATCTGTAGCATGCCAAGGGCACGTAACCTTTCATTTTGGGTAAGCCGACGCATATCAAAATTTGTTTTCTGGTCACTAAAACAATTAAACTGATGTTTCCACCCTGGAATTCAATGCCACGATGACTGTAACATTCAAAGTCAGAGTCGTGCAAATCTTGGGTTGGACCCCCATGATGATCCCAAGCATCACCTGCATTCCATGCGGTAGCTATTGGTGCGTTTGGGCGTCACATGTAACTGGAAATGTTTCTTCTGTTAGGTTCTATAGTGACTTTTTTCGTAGTCATTTGCATATTTTAGTATTATGCCCCCAAAATCAAATATCCCCTACTTTTTTTGAATAGTATATTTGCAATTATATTTCTCAATATTTTGATATAAATACGTAATACTTGTCTTACCTCATTACAGGGTTTAGTACAAACCACAAAATCACAACTGATTTTAATTCCTTGTCGTTTATCCAGCCTAAAAAGTCGAAAGTTGGGACTATCTCCAATAAGACCGTTCATTGTAAAACCTTGCTTTTTTGTCCAAGGAAATCCTGTTCCACACCTAAAAATATAAACATTTTCAGTGACGGGTTAACTATGGAACCGGATGGTAAATTATACTAAGCAGCAAAAGAAACATCAGGTTGGTATGTTACTCTGAATAGACGCATTGTACAAAACGTGCCAAATGTTTTTATTGTATATTTGTGACCACATCTCCAACTTTACCTGAGCAATAAGGCTCCTTCCCAAACACAGAATTGAACCCAGGAAATGTTCTCAAAAACGCAACCCGACTTCTCAGATGGTAATGTGTTTTCCATGATTTTTATGTAACTCATGCTGCTCGTGCTGTTCACCGGGACCAGCCCTATAAAATGCACCCCGCATACCTGGTTGAATCATTCAGACTTCAACGTCAGCAGCATGCCATGACTTACGACAGCTCAGAGGAACCAGGCGCTTGGAAGACTCGACGCTGGCCACACTGCCCAAGCCGTTGCCAATCACTTCCAGGGTCAATGTTCGGACCATCTACAAGTTTCAGCAACGCTTTCAGGCAACCGACACTATGATCGCCCCCGAACTGGTAGACCAAGGGTTACCACAAGGCGACAAGACCATCATGTTGTGCGACAGCACGTGCAGAATGCCTTCACACAGGCATCTGATACAGCACGTCAGACAGTGGGAATACACGGAAGACCCTTAAGTACCGATACAGTGTGCCGTTGTCTCACCAGAGAGAACATCCATTGCTGTAAACCTTACCATGGACCGATCCTCACCATCGACGGGAACGTCTACAGTTTGCCCAACACCAGAACAGGCAATGGAGAACTGTTCTGTTCACAGATGAGTCGGCATTGCGTATCAACTGAAGATGACAGGACTAGAATATGGCGTTGACGTGGCCAGCGTTATTCTGACCAATTTGTCATGGAACGTGACTCATGGGGAGGAATCGGCCTGAACCAGAGGGCTCCTTTGGTGTTCCAAAATCTTGGTCCAGCGAGAAGAGGCGGCATCACAGAAGTGCGCCACATCGATCAAGCTCTCAGACCCCACGTCATACCATGGACCGTGTATAGATGAACAGGCAACGAGTCCCGTTTGTTGGATTCTCTGCCGCTCGCGCGAGACACGGCGAGATCTCAATGTCAACGGCAAATCAAGCGATGTGATTTTTGACATTGCGGGATTTTATACTGATTAATTTCTCGAACTCCTTGCAATTTACACGGTAATTTTTCAACCTGATAAGTATTCCTATCCGGTAGTGACGAATTTGTCCAGTTTGAAACTTTGAAATTTCCAAATGCAGCAGTTGAAAATTGTGAAATTATCGATTTCAATATTTTCGTAGGTTTTGTAAGCATTTTGGTTTTGCTTAATACTCCAAATTCCCGTATGTATGAAGGATTTTAAAATTATGAAAATAAAGTTCAGGTATAATACTGTCCGGAATGATGATTAATTGTGCAGAAGTAAAAATTAAAAGAGTGTTTAAGTAGATTTGTTTTTAAGAAGAACTCGACGTTTTTTTCTCGGATTCACATAGGCGCGTCCGAAGTAAACAAAGACGATGTGTTGATATATTTACACCCCAATCATCAGTTAGTAGTCTATCAATGTATGGGTTTCAAAAAAAAAAGAGTAGCAAGATTAATAAAAATATTATGAATTGATTTCTGTTTCTTTGCTTTTAAACTTAATACAGGTATTTGCGCGAGGGGAGCTAATTTAATTTAGTCACGATTGTCAGGTCTCTCTTTTGCCGCTGCACAGAATTCTAAAGGCTTCGTGGGCGTTGCCTGTCCATCTATACACGGTCCATGGTCATACCACATTGCGCACGTCATCGAAACAAAGTTTTCCAACATGACAACGCCAGTGCCCACACCACCAGGGTTACTCGGGACTTTCCACAGCAGAACGGTGTCAACGTTATGCACTGGCCAGCCATTAGTCCGGAATTAAACTCGATTGAACATCTTTGGGATGAAATTCAGAGGAGACTTAATAACGTCGTACCGAGACCAAACACAGCCGATGGATTGCGCCAGGTTTTTCTGAGAGTGTGGTTTCACGTGCCAATGGCGTCCATCAATCGTCTGGTCCACTCCATGTACAGACGCTGAGCTGCTGTTATTGACACTCGCGGTGGCCAAACAAATGAAATGAAATGGAGTTTAACGTCCTACTTTTCTGCTCCTAACCTGGGCTAATGAAGACGGGCATACGCCATACAGTGTGCTATGAGGGAAATTTTGCCCGGACAGCGGCACTACGGCCTACTCTTATATCGAATTCCAACTGCCAAGGGATCTTTTACGTGCACGCCAATGTGTACACGGGACCTCGGTTTTTCGTCCCATCCGAACGACTAGACAGCTTTCTTGTCAGCCCCTCCGTCCTGCATCACTGACAAGGGAGAACCACGCCGGAAAATCTGGATGAACTTTCTCGGCCAATGCAGGGATCGAATACCCGACCTCCAGGCTAGCGAGCTAGCGTCTTACCCACTTAGCCACGTGATACCCGCGGTGGCCAAACAAGATACCGATGTATAGACTGTGTACAGACTCTTAAACCTTCTCGTAATGTCTTGGAATTGTGATGAGAATTAATCACTAATGTGTCAACATACTGTTCACAAAATATTGCTTTGATTCATTTATCAAGTCGTTTTCTAGAATTATGATTGATTAAAGTGCCCCTCTGATTTTGAAATCGTACTCTGACGTTTTTTACTGTTTAGTATATACTATTCAAAAAAAGTAGGGGATATTTGATTTTGGGGGCATAATACTAAAATATGCAAATGACTACGAAAAAAGTCACTATAGAACCTAACAGAAGAAACATTTCCAGTTACATGTGACGCCCAAACGCACCAATGGCTACCGCATGGAATGCAGGTGATGCTTGGGATCATCATGGGGGTCCAACCCAAGATTTGCACGACTCTGACTTTGAATGTTACAGTCATTGTGGCATTGAATTCCAGGATGGAAACATCAGTTTAATTGTTTTAGTGACCAGAAAACAAATTTTGATATGCGTCGGCTTACCCAAAATGAAAGGTTACGTGCCCTTGGCATGCTACAGATCGGCACAACACAGGCGGTTGTGGCGCGGACGATGAATGTTTCTCAGTCTGTCATAAGCAGGCTATGGTCCAGATACCGTGATACACAATCTGTACAGGACAGACCACGCTCAGATCGACCAAGGGCGACAACTCAAGCCCAGGATCGATTTATCCGTACCCTGGCCTTGAGAAATCGTGTCATCACAGCAAATCAGATCAGCGCTCGTCTTCAAACAGACACTGGTGTGAGAGTGAGTGGCCAGACGATTCGGAATCGACTGCATAGGGGTCACCTTCGCGCCCGACGTCCTCGCGTGATCCCTTGTTTGAGAGATCATCACATTCAGGCAAGACGTCGTTGGTGTAGGGATCGTCAACACTGGGATAATCGACGCTGGAGCAATGTGATGTTTTCAGATGAGTCAAGGTTCACTGTTGATTTTTTGGACAGACGTAGGAGGGTGTGGCGTCGTCGAAACGAGCGCTTCCAAGACGTTAACGTCATCAGACATGATCGATTTGGGGGTGGTTCTGTTATGGTGTGGGGTGGTTCTGTTATGGTGTGGGGAGGCATCACTGTTGCTGGAAGAACGGCTTTACATGTTGTTGCAGGGCGTGTTACAGGCCAGTACTATCGGGACAACATCTTGGCAGTCCATGTTGTGCCGTTCGCACGACGTCATGGCCGCCGTTTCATCTTCCAGGATGACAACGCAAGATGTCACAGGGCCAGGATCGTTACAGGTTACCTCCAACAACAGAACATCACCACATTACCTTGGCCAGCACTGAGTCCCGACCTCTCCCCCATCGAGCATGTCTGGGACATGCTTGGACAGAGGTTACGTCAACGTCAACAACGTCCTGCCAATGTCCAAGAACTTGCTGCTGCGTTGCAACAGGAATGGGACAATCTGGACCAAAATGACCGTAGACGTCTCATTAGGAGTATGCCACGTCGGATCAATGCTTGTTTGGCAAACAGAGGAGGATTTACCCGTTACTGACTTGGTTGTGATGCTGTGGTAACTTTGCTGTTTGACCCCGGGTATCATTTTACCCTTATAATGGTCAGTCTGTGCCTTACTTAGTCTAACGATCATTTGGAATAAATCGATGAATGTGAACTTCATTTCATTTTGTCATTTGTTTCTTCGTCAGTTTCATTAGGTGACTTTAATAACACTTAAAAATCAAATATCCCCTACTTTTTTTGAATAGTATATATGGAACCTCGTATTAAGCGGCTAGCGATTTAGTGTTATGTATAGGATATTAACCTACCTGAGGTTGATATGGTAGTGTGTGGAGAAAGAATCGCAATGTTTCGTCAGTTTCATTAGGTGACTTTAATAACACTTAAAAATCAAATATCCCCTACTTTTTTTGAATAGTATATATGGAACCTCGTATTAAGCGGCTAGCGATTTAGTGTTATGTATAGGATATTAACCTACCTGAGGTTGATATGGTAGTGTGTGGAGAAATAATCGCAATGTGGACGAAAAGAAAATTCTGAAAGATGTCTTAGACATGGATAACCGATCTAAATACATGTATTTCGATAAGTACGCCGTCTATTTCGGTCATGAATGTTAGAAACTGTACCATAACAAATTTTAATTGTCAAAAGAATAAAAATTTATTTCTGTGGTTTTTTTGTATTATTTCGATCATCTACGTCATCAGCGGTTGATATGAGCCGAATATATTGACCTGAGATGACGTCATTAGCGGTTGATATGTCATGACAGGTTGTTATGAGATATAACTGCTATGGACATCAAAGTAAAAACTACCGCCAGTTGTATATGGAACAATATTGGTGTCAGTCATCACATAATGTGATAGAACTGGTTATGAAGATTTCAAGAAAGGAAGTGACGAACACAAAAGGAAAACACGAGTTATCCTTCTACATAACTGACTGAAGTGACGAGTGATAACATATACACGGGCGAATTTCTGCGGAGATAACACTGCATGGATTCTGATTTTTGACAGGTTTTTTTTCTTATTATACTAACACGTTTGAAGAAAAACATCAATACGGTCCTTTAGATTGTTTAACAGATTGGTGAACAGACGGACGGGGGTGGCGATTTACTTCCACATAAAAAGTGATATATACAAAGATCAAGAATTAAACAACAATGGTAGCTAGCATTAACGGGCGAGGGGAAGTCCAAGATTTTAACCGAGTACAGCTTACAGGACAGTGCGAAGGGCCGAGTACATATGGTATTATAAAAATCAAATGTAAATGTAATACCCATCAGACAATATCACTAATTGTCTACCGCCTTTATCTGGTTCGGCTACACATTGTACTGGCTGAAATCCAACCTCAGATGCGGAACCATCAGATTTGGCAGCTGCAATAAGAATACACCCATATTATCTTCCAGGAACATCCCCCAGGCGTTCGGCTGGCACGGAAAACTAAGACCCCGTGTTCACGTTGGCATGTACGTAAAACAACCATTAATAGTTGGAATACGTTAGAGAGTTGGCGTATGAGCCTCTGTCCGGCCAGAATTTCTCTCATAGTACATTATATGGCGTATGCCTGTCTTCACTAGCACTAGGGGGTTGGGACGGCCTAGTGGTCTAGAGTGCCTCGCTTCGACCTCTAGCTGGCCGGTCACCGCTGGTTTGCGGCTGTGGTTTCGATCCCTGGTATGAGCGTATGTGGCTTGGAGATAGGGGCGCCTTCTCAACCTCGTGGGTTTACTCCGGGTACTCCAGATTCCTCCCACAGGAAAGATGCGCGTGCGCCAAGACAATAAAAAAAAAATATATAATAAGTCTTGTCTGCGATATCACCTTCGGTGGAAGCGGACGTTAAACACTATGAACAACAACTAATCAAAACTTGATCACCACACAAAAACAAATATACATACTGTGGTGAGTATAGAAGATTGTTCAGTTTTAATGGCATTAACTACAAACCATTTGTATCTGTAGTAAACAGTGAACACATTTTGGACTATGGAAGGCATGGTTTAACTTACGGCTCATTTTAGCTCTCATCTTGACAATTCTTTTTTCTGCCACGGCTCCTGTTAGAGCATTTCCCATGATGTTGGTTAAATAAACCGTGAATACAGATTTAGCTTTCTTCGCTTTGTTGTACAGTTGCATTAATGGTGGTTTATATCTAAAATAATATTGACAATACATTTTTTAAAATTGGCATGTCTTGAAATCGATGAAACGGTCAACGCTAACTGTGGGAAGGGATGCAAGGACATCTCTATATTTTCATGTAAGACATAGCCGCCAAACATTTATTTTTTAACCATAGGGGCTATAGTGCAATGTACATCTGTTGTGATGCTCTGTAGTGTGCCATTACATTTGTATATATTAAAAGATACACCAGCGGCTGCCAGGCAGGATACGCCCACATTTTCGAGAGATGGATAGAGAACAAGCTAAAAAGAAAGTGATTTTTCCTACAATCAAGGGCCATAATTCAGGAAATCGGGACTAATCGTAATAAATCAGTAACATCTTTACCATAGTAAATGCGCCAATGGTTAATAAACGTATCATGTTTGAAGCCACTGCTTCGGGAATATGACGTTCAATGGAAAGAGAAAATGTCGAATAACTGAGGTCAGCTTTCGTGTTCATACAATCTCCCACAGAAACCATTCAAAACCATACTAAAAACATTTGGTTGGAAAAACCTCACAAAATTTAGCAATGAGCCAAGGCATCTTCACTTTTGGAAACAATCATACCACATATCTGTTAGCTACTTACTGACTGACGATTTCGTATTTTAGTTCAACTTCAGCAAATCTCATATAGTTACAAGCCACAATAAACCTTTCATCATCTGCACCTTCCACTTTTTCATGAAGAGTTCTTGTCTCAACATTTATAACAAAATTATCTCTATCTGGAGCAGATTGCTAAAGGATAAATCAAATCCGTAAATAATCGACAATGTGTAACCAGCAGGGTTCGGGTTAAGTGCATATACATGATTGAGTAAAATGTAGATGGATTGTCAGGCCACCCCATTTACAAGCTTAAAAGCAGCAAGTTGGACTTACGGCTAACAATATGTTCATCAACATCTTATTTTTCACTATCGACCTTAAACTTTGCCACTGACCAAAGTTAAAGGCTCAATACCACTCTTGTTGTAACTGAATAATATGTCCCAATCTTTATTCTGGTCAACAAATTGTACTATTTTAGAATATTTCAACATAATGGCTTGAAATGTCTAACGTAAACCTTTTCAAATGAAACTTCGATTTAAAAATATTTTCGAACCCTCTGGACAAGTTAAATAGGATGTAATGGATAATTTACACAACAGGTAGGACACTTAAACATCTAGTACTTAGATAGAGATATTATTTATTTTCGGGAGCTTTCAAGCCAGCAAGAGTGTTATTGTCCCTTTAAATTAGATAGGTTATTTATTGAAATGAAATAGGGTTTTACGTCCTAATTTTCTGTTCCGACTTGGCTAATGGGGGTGGGCATGCGCTATAATAAATTTTGCCCGTTCTAATCTTATATCGAATTATACTCGGCCAAATTAAAAACTTGACACTCGGGATTTTTGGGACTAGATTTTTAATATTTGGTTTAAGGCAACTATTTTAGTGTTATGTTGTGCACAGACGACCTTGACATCAACAGAAAGCAAGAATACGTCTCGCCGAAAGTCCTTGACATTGATAACGTTCGTGATGTCACAGTACCCCCCAAAATGAAATTCACAGATTTGGAGAACAATCGGAATAAAATGTTTAGTAACGGTTGTGGCCTCCTCTAGCGTCTCGTACTGCCACACAACGTCTTCTCATGGATCTCAGAACATTAGTAAACACTACCCGAGGAAGACGTCGCCACTGCTCAGCAAGAGCATGTTGAAGGTCCTGCAACGTCAGTGGTGGATACACTTGCTGACGAACACGTCGACCCAGTTCGTCCCAGATGTGTTCAATAGGATTAAGGTCGGGGCTAAGCGACGGCCAATCCAGGACTTGGACACCGGCATTTCTTAAAAAATTCTGGGTAGCAATTGCTGTATGGGGGTCGAGCATTGTCTTGTTGAAACGTTAGTCCAGGCCCATGTCTCTGCATAAACAGAACAACAGGTTGCAAAATCTGATCCCTGTACTGGACAGCATTTAAGTTCCCTTGGACAACAACAAGAGGAAAACGTCCATGTGCACAAAAAGAACCCCAAACCATGACGCTGCCGCCACCAAATTGGTCAACTTCTCTGACGCATACTTGAGCGTAACGTTCACCTCGTCTGCGGTACACTCGGACCCTGCTATCGGCAAATCTCAAAGTGAATCGAGATTCGTCACTAAAGACAACCGAATTCCACTGTCTTTGAGTAAATCTTATGTGTCTTGTGGCCCACACAAGTCGGTTACGGCGATGAAGAGGTGTCAATATTGGTCCATTATAGGGCCTCCGAGCTCGAAGACCAGCATCCTGCAAGCGATTTCGAACAGTGTGTGCAGTGACAAATCTGTTTCTAAGATGACGTAATCGTATTGCTTGATCTTCCTGAAGTGACGTCACACGTGGCGCTTCCGCCCTTGGGCGGTCGGCAATAGTTCCAGTTTGAAGCACTCTCATTCTAAGATTAATTATTGTATGGCGTGAACAATTAAAGGCTCCCGCAACAGTGACCACAGACTGACCAGCATAGAGCCTACCTATAGCACGTAGACGTTCTACATTTGAAAGGCGCGGCATTTTCTAACAATGAAAATAACAATTTTAATTTGTTTTTCCAGTTCAAGTTACGTGTGCGTGTTCAGTTTAAGCAAACTTGCATCGATTGACCTCACGAGTTTGTGTTTGCACGTGTTTTTCTGGGTTTTGATCTTTATATGCTCAAAAGTCACGTGATCCACGTAACTTTACAATTTTATGAAATTAAAGGCTTCTAACTACTTACTATCGTTAGAAACATTTTAAAATTTATTTGACTTACCAGAAAAAAATATTTGTTGAAATTCATCAGTGTCAAGTTTTTAATTTGGCTGAGTATATAACTGTCAAGGGTTCTTTTACGTGCACAACAATGTGTACTCGGGGCCTACGTTTCTAACTTCTTTAAATGTAAACTCGTGATGTGTACTTCTAAATACAAAAAAGTAATGAACAAGATATCCGAAATGAAATGGGGTTTAACGTCCTACTGTTCTGCTCCGAACTGGGTTAACGGAGACGGGCATATGCCATACAGTCTGCTATGAGGGACATTTTGCCCGGACAGCGGAACTACGGCCTACTCATATCGAATTCCAACTGTTAAGGGGTCTTTACGTGCACGCCAATGTGTACACGGGACCTCGGGTTTTCGTCCCATCCGAACGACTAGACAGCTGTCCTTGTCAGGCCATCCGTCCTGAACAAGGTATCCCACAGTCGATTATCTATCGTCACATTTCTGGCAACAATTTAAAATCTGTAATGGTGCATATAAACAGCGATCAAAGTCATAAATATGTTGTATGGCATCCAATTTTCATCTGTTTCCTTTTCGTGTAGAAAATTCAACTTGGTTTTAGTGACGTCCCTAATTTACAATCAAAACTTGATTACATTTTCCCTTTCTATGTGAAACGTTGTAGTTATGACCTCGAATTTCGATAAAACAAAGCACCGAAACAAAGGACAAAACAAGGTCGGCAGAGGAATATTTGGTTCGTGGTTAAGGTTTCCGACGACGGGGACAAGTTTGACCGTGCAGTTTCCAAAATACGATTTGGAAAACATCTATAGGGTTACCTCTTTCAGTCAGCTTGTACATTCACTTTTTAACTACTTCACCGTTACATAAATTATCAAAAATTACGTATTTTTACTCAACTTTAAGAAAACCTGGAAAAATTAAGTATTTTTACTCAAATTTAAGAAAACCTTTGAATACGGACCCTGATCAGTATTATTTCAGTCTTATTTTATACTATAATACTGATTACTATTATCAGTCTTTTTTTATTCTATAATACTGATTATAATTATTACAGTCTTATTTTATTCTATAATACTGATCACTAATATTACAGTCTACTTTATTTTATAACTATTACAGTCTATTTTACTCTAATATGCCGTTTACTATAATCATCTATTTAAACATTCATTATGCAAGAGTTAAATTTGCAGATTTCAGGTCTTACTTTAGGCCTGAAATGTTATCTAAATGTTAGAGGTTCAATTTGACTGAAATTTTCAGCAAATTCCCTTTACATTTTCTTGTTTAACTATTATAGTGAGAACTCCCAGCTCTTTATCTAATCTCCCATAATGTATATTCAACTGTAAACTTACAATAAATTTACAAGAATCTCCCTTCTTGTAGCCAACTGTTAAAGTAAAATCTCCCGTAACGTCCGTTTCTTTAAATCGACAGACTTGACCGATATCCGCAAACGCAAATACCGCTTTTGCATCCCCGCTGAAATGCAATGTAGCTGGTTTATTTGGGTAGGCACCACAGTCGACCTTTACTAAAATGAACAGAAAAACAATTGATTATAAAGACTATAGAAAAAATTAAATTTTCGAGGTCGATCAGAACAAATGATTGCTAATCAGAATCAATTTAGACCAGTTGTATGACGGGTTGCTCAGAATAATCGAGTAAACCTTTTAAAGTGGAATAATTAAAAAATTAAAATGTTGTACCGAAATCATTAACATTTCACATGTGGTACAATATGGATGTTTGACAACTTCACTTCAAATTGCAGGTCCACGCTAAAATAAATAGTATTTAAAATCAGCGGTTGCCAGACAAGATACGCCCACATTTCGCAAGAGATGGATTGAGAACGAGCTAAAAACAAAGGCGGTTTTTCGTACAATCAGGGGCCACCCATAATCCAGAACGTTATTGTCTGAAATGCGCAAATATCTTTGGGATATAAAGACATATTTTAAGTTTCATCAAAATCGGACCTTCGTATTACATACTTTTACACGTTTTGCGTACACAGAGCGGCCATTTTGTCGGGAAGTTCGTTTTGATTTTCCCCGTCATTATGGTCAAGAAGTGATATATTTAAAATGAAATGGGGTTTAACGTCCTACTGTTCTGCTCCTATACTGGGCTAATGAAGACGGGCATACGCCACACAGTGTGCTATGAGGGAAATTTTGCCCGGGCAGCGGCACTATCGCCTACTCTTATATCGAATTCCAACTGCCAAGGGATCTTTTACGTGCATTCCAATGTATACACGGGACCTAGTTTTTCGTCTCATCCGAAGGACTAGACAGCTGTCCTTGTCAGGCCCTCCGGCCTGCATCACTGACAAGGGGAAACCACGTCGGAAAATCGGGATGAACTTTCTCGGCCAATGCAGGGATCGAACACCCGACCTCCAGGCTAGCGAGCCAGCGCCTTACCCACCTAGCCACCGTGGATCCGATATATTTAAACAGTTTTTAAAATCGAAAAAAAAACTTGTGACCTCTCGAGAATCCACACACTGAAAAGCACGATTTTTCGTACAATCAGGGGCTGTAATCCAGGAAGTTAGGGTCTGATATGCGCAAATAGCGAAAGGAACCAAGATCTTTGGTACATAAACATGTATTTTAAGTTTCATCAAAATCGGATAACAAGTGACATCTAGAGGTTCCACAACCTTGGTATGGCATACTTTTACACTATTTACGTACAAGGAGCCGCCATTTTGTCAGACAGTTGCAGTCAGATTTTAACGAAATTCGAACTCAATCGTCATTAGAGTGTGACGGTGATAAATTTAAATGTTTTTTTTTTTAAATTGGATAAAAATTGTGATATATTTAAACGGTTTTCAAAATTGAACACAAATTTTGACTTCTAGCGGGACCACAAGCTAAAAACGCGTTTTTTCGTACAATCAAAGGTCATATTCAATACTTCAGGAAGTTACGTTTCGATATGCGCGAATATCGACAGGAACCAGGATCCTTGGGCTATAAACATGTATTTCAAGTTTCATCAAAATCTGATCAAAATTGTGACCTCAAGGAGGTCCACAACTTTGATATACCATATGTTTACACTATTTGCGTACGATTTTCACGAAATTCGAACTCGACCAACGGTGTAATGATATGTTCTTACGGTTTTTTAAATCATAATAATTTTGACCTCTAGAGAGACCACAAGCTAAAAAACGCGATTTTAAGTACAATCAGGCGCCATTATTCAGGAAGTTACGTTCCGATATGCGCGAATATCGACAGGGACTAAGATCTTTGGGTTATAAACATGCATTTCAAGTTTCATCAAACTCAGATGCAAATTATGACCTCTCGGGTGTCCACAAGTTTAAAAAACCAGCGGCTGCCAGGCAGGATACGCCCACATTTTCGAGAGATGGATAGAGAACAAGCTAAAACGTAAGTGATTTCCTACAATCAAGGGCCATAATTCAGGAAATTACAATTCGATATGCGCGAATATCGAAAGGAACCAAGATCTTTGGGTTATAAACTTACATTTCAAGTTTCAACAAAATCGGATAAAAATTGTGACCTCTATATGGTCCACAACCTTGATATACCATATTTTTACGCTATTTGAGAATGAAGGGCGGCCATTTTATCGGTCAGTTTTGGGCCGATGTTCACAAAATTCAAAATCAGCCGTCCTTAGGGTGTAATAGTGATATAATAATACGATTTTTTAAATCGGATAAAAATTATGACCTCTATAGGGTCCACAAGCTAAAAACGTGATTTTTCGTACAATCAGGGGCCATAATTCAGGAAGTTACGGTCCGATATGGGCAAATATCGAAAGGAATCGAGATCTTTGGGTTATTAACTTACATTTCAAGTTTCAACAAAATCGGATAAAAATTGTGACCTCTATAGGGTCCACAAGCTAAAAACGTGATTTTTCGTACAAACAGGGTCCATAATCCATGAAGTTTCGATCCGATACATGCCAATATCGAAAGCAGCCGAGATCTTTTGGGGATAAACCTATATTTCAAGTTTCGTCGAAATCGGATAAGAATTGTGACCAGTAGAGAGTCCACAAACAATTGTGGACGGACGGACGGACGGACAGGGGCGACGGCATAATACGTCCACATGAAAATGTGGGCGTATAAAAACGTGATTTTTCGTATAATCAGGGACCATAATCCATAAGTTATGGTCAGATAGATGCCAATATTTAAAAGAACCGAGATAGGAGATAGACCTTTATTTCAAGTAGTGTCAAAATTGAATAAAAACATGTGACCTGTAGAATGTCCACAAAAAAACTGGACGTCCGGACGGACAGGGGCGACGACAATGTACGTCAACGTGAAAATGTTTTCGGGGTAGGGTGGGCGTGGGGGCTTTTCCAGATGACATATGTTCTGAGATTGTAGCCGCCACTGATCTTTTTCGATAACGTCTATGGTAGATTGTTTTATATGAAAATTAAATTCGGAGTCATGCATCATTATCCAGTAAAAATTTCTTAATTCATAATTTCATCTCTTTATGATGTTTGGGGTACGTTTTAATGTTTAGAATAAAAAAGGGAAGTAACATGGCGAAATGGGGAGGACATGTTATGGATTTGAACAGGTATATTGATTATGCTCTAATGACAGGTGTCTTGTTAGTCCGAACAGCAGTCAAGTGATCCAGCAATACACCTGCTCTAACCTAAAATATATATTACAGTAGTTACGGATTATAAATATAAATCAAACTTACATTTGCCTGGGACGAAGGCAGCTACCGAGGAAACCTGTAAATATGGAAAAAATACATTAAAATTATACATTACATCAAGGCAAAGGGCGCTGCAGAATACACTTCACCAAGTTGAGAATCTTCATGAGTATGGGAACTTAAAACAAATTGAAAGACCTCAAAAGTCATTACAATTTTTTAAAAATAGCATAAAACCAAAACATAAAATAGAATCCACGAATTTACTACGACGAGGCTGGTGGTATATTGCTTCACATGAAAATACGCGGAGGGAGAAAATGGGGTTTATCGTCCACTCGACACAAACTAGGTCATTTCGGGACTAACATGGTTCAATTTTATTTCAATAATTCGCTTGCGCGTAGGGGTCTTTAGCAGTGGGAGGAAACCGGGGGACCCGGAGAAAACCCACGAGGTTGGACAGGCGACCCCACTCCTTATCACGTACAACCGGGGAATCGAAACCACACCAGTTGACTCAACGAGTGACCTAATGATACAAAATTGCAAAGGGGGAATATTCTGGCCATTGTCTGTCACAATCACACAAATGCACAGTATGGTAGAGTAGATAGAATTATTGGGCATAAACATACAATTTTCAGATGACACTTATTTACGTTACAAAATATTTGTTTAGACTACCACCCTGACTATTTTGCAGTCAACTTTGGTCCTTCAACTATTATTAAATACGGATTAGTATCGTCCACCCATCCGGATTTAAAAGTTTTTGTGACGACCCAGTTGATTATATAACTTACCAAAACGGCTAAAAATATCAAGAGGGACTCCATATTTATTTCATTCACTGAAAAAATAAAAATATACACTACTGGCAATACAATTTTTCACTACGAATTCTCGCGACTACAGATAAAACGATGATGTTAGTGACAGTTATCTCTCAATACTGATTTAATAATGTTGATAATTCATTATATTTTTCTGGACATTTTCATTTCAAGATTTTAACTTCAAGACTTTTTGAAACGTAGAAAATATTTTCATAAGAGTTCAAATTGTAAAATTAAGAAATTATTTTTTAATTTTAATATTTAATGATATATAAAAGTTACCGATAAAACGCCGAAAATGAAACAAAGTCAATTTTTTGTTTAACATGTTGATTTTGTGGATGAAATGTTGACATAAGAATGTAGAAACAAGAATCATTAGTTTAGAATGTTGCGTTCGTGTCTAAAATGTTCAAACTGGAATGTAGAAACTAGAATCATGAATATTGCCCCATTTGGTCTTCCATACACATAACATCCGCGTAGTTGATAGATTGTAAGAAATTAGGTATGCATTGCTGTTGGGAACAAGATTTAACTGAAAGGTTTGATGATGGGGGGTGGGGGGAATACTGTGAACTGACCCAAACTAGGTCCTCACGACATTGGTAAAATTTTATTTCAATAATATATTCTGCCGTGCAAAGGAAGAAGGCAGTATCTACACTAAGATTATGTTGCAGATACTGCCTTTCTCCTTTGTAGGGCAGTATTCACCTGTGCATTGGGGTTTTTAGAAGTGGGAGGAAACCGGAGCTAGAGGACCCGCATAAAAAGAACGAGGTTCGGCAGGCGACCCTACTACTTGTCACGTACGTTGTGGAATCGAACCCATGCATTGACAGAATTCATAAACTAAAGCTCACGCGTTAGACCATCCGACCATTCAAACCCCCTCTCCCGACTGGGAACGGAGAGCCATGTACTGACAGGTAGCAAAACTCGACAAAGACTTTCTAACAAATACAGCACATTGTTAAACTATTCAGGCTGTGTTCTATTCACTACGGCTACGACAAATTGAATGTTTGGTCAGCTTGATTATTTCGAGAAACGTAACGTCTACTATGCACTCATCATTATATTCTATAATTTAACATAATTAGTAAATTTAGTGCTTACCTTGTAATCCATGATATGGTTTTTAACAATAAATATACTCACCATTAGCTTTCCCAAGAAGTATTTGAAAGTCTGACCCGATTTCCGTGGCAGTCAATTCGAAAGTCCCAAGCAGTCGCACGTGCACCTTCTTATATCACGTGACATTTCCTGAAATTTAAAGTGACGCTATGGGGACAAAAAATGAAGATTAAATGAAATGGGGTTAACGTCCTAAAAACGCGATACTTCCAACAATAACAATGCTCAATTATTGAAGGAATTGGGGTCTTTGTGATATAAACATCAATTTAAAGTTTCATCAAAATTGGATCAAAGTTGTGACCTCTAGAGGGTCCACAACCTTGATATAACATACTCATACTGAATTAGTCGTTTTAGGTCTATGAATGCATTTATTTTTGTATTCATTTCTCGTCAGCCCTTGTTTTTGGTATTCAAAATGTAGGCCCAAAGGAGCCATTTAATTTAATATTCAAAATGTAGGCCTAAAAGAGACATTTAATTTAAAACATATCATATTGATATACCATATTTTTACGCTATTTGAGAACGAAGAGCGGCCATTTTGTCTGTCAGTTTTGGGCCGATTTTCACGAAATTCGAACTCAGCCCTCCTTAGGGTGTAACGGGGATATAATAATACGTTTTTTTAAATCGGATAAAAATTATGACCTCTATAGGGTCCACAAGCTAAAAACGTGATTTTTCGCACAATCAGGGGCCATAATTCTGGAAGTTAAGGTCCGATATGCGCGAATATTGAAAGAAACCGAGATCTTTGGGTTATAAACTTACATTTCAAGTTTCAACAAAATCGGATAAAAATTGTGACCTCCATAGGATCCACAACCTTGATATACCATATTTTTACGCTATTTGAGAACGAAGGGCGGCCATTTTGTCTGTCAGTTTTGGGCCGATTTTCATGAAATTCGAACTCAGCCGTCCTTAGGGTGTAACGGTCATATAATAATACGGTTTTTTAAATCAGATAATAATTTGACATCTATAGGGTACACAAGCCAATAACGTGATTTTTCGTACAATCAGGGGCCATAATTCAGGAAGTTACGGTCCGATATGCGCGAATATCGAACGGAACCGAGATCTTTGGGTTATAAACTTACATTTCAAGTTTCAACAAAATCGGATAAAAATTATGACCTCTATAGGGTCCACAACTTTGATTTACCATATTTTTACGCTATTTGAGAACGAACGGCGGCCATTTTGTCTGTCAATTTTTGGCCGATTTTCACGAAATTCGAACTCGGCTGTCCTTAGGGTGTAACGGTGATATAATAATACGGTTTTTTAAATCGGATAAAAATTATGACCTCTATAGGGTCCACAAGCTAAAAACGCGATTTTTCGTACAATCAGGAGCCATAATTTAGGAAGTTACGGTCCGATATGCGCGAATATCGAAAGGAACCCAGATCCTTGGGTTATAAACTTACATTTCAAGTTTCAACAAAATCGGATAAAAAGTGTGACCTCTATAGGGCCCACAAGCTAAAAACGTGATTTTTCGTACAAACAGGGGCCATAATCCATAAAGTTTTGATCCGATACATGCCAATATCTAAAGTAGCCGAGATCTTTTGGAGATAAACCTATATTTGAAGTTTTGTCAAAATCGGATAAGAATTATGACCTGTAGAGTGTCCACAAACAATTGTGGACGGACGGACGTCCGGACGGACAGGGGCGACGACAATGTACGTCCACATGAAAATGTGGGCGTATAAAAAAAACATTTAAATTTATCACCGTCACACCCTAATGACGATTGAGTTCGAATTTCGTTAAAATCTGACTGCAACTGTCTGACAAAATGGCGGCTCCTTGTACGTAAATAGTGTAAAAGTATATCATACCAAGGTTGTGGAACCTCTAGATGTCACTTGTTATCCGATTTTGATGAAACTTGAAATATATCTTTATATCCCAAAGATCTGAGTCTCTTTCGATATTTGCACATTTCAGACCGTAACGTTCTGGATTATGGCCCCTGATTGTACGAAAAATCGCTTTTGTTTTTAGCTTGTTCTCAATCCCCCTCTTGCAAAATGTTGGCGTAACTTGCCTGGCAACCACTGGTTTTAAATACTATTTATTTTAGCCTTTAGTAAAGAACTTACTAAATTGATATCTTGCCGTCTGTATGATCATGCGGATAACTTACTGTGTGATTCTCAGTACACTGCTAAAACTTGGTGTGAGCAGGCCACCTATGCACGGTGGTGAATTTAACGGGCCATAATGTTTAACATTGTTGTCAAACTTGAAACAATTAGAGAAGCTCCTAGATGACGCACAGGTTGGTGATGCCGGACGTGACTTAATTAACGCGTTCGAAACATTTAATCGGATGAGGATTTAATGATTTGGAAACAAGCTAGAACCCACTAATTGTAAGTAAAGGTGAAGAAGCTATTTTTGGAGAGCAGATTCCGCACCTATATAAAGGCCGCGTATAGCTGTAACTATCATATGACACTATAGGTGAACGTTGGCGTCAATCCGGAATATTTTATGATATCAACAATTATTATTCTGAATCCAAAAAATCGGACCAGACTTTGAAGACCCTCAGATACGGCTTCGAAAAATTCACGGAATCGATTATATGAATTTACAATTCCGATTGTGATATGATATATTTTTGGGGGTCAATGCCTGCTAGGCCCATCCTATTTTAATATATGGCTTATAGATATCTCTAAGAATTGACTCTCTGGTTGATAATATCGATTTTGGACAAATAGAATCGTTTTTGAAATGGGCTCTGTGTATTCATTATATAGAGAATCTTCTACCAGTCTTTTTTGATATCAAAAAATATCAAAACAAGTTGATAAAGTAACAAAAAACGAGGCTCTGCCGAGTTTTTTTTTACTTTATCAACGAGTGTTGATATTTTTTGATACCAAAAAAGACGAGTAGGAGATTGTATTTATCACCCAATCCCTTCTTACAAGCACAAATAGATAAATATAATTCTTTGCTGTAGATTTCACTTTTACTGAACATTACGGCGTAGTGATACATTAGATTATGAAATATAATCGCAGTAGATTATGAAATATATCACACAAGCGATATCTACTGTAGAATGTATTATTGGGTGATAAAGTAAAATTATACTTTTTACCACAATCCGCTTTTATAGAAAATGGCTCATTCGATTTTTTTTTATGTATATTTTTTTTTATACTTTTTGAAGGCACCAATGTCTCCCTATGAGTATCTCAACGCACCCGTGTGAACTAACCGGCCTATGGGTAGAGCAAAACAAGCATCAAAACTGACTGGTATTCCTTAATAGGGGTACCTGCCAAGTTTCATTCAATTATGTTCGCTGGTGTAGCACTTAAGATTAAACTGACAAGAGAAGATGATCAAGAATTAGACACCTGTCGTGGCCCAGTGTAAAAAAAAGACTGGCCAAGGAAGTTAATGATGACAGATAACGGTAAGAATATTGGCCTAGAGTATGCTAACAGCTAAAAACGTCCCCCTTGCCCGTTTTGCCATTAACGATATTTTTTCATTTTCCACAAATAAATAACGAAAAGACAGTTTAATCGATTCTGAATAATATGTAAATATTAATCCGGCTGTGAAATGTCATCTGGAAGCCATCAGTGGAAATGGATTGGATGTTGGTTTCCGAAATAAAATTTTAAAAAATCTCCCAAAATATCAGCCACGGCGTTTACTTCAAAGTATGTGCCGAACTCCAACAAGTTTTGGTCTAGGGCAAGTTCTTCTAGTGATAAACAAGTACAGTTACTAGGTGCGGGGAAAGATGGTGTGTATGAGGTTTTTTTTAAAATTTTAACTTTACTTGACCCGGATAATAATTTGCGAACACATGAAACGGAAATAAAAATGTCACAAACTGTTTATATTATTATGTAGCATGCAGCACATTGCACAGTTTTACTCCACTCTACGGTTTTGTCATATTAAATTATACAAATGTTATAAAATCTGAAAAGACATAACATAAAAACGTAAAAAGTATATTTGTATATATCTAGATTCAAAGAGTTAGAATAAATTTATTTCGCTGGGTCTTCTGGGGGTTCTCTCTTTTCTTGTATCTCTTTGCCGGGAATGTCGGAAACTGTAACATGTAAAAACCTTTTAGTCCACTTGCCGTGAGATTATTCTCCGAAAAATCTTAATTAAACTGCCAAGTCCGAGGAAAAAAATAATGTCCGAGTATAAGGCGAGGGAATAGTGAGTAAATCAATCTAGTTCTATTTTCTCGCCATGTCAAGTATTCTTAACCGTGATTGGGGACCAATGAAACCACTTGGCCCGAGAGCCCAGAGATGCCCAATCCACCTTCTGATTGTTTTAATGCCAACCTAATGCGGAATTGTGGCTATAAAACTGCGAACTTTTTAAATTCGAAACCGAAATCAGAGAAATAGCAGCAACAATCAGTCGATCACCATCAGCGTTGACTGGTTCCCTATCCCTCTGATGATGAAAACCAACCAGAAGCGAGATGTGATCGATGGTGTATGTACGCAGAATGAGCGCGATTGGTTTTATTAGTATCGCTGGATCTGGTTGGAACAAGGGTATGGTAGCAGGAAAAGATGGCACAATATTGTCATTAGGATAATGGTAATATGATGACGTCGGCGTATTGTAACTCTTTTGAAGTTCGACGGCACTTTTTCAGAAGGGAAGGGCACTTTTTCGAAAAGGAGGGTACAACTGCCGGAAGCTTGGAGAAAAGGAGTGCCCTTTCGTAAGGGAGGGCACATAAGCAGACACCGCTCTATATCCTGTTTGAAAATCTCAAAGGTTTCGAGCGTTATCAAACATTTCCGCTTTCTTTCGTTTTGGGATTGCAGCTTGGAGACAGGGGCGCCTTCTCAACCTCGTGGGTTTACTCCAGGTACTTCGGTTTCCTCCCACAAGCAAGCCCCCCTGCGCGTGCGCTAACATAACAAAAATGAAAATAAGACTTGTATACGATATTACCTTCAGTGCAAGCACTAAAAACAACAACAGCCAACCCTCTGATGGACACACGCTACTGGATTACTAGAATATGCAGCCTACGCCGCATGCCTCAGATGGTGCCTGCGGATATACGCTACTAGATTGT